GGTTCAAGAATGGACAGTATGATGCTGTATAGTGTAGTTCCAAACATCGCGCTGTTTGTTGAATAGTTGGTAAACCATGTCTAATTAGAGTTGTTTTGTGGAATGGAATGTTGTCTAGAATAAACTGACCGTTTGGGAATGTTGCATGTCATTGTTTAACAAGTTAATATTACAGCATTCACTGCTGCCTTGATCAATCTCTCAACACATTGATCGTCATATGAAACACACACTATTAGACTATAGTTTTGAACTGAAATGTTGTTTTTGGACTGTACTCTTTCACATCTGTTTGTATAGCCATACATTGTACAATCACCAAGTTTAAACCCCAACTCGTCCATTGCAATCCAAATATTTGATTCTATTGTGCGAATGTTTTCAATACTTGACAAACTCTTCCATGCCAATTCATCAGTCGCTTACAAGAGTGGGCTTTCTGTATGTGTCGTTCCATTCCAAGATGCTTGAAATAGTTGACTGACAAATGTGTGCCTGGTAAAAGTCCATTCGAGCACTACCAACATCACTTTGTCCGAGTGTTGGTAACTCTACGAGGTTGTCACATATCCACTTTACAATGTCTTGTTCGAGTCCAGAGTCTGATAATGACAAATCTACAGTGTAAAGAGTGTACAGAGTGGAAACACTAAACACTTTTAGTCAAGTTCAGAATGTCTTGACTACAAACTGAAACCCAAGACTTTGGCATGACAGAATCTCAAACAGCAGCAATGAAATGAGTAGTATAAAAAGAGCACCAAATAATACCGTTTTATTTAAAGTTTGTAGGAAAATTCATACAAATTTTGGCTCAATTTCAAATAATTTGAATAGTAAATATAATTTTTCATATAAATTTGTTACATTTTGTCATTCGTATCTTTAGTTTTATTCCACAAAAATGACAAAACTTTAGGTGAAGCTCAAGCCAAACAATGCTGTCAAAGTCTCTACTGAAGACTGCACAAATGTTTATCCGTTTATCAAGGAAGTAAAAAAGGAGTTGTCACCCGACTTGGCTCTTATGACGCTGCTCGCCTTTCACTCTCACTGACTGATGGTGGTGAAACTTTGTAGCCATACGACCCAGTCCCAGTTCAAAATACTGGAGAGCATCCGCTATTCATCACCATTACAGGAGTTTCTGCTGTTTCCCCAACTCAACTTGTCCCATCATCTACAGATAACACAAATGGAAGTTTTACTGCCACTCCTGATATTGTACTTGCCATCAGAGAATTGACGCTCGAAATCAGAGAAAATAACAGGCTTCAGAAAAAAAGGCAAAGGACGACTTTAGCTTGTCGAAACCCAAGAGTTATGAATCTGACAACCATGATATTTGTTTCAAGTGCTTGATTCATTATGGAATGGTACCTTCAGCATCTACGACCCTCCCTCAAGATGCATGTTGTCATATGCTTGGAGTAAAAGTTCCTTTAAAGTACCTCAATTGCTCTCATCTATTCCAAAAGCATTGGCATCGACATGTGCGTGACTTTGGATTGTCGAGTATCAATTCTGGAAAAAACATTCTGGTTCTGCTTAAAATTTTGAAGAGGCATTTGACTCGGACCGCTTTGTTCTTCTCTTTGACAAGCAGTCGGGTTCGATTTGATGCAAAATCATTGATAATGAGTTGAAAAGCAGGAAAACTCGACAAAGCCATGAAGGAAGAGTTCCCCAACTATCAGATTGGTGACGTTGATTTTAAAGACAAGACTTGTTTTAATGATTTTGATGGAGAACTTCATTTTTTAAATTCAGAACGTCCCTACATGCGCTGTTTATCATTTCATGCGTTGTTGGCTCGTGAACATGCTCTTGATTACGGATGGATTGACGAAAATGAATTGAAGGAATTGGATGGTGATGATATGTGGTCGGATGGATTCCTTGAAAAAACCAGGAAATTCATTGATGAGTGGCGGGTTGATGTTTGCAGTCAATCGTCTACTGATTAAGTTGAAATGATTACTTGAAATTAGATTACACAGGCATGTAGGATATAAAATTACACTCATGTTTTTTTATTTAGTATTCAAATTGACGATACTAGTAGAAAGAACCGTCACTGCAATCAACTCCAACGATCCATGATTCTTTTGGATTTGATATTTCGTATCCTGTGTATATGCGATTGTGCTGTCAACTCATCAAACTGCGGTCAAGTCGATGATAAAGCAATGGTTGTCGACTTTTGTATTGAAAAGCAGTCAAAAGATTACATTAAAACAGACATTATGGACAGATTCTACAAAGGAAATGGTAAATTCTGTTGTTCTGGGTTGATGCAAATCGCAGTCAAAACAACAAACGCTGTAAACATGGATACGATGAACAAGTCGTTGTAGGAATGGAATGCAAGCTGCTGGAGAGTATTGAACGAGCCAAATCGGAGATTGATGGATTGGTTTAAAATGGGGTAACAGACTGATATTTGAAACGATTTACAACGATATGTCCATGATCTTGAAGCAACAGTTGCAGTTCTAATGGAATATTTTGTTGGTAGCATTCATCTTTAAATGTAGGCATATTGGTATCCAGCAACAATGGAAAATGTGTAATATTACAACTGTAATGTCTGGACAACTGACTGTCTGAATAACAGTAACTATTTCCAGTGATGCTGATTTGTAAACACTCGAATTATTCAACAACACTCTATCAATGCATTTGCAAGAGTCATTGGACGTATCTGTTGTTTGAATGTTGATTCTCATACATTCAGAAGTGGAAGTTATAAAGCTTATTTCCATGCAGACACGATCAATGTATTACTTTTTGTTGGATAGGGTGTATCATCTGTCATCAATTCAGACACACTTGTCAGTCCTGTTCCGTATACAATGAGTCACATATGGACACATATGGACACCAATGCAACAATCAAGAATCAATTGTCATTTACAAGTCCGAATTGCCAACCAACAATCGTACTAATGGACCAACGGACCAATGCCAAAACACCTGCACATCAGACAGTTTATTGGACATGACTTGATTGTTTTTGAAAACTGTTTGAAAACTGCTTGATGACTTGAAAAAACCCGAGTCCTTCATAGAATGGCTATACGAATTGCAAGGAGAAAAACCAAGACTGGAAAAGTTGAACGAAAAACAAACAAGGCAGAGCGATTGCCATTACACAAGTCACGTCCATACATTGGTTATCATTGGATACGTTGACTTTACAATCAAGGAATATCTGACACGACCATGACACTAAAGAGACTCTTGTATTTTGAATCAAGGATACAATCACAATTTAGTTCAACAACAATGATCGCACATGTCAATAACGCAACAGTTGATTTGAGGTTGATTATTCAATTTTTACTTGTAATAAAATGAGAATTGTAGATTGAACAAATGTTGGATTTGTTACAACTGTGAATACTGTCAGCTTACCAAGATTGGTTTGTTTAATATAAAAATGGGATATTCTAACGCGAGCTTCGACGTTCAGTTATAGTCTCGAGTTATTTTAAACCAATTGTACGGTTTCATAAATAATTTACGATTTCAAAAAGCTGAAGCCTTTTGATGCCATCAGAATGTTTTCAAAACATTGAAATTGATTGGAATAGAAATATTTTTTTTACATTCTCAACCCATTTGAATTCAGCAGTAATATGTCGTATACTAGAACAGAGGAAGACGGCAAGGACACTATCATGTTTCTTAGTCCAGCAGATACGTTTGCAAAAACAACACAACAACCACTTGATGCATCCACAGCCCAGCAAGAAGCCTACAATGAGGAGACTGGCGAGATCAACTGGGACTGTCCATGCTTAGGACCCATGACTCAACCACCTTGTGGAGAGACCTTCAAGGCAGCCTTTTCTTGTTTTGTTTATTCCAAAGAAGAACCAAAAGGGATCGATTGTGTAGATCAGTTTAGAGCCATGCAGGCTTGTTTCCGAGAACATCCCGAGGTGTATGGAGATGAGCTAGATGAAGATGATCAGGAGAATGCAACCAATGTGGATGAACAGCCTGTGATGTCTGACAATGTAGAGAAGCAATTACCATGATTGAATCCGAATGAATTGACCGTGCTACGAGGATACTGTATGCTGCTGACTAGACCAAGACCGTGTTGATACGACTGAATGTTTGATATTCTTGTTCCAAGGGTTTCAACTCAAACCCTTTACACTATTGGATTGGTTCTGGCATAAACTACTATTAATAAATTATCGTAAATCGGAAACAGCAACTAAAGTGATTCTGGTTGGATTGTAAATTGTGATTTCAAACCAGTCGAATAACTCGTTAATTTTTAATATTTCACACTTGCCAACTGCTTGTTAAGGGTTTTCTTGCCATTCAACTCATATGGACAAGTCTGGACCTTCTGTTACAACAGAAAAGGACGATGATCAGCAACTTGCAAAGAGACTTGCACTTCGCACTGCTAATGTCGCTCATTTGACTGCTTCAAGAGGTTGGCTTCACCAACTCGCATTCACTCATGAATTGATGCATTCAGCTCTATTTTAAATAACAATTCATAACAATTCTTCTTGTTTAAACACTGACTTGTGTGTCATTCAATAATAGATTCATCTCTCTACGATAAGCTCGATGGATCTATTAAAAAAAATACATCCTTGATCAAGAAACTCAAGTCTGGAATAACTTCCACTCAGTTTGCTGCTATTAAAAAAGATGTTCTTTCTCTTAAACTTGAGAAATATATCGAAGAAGTCGCCTTGTCCATCTCTGAAGCCATCTACAAAACATCTTCTGATATTTGGGCTGCAGTAGAAATCTCATCGCTAATCCATCAACGTTACGCTGCATTTTCCCCATTGTTGCTGGCAAACACATTAAAACACTTTGGTCCACCACCGAGCTTTGTCGGTGTAGCAACTGAACAGCGGGAAAGAGATGAGACTGTGAGAGTTCATCGACAACGCAGCTCACTAAGGTTTATTTCTGAACTCTATTTGGTTGGAATTGCTCAAGATCCACCTAAAAGCAAAGATGGTTTGATTGGAAATATTTTATTTGAAATGGCATGTTTGTATAGTCAAATCTAGATGAGATTGTCTTGATGTTTTATTCGGTAATACTGATTTTTCAAATTGTTATTTGGTGTTTAGTTGAGTAAAGACAAGACCCATTTGAATATATCCATTTGTGTCGCATTCGTTAAATTCTTTTCAATATGCATCATTGACTCGAAACATTTGCAGTCTGAAGAAACTGCCGATCAAGACAACCACGATCAATCGACTACTATGATTCTTGATTCGCTGATCCCCTCTCATTATCGAACAAGTATCTCCAAGATACTAAACAGCTATTTTGATTCAGCCGCCTTTCATTTGATTCGTGATCATCAGGTAATACAACTGTAAAAACTGTATTTTTGATTCTACTTTGGGTTGGTCAGTGGCAGTAAACTTTCAACATAAATCTTTAGCATGTGAAGCGTTTAGAAAAAATCACTAGTGATTGTTTCATTGCTCGTGGTGAGATATATGAGGATAAACAAGATGCCTACGACAAGACTGTCAAGGTTTATCAAAAACTGCGTACATCCGTCGAAACACTGTCCACCTATTTGAAAAGAGATATGCCTGAGTTAGCTGAAGACGACGATGCTGCTAGATCGGGAATGAACATTATCATGTCTGGCGGAAAAAGCATCCGTGATGAAAAGGTATGCACATGAATTCTCTTTGGTTTGCTTATTGGTGCTGTGATTTAAGAACTCAATACCAACATTATCAACATGTAGGAGTTTAAAACAGGCATTTGGGAAGATGAAGAATCAAAATTGTTTTATGACAATATTCTTGATTTGAAAAATCAAGTTCCTGCCATTCTCCTTGGTATCAGACCCAAAGATGACAAACCATCCGAGGATACTGTATCCAAATCAGATGACAATGCACCTACAGAAGATCAGGATAATCCAATTTCGGTTGAGACTACAATACATGATGGGACGGATGAATATGCGTCAGTTTTGTCTACATATGAGCCAACCACGCATGAACACGAAGAAAAAAAAGTTGAATCCGCTTCGTTTAATGCTACTCTTATTACAATCTTTTCTCGAATGTTAAATGCGGTAAACAAGGAAACAATAGATCAAATTGCTGTAGAATTTGCTTTTCAAAACAATCGAGGATCGCGACGAAAAATGGTGGAAACTCTACTGGCTCTTTCGTATCAAAGATTAGATTTGATTCCATACTATTCTCGTTTAATCGCAACTCTAAATCCTTACATGCCAGATATTGGCACAGGTGTACTCGAAGAGGCAAATATGCATGCTTTTATTCATGTTTGTGATTTGCATTGTATTCTAAGTGCTTTTGATCATCATTTTAGCTCAATCGAATGTTTCATGCCCAACAAAAGCGAAAAGAACAAATGTTCATTGACAAAAAAATCAAGGCATGTAACCATGTCTGACTGGTCTTTGTAATTCCCACTTTGAGTTTTGCATGGTATTGACTTTGCGTTAATATAGGTTATTCGCTATATCGGTGAGCTGACCAAGTTCAGAATCACACCCTTGCACGTTGTCTTTCATGTGATCAAAGTTTTGCTGGATGATTTCATGCATCATAATGTGGATCTTTTGTGTGCCTTGCTTGACAACTGTGGTCGTTTTTTGTTTCGTCATCCTGATACAAATGCCCAAACAGCCGATTTTGTATGTATTATGATTTAAATAGGATGCTTAATGTAATTCATTTGTCCATGGAAAACTCGACTTACCCAATCATTATACCAGATTGAGATTATGCAGCGTAAAAAAATCTCTCAAAATTTAGACAGCAGACATATATTCATGATTGACAATGCCATCCATGAATGTAACCCACCAGACACAGTTGCATTCACAATCAAGCAGCGCGAGCCCATGGTTCAATACCTTCGTAAGCTGATCTACTATGACCTGGACCTTTCCTCTGCGCGATCTATTCTTGTTCAATTGCGCAAAGCCAACTGGTCTGATCCACTTGTACTTGCCACGATGCGTAAACTGTTTACAAAAATTTGGAAAATCAAGTTTTCAAATTTGGGTTTGATGGCGTTTCTATCCAGCGAACTTTCACGGTATTACCCAGAATTTGGCGTAGCAATTGTTGATAGCTGTTTAGAAGATATTCGTTGCTCGCTTGAGGAGAATATATTCAAGCACAATCAACGTCGTATCTCCACAGCCAAGTTTTTGGGACATTTGCACACCTACAGAATGGTGGACAGCAATGTGATTTTTGAAACATTGTATTTATTGCTGCGATTTGGTCATGTGGGAGGTGTACCAATGCCACATGTGTCTTGTCCACTTGATGCTGCAAATGATTTTTTCCGTTTACGGTTGGTTTGCACGATTCTAGATGCATGCGGGAGCGCATTTCAAACAGGAATAGATGGTCGTTCACTTGATGATTTTCTTGCATTCATGCAAATGTACATGTTCACCAAAACAGCCTTACCCATGGAGGCCGAGTTTTTCATTGATGAAACACTGGAGATGGTAAGACCCAAACTAATTCGTGTCAAGTCTTATGACGAGGCAGTTGAGCTCGTTAACAAGATTGCTGAACGCCAATCTAAAGTTCAACGTGCAATGGTACCCACTGCTGGTGTACATGGTGATAGTTCAACCACCACCACTGCTTTTGAAGGTGTGCAGGATGATGCTGATGACGAAGTGCTCGATCTTCAAGGTAGCGATGCAGAAGAAGAAGCTGATTTGGAAGATCTTTCTGATGACGAGAATGGTGAACATAACGAGAGTCTGAACGATGATGACGAAGAAGAGTTGGTGATCCGCATGGCACCACCACCCAAAACCGAAGAAGATTTAGACTTTGAACGTGAGTTTAGCTCCATGATGCAAGAGAGTCTTGATAGTCGTAAGAATGAGCGCAAGCCTAGTCTTTTTGATGCACCCATCCCTAGACGACTCAAGTCTACTGCTGCTCCCACTGGAAATTTAAATATCTCTCCAGCCAAGAGCGACGAAATGGATGAAGCAGACGATGAAGGTTTTGTAAAGTTTACAATGCTAACTCGGCGTGGCAACAAACAGCAAGCAAAAACGATGGAACTACCTGCCGATAGTCTTTTTGCTGTGAGCACGCTTTTTAAGCAGCAGGCAGAACAGGAGGAAAAGACTCGATTAAAAAAGCTTGTATTGGGTTACGAAGAACGAGAGCGAAGCAATTTTTTACGAGAGCAAGCCTTTCAGAATGGGAGTTGGCAAGCATCGGCAGCATTGTTTAACGGCCCAAGTAATGACACAGTCGACGCTCCTAGTAATAGTAGCCGAGGTAGAGGTAGAGGCAAAGGTCGCGGATCGTACCGAGTAATTTGGACTTCCGCTCCATGAAAACTCGTGAAATGGTCGGTCGCTACTGATCACGACTTCTCTTTTTACACTTGTATACTTGTCTGCCACCATTGTTGTTTATATAATACAACACACTTTTCCTTTTGCAACTCATCAAGGTCCGGTTTGACGCAAATGGTCACAACCTACTTTTTGATGGTCCATTTTCTGAAGTTCTGTTGGATCCAAGCTGTTTAGAATGGTGGTGGACGGTATAGATTTTTTCAAATGTTTGCCCATTGATATGAAATGGGATTGTTTTTTGATCCTTGACCCAATCTTTCAAAAACATCTACATATGCATACTCTGTCAACAATAAAATCATGACAAGGACGTTGCATCCCCTAAACATTTGGTAATTTCAAGTCATTGTAAACAACATTGTATTCGGTAAACATACAATGGTCCAACCCATTGATGCATAAGCAATCTGGTGAACCATTTTCTGACAATATCAACGTTGTTCTGTTCGACGCTTTGATCTGGCGATATACACGCCAAGCAATTTGCGTTGAGCTTCACTAAAAATGGGAGTGACGTGAGTCCAAATGTGGTCGCCAATGATATCTCCAACACAGACAAGAAGATCGATACAAGCTTTTCGGATTTCCAAATTGTCCGAATTGACCGCCTTGTAATATACCAAACACCACCATACAATCTAGGTTAATAAAACCTATGTGATTTAACTTGCACTATATAAAAGAATGTAAAAGGGTAGCATTACCTTGGACGCCAAGTTCATCAAACTATTTGTACGATGCGTATGATTCAGATCTTGCATATCAAACTTGGATTTGATTAACCGGCTTAAACATATCAGGCACGATGCAGCAGGTGAAGGCTGATATTCGACTGAACTGGTATGGTCAAGCAAAAGCCGAACACGTCTTCCTGGATCGTTTTCATCGTGCAGATCCCACCTCTGTAAAATACTAATAAACGCTTCAAACAAAGCATCTGGATCAAGTTTTTCAATCATAACATCAAGAGCTGCTTCTGCACTTCCTGAAACCTAATAATTCATACCGTATTTGTTGTAATGAAAATGTAAGACTGTATTCAACTTTTTGAAAATAGCATAATATTTTTTTAATCCATCAATGTTGTAATCACCTGGGCAGTTCCGGTACTACGACAATCTAAAAGCAAATATATAACTTCGTATTCCAATCCGTCAAAAAACACATACTGGTTTTTTATAAGCGTTTTGATCAATACCAAGCATTGTTCTAGCATGTCACTGTCCTATTCATTGCAAGCCCATTAACAAGAGTGAGAATTGAGTGGATAATCAATAGTGTATAACCATGATGAAAATGGTTTACAAACAGTAACCCATAGCATAGATTACCGTTTGGGGGAATGACACAATTTCTTTGATAGCAAGCATTAAAGGACCTAGCCATTGGCCCCATTTTAGACTGTCCTGTTGTGGTAGTTTTGCATCCGCTTCAGATATCCGCATAAGCCGGCGAGTGGTACCAATTGTCATTGTACCAACACGTAAATGGTTGATTTGCTGTTCAAGCTCATCGTGTTGCTTTAATCGTTTAGGTGTCGGAGTACCAGTAGAAAGCACTACATTATCAATGTCACTTCAATGTCAACACACATTCAAATACTATTTATAGTACATACAATAGTAAATGATGCTTACAATAATTTTGCTGATCGCGTCGATTAAACTGGAGCTTTACTGGTGTGTCATGGTCAGTAACCAGGCGTTCTAGATGGCCAAGAACAGGTGCAGGAAATTCACACTCTGCACCCACTAAACCTGATATGGCAGAACAAGATAGATCAATCAAGTTTTCACTACAAGCACTATTCTGAGCCTGGAATGGATCTAGAACAGATGGAATTTGTCTAGACGGAGTGTGAGGCGTACTCGTCTGCACATTTGCAGATACAAGACCAGAAACTTGAGTAAAGCTTATATTTTCGTCATCGCTCATATCTGCACTAGTATTGGACATGTCTTGAGTATCCCTCTGATTGTCATGGATGACTATAGCATTGGTCGAATAGACCGAGGTTGAGTTGGATAGATAGGATGGACCAATAGTGCTAGTGTCTGCAAACCCTGACGGCATCGTTTCGTTTAAAACATTTGCACTTTCGCTAAGTTGTACAGAGGGTTCATCCATACACGAATCCATCACAGACGTGTCGTGAAGAACACTGTCAATTCGACTTAAATCACCAAACACATTGTCGTTTTCTGCGTCGAGATGATCCATGAAATCGTTGCCTTCATGTTGACTACAAGGCATTGGAAGTGGTGGTACATCTTTGGCACATACATCTTGCTGTGAAAAATGAAAAGTCGGTGTATTTACGTGTGCATCTCGAACTAGTTTTTGCGGTGTCAAAGATACCTCATCAAACTCAATCAATGGCTTATCTACAACTGAATTCAAAGAATCTGTCAAATGACTGGGAGTCATGCTACAAGGAAGTCCAAGTGCAATATACACTCCATTTGCCAGCTCATAATCAAATGTTTCCATGCAGCATTTAAATAGTTGTGGAGAAATATTGTGCACACATTGAAGAGTGCCTAAAATGAATGTAGCTGCAGCAGGAACGGCTTGGGAACCGTGTACAATGGGCACCAATATTTTCATCATATCACCAACTTTGGCAGCATCAGTCATGTAATGTTTAATATCAGCGTCGTCCTCATTAGATGTGTATAACATAGCAACAGATTGAAGAAACTGAGCAAGCGGTGCAGCAAGAGTCCCAACTTTGAAGGATTTACAAATGTTTGAACCATCTGACTGGCTATCAAGTTTTTCAGTGCTAGAATGTATGGCACCAATTTGACTCAAAAGTACATCCATCAGTTCATCTGCATTAAACGAGCGTTTGATAAGATCTAAACACTTTTCCACGACTTTTTTATCAGATTCAGATTGAACAGAGATCGATGCCCTCAGCGCAGACATGATGATATCGGTCAAATCCACTAGGCCTGCTTCCAAAAGAATATCCATGTATTCTAAATCTAAAAGCGAAGATAGAAACTCGCCTTCAGCAATGGTGTAGAATGAAAGAATGGATTGACGCATATTCTGCAAAGACTCTGATGAAAACGGAATGGGTTGCTTCATCAGCGAAGACTCTTGAACCGTATTCAGAATTGCATAAAACCCTTGTAGTTTATCTTCTGTATCTGCACTTTCAAGTTGTTGAAGGATTTGAAGGTCTTTTGAAACCTTGGGTTGAGATATGGATGGTCCTGATTTAGCGCGGGTGTTTCCAGCAGATTTTCCCGACTGGTTAGAAGGTTTATTAGGAGAAACTGATTTTGAAGAATATTGGCTAGATTGAAGGTCTTGATTGTATGAATGTGCTTCAGATGAAATAGTTTGTTGTGGAGAATCAATTTCGTGGTTAGGAATTGGACAGTTTTCAATAGACTTAGTGGAAGATTGGTAAGCGACTTGAAGATGATCTGTTTCTGCCGCTGATACGCTTGTAGATTCAAGCGTGTAGATACGTGGTACTATCATTTGAGTAGTGAGCGGTTTCTTGTGACGCTGAATGGCCTTTTGTACAGATAACTCGAGCAAATCCAGCATTCTATTTCATAAATAATGTCAACCGATTTGAGGTTATAAAACTAATTCATGCAATAAAGACTTACTTTGCAGCACGATCAGGCCATCCAATAGAATAAAAATAAAACGCATCTCTGGCAGCCTCACGCACCTTATCGTTTGCATCTTTAAGCCCTTTCTTGACAATCTTTTCAATCGTTTCTACACTTGCTGATTTTTCAATAGCCTGAAGCAAAGCAGGCGAGCCAACATTTCGTTCAATGAATAATCGCAAACAATCCGCGGTGACTTGTCGAAGACTTTGGCTTTTATTGGTTATGCCAGTAGAGAAATGCACCAGCTGTTTGGGATGAAATGTATTGATCATTATAATGGATTTGATGGCATTTACTGCAGCAGACATGACCAACTTTTTTGTGGAAGCAGAAATTTGGAACAGATGAGTGAGAAGCATGTCGACATGAGGATCCAAGTCGGTCCAAGTAAAAACAGCCAATTCTGCCACAACAGTACAACAAGTAATAACCAGAGCAGTTCTCAAACTGTGCAACTAGTTCCGATTCAAGCACAATCAATGCATCAGTTGTTTCATATAAATATCAGAATAGTAAAAGACAGTTTCTTACAGTTCTAGAAATGGGTTCGGACAAGAGTTTCAGATGAGCAGCAAAGGCAGACATGGCTGGAGCATCACCCCTCAAGATTCCTCTTAGTCTCTGTAACGAGACTTCTCTCGCTTCCCAATTCTCTTCAGTTTCTTTTCCAGCGAATATGCCAATCAAGTTTGTACATTCCAACTCGAGTTCTCGGTTGCTATTCACCTATTCAAGATTGTTAGCTCTAATCATCGCATATTCGTGTTTATCAATGTCATTATACCATGATGACCGTAGGTTCAGGAGCAGTCATTCCCATTCCAGAAGATGCAGTTTGAGATTTGGACAAGGATGCTGAATGGCTACGATCCAGAGTAGATCCTGTATCGACCATGTTGACGATTGTAATAAAATCAAAAACTTGGATTTACAGCCATATTTCACGTAAAAGCACTTGGATTTATCCTGCAGTAATTATCTTGGAATAATAGTTGAATATTCTTGTTTTCTTACCACAGATTGACTTGAATAAACATCTTTAGTGTTTGTAATTGCTTGACGCAGAAACCCATTTTTTATTGTACTCGAGTTTTATACACGATTCAAGAATGAACAATATGTAACTCCAACCATCGTGTCGTTTGTTGAATGGTTGATGGCACATGTCTAATCAAATAGTTGTTTTGTGGAATGAAATGTCTAGAATAATATGCGTGTTTGGGAATGTTGCATGTCATTGTTTAACAAGTTTTGACAACTTTCTTGTTTAATCTCCAAACACACTGATCATCATATAATAAATTATAGTTTCAAACTAATGTGTTTAAATGTGTACTTTTGTATTTGCTTGCATAATCATACATTGTACGATCATCAGATGCATTCATTACAATCCAGACATCGAGTCTACTGTCCAGATATTGTCAACAAAAGCCTGGATATCTTCATTGTCAATATGTCACTCACAAGAGTTGGTTTTTGTACATAAACCTATTTTCTAAACAATGATTCCAAAAACTACATTATTATCTAGTAAGATTGGCACTCATAAAACATGACCGATTGTGTATTTCAACTTATTTAATACTCCATTATATATGTATACAACTGTAAAATTCATCAACTTTATTTGAGTACAAAATAATGTTTATCAGTTTAATAATACATTGCAGCAAACTATTCGTCATAATTAAAATAGTGCTCAGATGCCACCTGTCTGATGATTGCAGCATTGACAGCTCCAGTAGCACTCACTAGATCGCTAAACACTGACTCTTTACGACCAAGAAGAACATGAGGTGCATCAAACTCTACAGCAACGCCTTCATCAAGCACTAGCACTCGATCAAAAGCAGCAATCGTGTTGAGCCGATGTGCAATACTTAATACTGTCGTGTCTTTGAAAAGCGTTTCAATCGAGTCTTGGATACGAGAATCGGCCACAGAATCAACTGATGCAGTGGCTTCATCCATGATCAGAAGTTTTGGCTTGGCTAGAATCGCTTTGCAAAGACACATGAGTTGACGTTGACCGACTGACATATTGTTACCGTTTTCAAGAATAGGATCTTCGAGCTTTTCACCAAGTGCCGAAACGTATTCTTTAAGACCAACCATTTCCAACGCTTTCCAGATTTCACTGTCCGAGTACTTGGATTGCATGCTCAAATTGGATCGAATAGTACCCCTAAACAAGATAGGTTCTTGAGGAATAATCTGTATGTTGGATCGAAGAGTATCTAGTCCGAGAGTAGCAATATTGATGCCATCTATTTCGATAATTCCTTGGTTGGGCTCCATGATACGACACAAAATAGACATGAGCGTGGATTTACCAGAACCAGTACGACCAACAACACCAACTTTCTCTCCAGGGATAATGTTTATGGAAAGATCCTTGATCACAAGGTAGTCTGGACGATTAGGATATGAAACTTTAAGACTATTGATAGAAACAGCACCGTGTGATGGCCAAGTACCATTTTTGGGATCGTTGGGCAGCGAACGCGCAGCTTCTTTGGGCAACTCATGAGCATAGTAGTTGAGACGCTCGACAGAGTTGAACGATGCTTCAATTTGACTAATCAGCTGCATAAGCGCATTCAATGATTCCCCAATTGATAATCCAGAAATCAATGCAACACCCAATGAGGAAGGATGGGACACATTGGTAGCTGCAAGTATCAGCAGAACAAAAATCACAAGTACAGTGAGCATGTCAAGTCTGAACCCAAGCCAGAACTGCGCGCTGGACATGATCATTGTGGATGAATTTGACATGTCTACTTTTAGTCGGGCTTGCTCAATAAACTGCTTCTGCATTCCAAACGCCTTGATGGAATCTACGCCAGTTAATGATTCAGAAATATGCGAGAGCAGTGGTGATTTCATGATGGATGACAGTCGCTTGAGCTCACGATACGATGTAGTGAAGTATTGAAACATGCTATATGCATAATAGGAAAAGACTGAAAATTGAACTAAATTGTATAATCAGAATCAAACACTGATTAGTAAAAGCGTGCTGACATTAAGAATCACAAGCCAAAACTTACGTAAAAGATAGCTAGAAGAATAGGCTACAATAATGATACTTGAAACAAAAGTCACCAAGTTGCCACTGATATTAATAAAAGGCATAGCCATATTCATATCAAGAGAGCGAACATCAACTGTCATTCGGTTAAGAATACGTCCAACGGGCTGGCTATCAAAGAAACTCATTGGCGCCTTCATCAAACCATTGAGAGCCAGATTGTGGAAAATCACTGATGCTCTATACGTAGCAAAGAAAATAAACCCGGATACAAGGCAAAACGTTATAGCATCTAGAGCACCAATGATCGCGTAATAGTTTCGATAATCTTTTTGCGAGAGATGAAGCTTGTCATTTGTCCAAAGTGCAAGGTAGATGCGAGAGAAAGTAGTCAAAAGCAATCCAACAGCTACCATCATACAGCAAAATGCGACTATGGTTTTCCCGCAAGAAGCAAAGTAAGAACTAAGGGTTGCTTTGCTGACTCGCCCAACCCGACGATCCTCATCCACAGCGTTTTCATTTTGATACTTTGCAGTTCTTCCAATAGTACTGGCATTGGGATCAGCTGTGTTAACAGCTAGGTTGCTTTTCTCTGCATCGTCAACGTGATAGTTTTTCATGAGATCAGAAAGACCGCTGTTAGACTTGGACATCAGCTCCCTGAATGTTCCGCTTTCTAAGATACGACCATTCTTTAGCAAAACAATCATGTCGACTTTGGGGAGTAGGTGAAGTTGATGGGTGGCAAGGATAACGGTTTTCTTCCTAAGTGTGCCGCGAATAGCATTGTCAAATACATCTTTTCCAACATGAGCATCAAGCGCAGCAATGGGATCATCGAGAAGGTAAATATCAGCATCATGAGCAATAGCACGAGCAAGAGCAACGCGAGATTTTTGACCGCCTGACAAGTTGATGCCTTTTTCGCCAATCCGAGTGCCAAGACCGTTTGGCATCAGTTCCAGATCGTGTTCAAGGCAGGAAGCAGACACGGCTTTTTGGAGATTTAAACGAGCTGAATCGTTTCCAAAAAGAATATTGTCTTCAATGGTACCGCTTTGAATCCATGGTTCCTGAGCACAGTAGGCGACAGAGCCATACATGGTAGAGCTGCCACTAGTTTTGCGCATTCCACCAACAAGAGCAGAAAGAAAAGAACTTTTGCCACTTCCAACAGATCCAACAACTGCAACGCAAGCACCATGAGGAATGCGTAAAGTTATCCTTTCGAGTGAAAACGGAGCAGCTTTTTGAGATTCTGAAAGAGCTGGACTAAACTTGACTTTCTTTGTTGACTCGGTACCCACTTTTTTGTCATCCGCCTTGACCGACTCCCAAGTGAATGTAGCATTGACAAATTCGAGCGCACTACCATTGGGAGTTTGATTAGAGGGGAGAATAACAGTTTCCTCATTGGGTCGAGTTTCTTCAGCAATTATAAAAGACCTGACGCGTTTGAACGATACCCCGAATTGCAAAACTGAAGCAAATTGAGAGACAATGGACCCCGATGGTCCTAAAAGTGCATCAAACAATGCCAAGCCACCAAAAATATTCTCAGCAGTGATAGGGTATCCTAGCGTAGCGTACACCATGATTGACGCGGTAGGCACAAGATTCTGCTGGATAATAATGGCGCTGAATAACCAAACAAGCATGGTGGTCAATTTGCTCAAACCCGATAGCTGATTCAAGCGCGATGCATTAATGGTTTTAAGGAAAATAGATTCAATGGCTTGGAACTTGATGATCTTGATACCGTACAAGAACTCACGAATGATTTTTGTGCGATCGTCCATTGCAGCCATGTAGTTTTTGAATTGATTAGCCAAAAATGGAGCAGCGACCAATTGACCGAGAGTAAGGCCGAGATAAACACCAACAGCAACCCATGTAGCATATCCAAAGACACGAGAAATATAGTAGAGAGCAAGACCAATTTGAACAGCATCAGCCAAAAGATTGTTCAGACCGATGGGGAATCCAACAATTGCTTCGGCATCCGCAGTGGCAAGCGTGTTGATTTTTCCTTCAGAAAATTCTTGACGAGATTTGGTAGAAATATAGAGCGATTTCGAGTAAATTGCATCCACCAGCGTAGAATTCATCTTGATGCTAAGGTTAATTTGGAGCGATCGAATAAGAAAAATAACAAGTACATAGACAAGCTGCATTGAAAACAAAGTCATTGTAACGACATATCGATTGGTGTGAATTAAACCATCCGTGCTAGCAGAAGGATCATTTTGAAGTTGCAACACTCGGAGAATTTGAGGGATCATGAGAGGACGAGCGATATTTAAAAAAACAAGAACTGCAGTCAAGAACAAAATCAATAGACTGAAAAGATTGAATTCGTGTTAGTGTTTAGAAACAAGTGGTGATGAGACTAAAATTGATTGAATACTTACAATGGCAGGAAAAAGGCAGCAACCATAGATTTACCGAAACTAGGCAGTGGTACGTTTTTTGGGTCAGCATAATGAGAGCGGAGTTTTTTCCAAAATGGTGCAAGATGGCGAGCAGTGGCAGCAGTTTTGTCATTGTTGCTAAGTTCGGGAAGATCCTATAGGGGTTAAAATGAAACCAAAGTATTAATACTTGATTTGGGGGTAAACCAAAGAAAAAGTAACCCAAAATACCTTTTCTTGAAGCGGGGTTATCCTTCCTAGACGCAGAATTGGAGTGACCCAAGACAAAGTTATAAACGAAAAAATATTTCGTTTAATCTGCGGAAGTTTAGGGATCGGTTTAGGTACCTCGGGAGGAGAGGCAGCTTTGGATTGGTTGAAAAAACCCATTACACAGAAACAAAGGTTGGAGGATAGTGATGTTGAGTGAGCAGTTATTTTGAGGATGCTATGCTGGGATTAATGCTTTATATACTCATTTAACTATCCTAGAGAATTCAACAGTAACGTTGGCGATTTCTGATTGGTTCGGTGCGAGATTGCCACGTATCACACTTGACAGGGTTGAATTAGCTTATAAAATGTATGCATTATTGGACCCGTAAGTGATGAGTTTAACGATTACAGTATAATGAATTGTGGGGTTGCATTGATTTCCACTCAATGTTCATTCATTTCAACATCCTTCAATTCAGCCAGTATTTGGCCGTACAAGACATTTGTCTGCCATTCTATTTGATGTAATTTAATTAGCCGTGTTGACTAAACTCCGCCAATACAATCATAAACAACTCCGGGTACCTTCTGGCCTCCACCAGTTCCTTCTAAAAACAGTTGATTTTTAAAATTAGTAAAAAGCGTTTCAACAATTATGGGATGGTCTGTAGGCTGAATAATTACTTGAAGATATTCCTTCCGAGTCTGAAGTTTGTGTAGTTGGGTTTTGAGATAGTTTACTCCTACAAATACTAGATTGGATTCTTAATATGTATATTAAAGTATCAAGGTTATGCGATTAGAATACCAAATTTTCCAGGAGTCTGAGGTTCGTCCAAGTTGATGGAGTGAGTCTTGCACTCATGCTTCTTGATTATGCCCTCGAGATTGTTTTGGTGATATTCTTCTGATCTGATACAGACTTTAAAGTATAAATGAGTAAGATTGAAAGGATTATGCAGTAGGACTAATTAACATATTTGAATAGAATTCACTTGCATTGGTTGACATGTGTTAGCAAAGAAGCCAGTTGAAGACAGCAGTTTCTGATCTCATCCGAGTCACGAGATTTTGACTTTAATTTTGTGAGTGTGTCTCCCAACTGAATGGAAGCAATTTTCTCAATAACATGCAGTTGAGAAGTGATGGATGATCTAATTCAAGCATACATTCAAGTAAGATAATATTGAACAGTTTAAATGAGTTAATATTTGTAATTGACTTGCATGGCAGTAATCCAATTATCAGAAACCAAGACAGCAGTTGAGTCATGTAATTCAGTTAGTTGAGCAGCAATGAATTGAAACTGATTGAAGAGCATTTTATTCTTGAGTTTATTCTGTAATTCAATTTTTAATTCAATTTTTAATCCAATTTTTAATTTATTCTTCAAGTGTCGATTGTCGTTTAGAATTGGTTTGTCATTCATCAAATCTGTTTTTATTCAAAGTTTAAATTCGACTTTTTCATCAAATTTAGTAAAAACTTTTTCAAATTCGATTTGCAAACATCAGATCTCAATGAGTCCATCAGCCTCGTCCAGTAGCAAGGAATCTGGCACTGCTAGACTCTTGGGTGCTGCAACTTCTGGAATCCTTGAACTTCTTGGATTTCATCCTATTGATACAGTTGCTAAACGACTCATGAACAATCAAACAAAGGTTTGTTATCGTCTTGATCCCTTATTGACACTTGATATCACTCGCATGAATTTACAATATAATAATGTTTCAATGGGCTAACTGATCATAATTTTTACTGAATTACTCTAGGCTGTTGGTCAACACACTTTTCCTGAGCGTATGGCAGAGCTAAACAAAGTCATCTTCAAGGTCTGTTTAGAAACTATCGACTCCTTTTGTCAATTGATGCTGTTTTCATCTGCAGTGTAACTTTAGTGTCATGATGAACAATCATTGCATATTGAACCATGAATCATTAAAACACATTCTGAAATTCTGATCCGTTTTGAAAACGATCGCCATTGCCGACACTAATATACAACCATTTGTGCTACTCCATCTATTGTTTAGGATGCTGCATCAAAAGGAACCTTTAAAAAATACTTGTCCTTGTTTCCAGGTCTTGGGTTTGCTGCTGGATACAAAATCATGCAGCGTATCTACAAATTCGGTGGTCAACCATATGTCAATGAATACTTGAACAACAACCACAAAAAATCATTTCAGTCTGCATTCGGAGATGCTCATGCCAAGACAATTATTCATGCTACTGCTGGAAGGTATGTTTTATACGGGCTGATTTAAATTGTTTCAAAGGCTTACTCTGGTCTTTTTATTGCTGCAATCATATAGCATGATTGGTATTGGTGAAATTGTTCTTTTGCCATTGGATGCTCTCAAAATTAAAATGCAAACCAATGCAGGAAGCTACTCTGGCCAATCAGTCGTTCAGATTATTCGCCAGGAAGGCTGGGGTTTATATCGTGGAGCAACATGGACTGCTGCTCGAAATGCTCCTGGATCATTCGCTCTTTTTGGTGGATCTGCCATTGTTAAAGAGTATTTGTTTAAACTCGAAGATTACAACAAGGCCACCTTTTTACAAAACTTTGTTGCTTCAATCAGTGGTGCCATGGCTTCTATCACCATATCTGCACCTGTAAGTCAAATATTTGATCATCCACCATTGTGTTATCATCTAACCATTGCTGCCTTTTTCATTATAATAGTTGGATGTTATCAAAACCCGTATCCAGGCAAAAACTGCCTCGCAAGCACAGGGTGGATGGACAATTGTCAAAGAAATGGCAATGAAGGAAGGCTTTGGATCATTCTTCAAGGTAAACTCAATTCCTATTCATATGATTTTTAATTGTAAAAATTCTAATCACCAACCTATTTTGATCCAAACTTGAAATAACACTTCTATAGGGACTTACGCCAAAGATTCTAGTTGTTGGCCCAAAACTTATTTTCAGTTTTACTGTCGCCCAACAGCTTATCCCTTACTTTGATGGATTGATCAAGAATTGCTAATGAATTTATGCTTTACATACTTGATCTATGCATTCAATCTACATGTGAATGGGTTTTTGAAATTCCAACAAAATAAACATGAACCCCTTTACTTTTCATGAGTCTTTGTAGTGGTTTTACAAAAACTTGACTAAACATTACAATATTGTCTGATTGGCATGAAAACAAGTTGTATTTTCGAGACTTGTAATCTTTAGTTTGTTGGATTAGAACGCGAATGATATTTTAAAATACAAGTGTTTTTGACAACATCAAAACAATCCAACTCAATATCTGGATTACAATATATGAATCTGAGTTTAAACTTGGTGATCGTGCAATGTACGATAATGTCAGTTTAAAATCATAGTTTGATTGTATGATGAATATTGTACTGAGTGATGAGTTGAAAACATCAATTAAAGTTGATTCTAATATAAGAAACAGCAAACATTCAGCAATTGTTTATTCCAAAACAAAAGTCACGACAGAATGAAAGTGTTTCTTTGGCATGACAAATCTAATTTTGACCAACTCGACAAACTTGTAAACCATGACAATCACTACTGCTGATCATACTATGTTTGAAAAGTTCAAACTAGCTCAGGTTCATCAATGCTGCGAACAGCTAAACTCTGAGCTTCCTCCTGTTGCTTACCAGATCATCACTATGACTGATTCACTGTTTATCTGGGTTGGTCAAGGTGATGATGCTGTCAACTCTACTAGCCATTCACAAGATCAACAACAATCTGCTGTTGAGACAGGCAGGCTTGAGCAACTGGCTGTAGCCATGCTTCATGGCTCGGTAAATATGTTATTTCATTACTATAATATACTAGCATTTGATACTCAACTCATACTGGCTTGGCTATTTGATTCACCTTGTAGCAAACTATTTCTTCAACGCTTCTTTGTCCAACTCTGGAAGGCCATAGTGAAAATATTGCCAAGAGACTAGGTAGACTACTCTAGAATATATGTTTGAATGACTTGTGGAAATAGAAACCTAATATTATGCTTTGGGATAATTGGAAATCATTAGCAAGCAGATTCAAAATGCAAGTATTCATGAGTATGGGTCTTGGAATAATGTATGAGCAAACACTGCCATTGATTGAGCGTAGATTACATGTGCTTCTTAGAGAAGCAATCGACTCGTCCGCTTCAGGCTCTGTATCCATTCAAGACACTCAGCATCACTCTTTGGCTGCAAAGTCTGAAAGTGATCATGCCAAAACCTTGACAACTTCAGAAACTACAACTGTATCTAGATGAGTATGGACATTATAACCCAGTGCAACTTTTATATTCAAATCCCATTTTGATTAAATATATTTCGTGTTTAATGCAACCATACTATTTTTAAAGCCATGGAATGCTAAGTAGTGCAGTCATCTCAAAATAGTATACTTGGCTGGGTTGGGTTAGATTCATTGACAACATTCACGACCTGGAAATACAGTAATGAAACAGTAATTCAAAATTGCCACTCATTGCAGTCTGTATGCAAATTAGATGCTTGGATTTCGTGGCAAATTGGCCATATTCATGTAAAATGCAATTCCAAGTGTCAATACATAAAAATAATCTTGATGTTTGTTCAATCTTTGGCTTTCCTTTTATCCAAACATTACAATATTGTCTGATTGGCATGAAAACAAGTTGTATTTTCAAGACTTGTAATCTTTAGTTTGTTGGATTAAAATGCGAATGATATTTTAAAATACAAGTGTTTTTGACAACATCAAAACAATCCAACTCAATATCTGGATTACAATATATGAATCTGAGTTTAAACTTGGTGATCGTGCAATGTACGATAATGTCAGTTTAAAATCATAGTTTGATTGTATGATGAATATTGTACTGAGTGATGAGTTGAAAACATCAATTAAAGTTGATTCTAATATAAGAAACAGCAAACATTCAGCAATTGTTTATTCCAAAACAAAAGTTACGACAGGATGCAAGTGTTTCTTTGGCATGAATACGGCTGTAAATACGCTGCTGATTAGAAACTATTGAATCTCTTGTTTATTATACAGCCATAATGTAGTGTGAATAGCTACAACATACTTTATTGGGTCCAATCAAACTCAACACCGCGAATTGTTTCAAGTTGGATCGGCATGGGTCCGATTCTTTCAATACGATCGGTGGCCCATTCTTGTAGTACCAAGGACCCATAGCACTCATAACGATCGAATCGAGATTCATTCATTGGTATGTGGCGCACTCATTAAGACTAAATTCAATCAGTCTGCTGTTTAAACCATTGCGGCACACCTGTCAGGAATATCTTTGGTTTAATTAAATCATTTGAAACCATTTTTCATCAACTTTCATGGTTGTGGGCACATAGTCTTGTTAATATTTAAAAGGACTCGTTGCGTCCACCATTGATAACAGTCAATCTACATCTGAACCATTCAGTCACCACCACTATAAATCACTACATATTTCCTTTCTATAATGTCCAAAACTGTTATTTCCAATGTGGATTCTTTCAAAAATAATGCATACAAGACTACCAATTCCGACACTTTATCAAACCCGATTGCTTCAACCAAGTAAGCTTTTTTTCAGATCCAAAATTTACTGTTGTCACATCAATGTTTATTTTGTCGATTTACATTATTATTCACGTACTAACCCAATGATACTCGTGTATATTTTCAGAGTCATGTCTGTCAAACCGGCCACTTTGCAGATATCGACAAAAGGGCTGCAATCGCATAATGTTCCCCATGCAAATGAGTGCTTCACTGACAAACTCGGCAACATGGAATCCAATCATCCCACACTAGTTACCATTCCTCAAGGCTACCGCATGGTTATTCTTCCCGGAAACCTTGTCGATAAGTTTGGAAATCCTGCTTTTCCTATACAAAAGCCTTCCAAAATTTCCAAATCTAATCCCACGTCTCCTACCAGTCTAATTTCTTCCAAATCTACATTTGAATCTCACAAAATCGATACCTTTTCCAAGGCTAAAGCCATCAAGAATGCCTCGGCTATAAAATCACCTCCCGTCAACAAAGGAAAACGGCCCATGAATTCTTTTTTCCAGTACCGAAGCAACAAGCTAGCTGAAATCAGAGCAAATCATGGAGTCGTTTCTAACCCTGAAATTGCTACCATTGCTGCAGCCATGTGGAAAGCAGAGCCAGAATCGGTTCGCAATGCATACAAGGAACAATCACTACGCAATTATCAAGAGTATTTCGACGCAAACCCAGATTTTGTTTGGATGCCAAAATATCGTGGTCTTAAAAATGCTGCTGCTCGTACTGTTGGTGAGATGCGTAATCAGACAAACCGCAAATTGGCAAACTTGGTCACCAAGAAGCTTACTGGAAGACCGCGATCCAAATCTGCTCCTGCTTCACCTACCACTAACATGAGCTGTCATTCGTCGTTTTCATTCGGTCAAGATCTACGCCAACAATTAGGTGAACAGGCTTTGTTTGAACAATACCGATCGATTAGTCGAGACAATACCGACAAAAACAAAGGTGCCCATATTCTAACAAACAACTCTTACTTGGATGCCACGAATGGACTTACCATCACTCCACCCATGTCTCCTACTACTCTTCAAAAAACACTGTCATTGATGACTTTTCCAGTGTTGAATGGCTGCTCTGAAACCGACTCTGAGAACACCAGCTTTATAAATGCAAATACCACTCTTTCATTTCCCATGGATTATGAATTCAGTACCGAGTCTGAATATTCTTTTGCCAATGCTGTTTCTGCACCTTTGTGCATATCAGACAGTCGCGTCTTTGCCAATTCCTTTACTGGTATGCTTCATACACCATCAAGCACTCCCTCATCTACTCCTCAAAACTCGCCTAAACTCCAACACGCAAACATCGATTTGATGTTTATGGACTCGCTTAATCAAGGCAGCCTACTTGAATACACATCCTTTCAAGATATGCTTGATTTCCAATGGACAGAAAACAATACCGACTCCACGTTAACCTTTTTGACAGATGAACCCACTGCAATGAGTTCCCTATCTAAATCATGCTCATCGTTTGAATTGGATGCCAACGTAAATTTATACTCTGTTGCCAACCCTACAGCTTTAACTCGTATGCATCACGATCTTACTACTCAGAATCATATGTCTGCTCATTCTGCTGATTTCAAACCCAAAACCGATCATCATGGCATGTATAGCATTGCTGATGATGCAAGCAGCATTTTTTCAAAGACTTTACAAGAATCAACACATATTCAAGCTGATCTTATGGCCATGATCGCCTTTCCAGAATCACCCATCAAGTCCATGCCAATCGATTTTGAAACAATAACGTTGGTTAATCCGTTGACACTGTTTTCTACATCATCTCAACTTTCATTTCCACTCAATCCTACACCCTTGATTCATGCGGATAACTCGACTGCATCATCATATATTCCAATTTCACCAACATTTACTCCATGTCAAAGCACAAAAATAAGTTGCGAGAAATTCGCTCCCATTACAACCCTATTCACCTAAATGCAACAAAAAAAGTCAAAATATATAATAAACAGTCAGTTTTATGAAACAATCATTCAAATTGAAGTGTATCATCTGAACGCTTTAGCTTATGGTTTGTTGATGATTGGCATAAACACAACGAGTTTGTACAGTACTATTGAAAAAGGTTGAGATCAATATCTGGGTTGACACGTATACCACAATGGATCTTGAAGAAATTATGTTCTATTTAAACCAGTTTATTATTTATGTTCGATCAAGGTTAGGGTAGTGGTGCAGCAGTAAAACTGTTCCTTCCGCGCTCCATAGCCTTGAAATGTACCGAGTTTTGAAACTCTAAATACAATGTAAATACAACATGCAGAGACTCGATGAGACTGTTTTGTTGTCGTTTTGCATCAGGCTTGTCTGTTGGTGATGGTTGATGGGTTGGAATATCAAGAATGAGGGCTACAACTGCAGCATACTGTGATAAGGGAAGATCAATCGATGCGTGAAGCAGTTGTGTCTAATCAAAAACAAAATAACGTTGGAATGAGTTGACCATTCATTATATTCAAGATTGCGTTGTTAAACTTACCGATTCAAATGCGGATTCGAGTGCAGGCGGCCATACTTGCATCAAATCTTCGATATCAGGCATACGACGAGAGTAGTTTACAGAAGGCGGCGGGTTTTTGCCGTGCAAATCCTTGATGTTTTTAATCCATGCGTCAATCAGTTTAGGATCTTTACACAAGGCGGATGATTCTAGTGATCGAACCACTTGTGGGACTACTGTGGCTGATTTGCTCACGGCTCGAAGATGGAGATCCAAGACTTGACATTGATTTCAAAATGTTGGATTGTGGATTTGACAAATTTCTCAAAAAACCAAGTTACTTACCTGATGGGTCCGACTGTGCTGCTGCTGGTTCATCCAAAAGAGCAAATCCAAGAATATCAGGTTTTTGATCTACACGAGGAATCTAAATGAATTGCAAGTCTGCTGTTGGTATTCAAAGCCTTGCCAAAATAAATCAATGACTCCTATTTATGCGATTTTCTTACTTTGATAAATGCATCAATATCTCCTATTGCAGGGATAAGATCTGGAATAAACGATTTAAGCTCAACATCCAAGTCCTGTTCTTGCACGGAATAGCGTTCAATATACTCCAAAAGTTGCTTGATTTCATTCCCGAGCGTTTCACCTTGAAACCTAATTTGATATACATTGTGTAATCCTATGATATGAGCCATCAGAAATGGACTTGTCCAAAACATAAACCCCATTTTTTGGATTACTTACAAAGAACTTTCATGATGGTCATCTTCATTGTCATGATCTTCATCAGTTTCGGTGCTGTGTGCATGAGCATGCTTCAAATCTGTTGAGCCGTGTTTTCTAATATTGGTCGCCTCACTATTCAATGGTCCAACTAGAGTGATTTAAACCCAATTCACAAAGCAAAACATTACTCTTTGGTTTCACGAAAACATTGCCATTGCAGACCATTAACATCAAGTTTACCTTTTTTCATTGTTTCTTCAAATGCTTCGTCCTCGGCTTGCTAATCAGTATTTTATGAAATTGCGTTGATTTAGAGCATCCCGAATTATAAAACTCATTATTTTTGAAAAAGCAATTGGATGCATACATGAGTCAAGTGTTCTTCATTATCACCCTCATCGTAATCAGAGACCGAAAGCTTGGCAGAAGGTGGACTATCTCCACGTGGATGACCTATACTCCAGCCATTCAACAAACCAGATATGAATGGTCAAACAACTATCAAAGTTGATATAATTCACAACGCTTTGCATGGTATAACCAAGTGATGGTCAATACGCTGCTCAACTTGAGAAACAGTTCAATCAATTCAAATATTTTATTGCAGCAAATACTACAATACTATATGTGTATGATAATAAGCTAGTACGACCAGATTGACTCACCTCGTTCTATACCAGACCGGTCTTGTTGGTGATGGTAAGTGGGGTTTGCAACCTCGTCTGTATCACTCATTTCAAGCGCTTCATCAAAGTGGTTGTTGGACACTTTAACAGCTTTTGACATTACTGTTTAAAGGAAAGACTCGAAAGCTATTAAACTAAATGGCTTGATAAACGCGAGTTTAATGATACAGTTGCGCTATTAAATTGCTTGTTGAGCGGAGTTTAGTCCATCTGATTGGTGACATGACTAGACCAAATTCTGTGATATCTTATTTTCAATTGTATTGATACGAGACTTGCTACAAACGTAGATATACTCGTGCATCTTTATGCCAACACAAGCCATTTATAATAAAAGGATTGCTTTATTTTACTTGCTTGTTTTCCTGTTGTTGGTTGGCACAAACTTGCTCAATCTTGGCCTTTAGATCTTTGGAAATCACGTCTGCCAATTTCGGTGCAGCAGCCCATTGAGTAGAAAGACGTTTGCGAACAGCAGTAAATGAATCCCAAGGTGCTGTTGCTTTTCCATGGTTGTACACCACAACCATCTCATCTTGTCCAGGCTGCTTTGAATCAACGGGATAAACCAAAGGAATCTAAATTGCCACAAGCATCTATCAACAGACCAAGATCATGACAATACGATCAAAACAAATTGCCAACACCTACTCCAGCACTATCTCGAATCACTTTAAGCTCTCCAGGAAGACTGATCTTTTCACTTCCAGTCTTGGGCATTTTCATTACATCGCTAAACACCAAAGTTGCACAAGTCATTAGAGATTTCATGTGCTCGATGGTTCATTCATTGTATGACTTACCGCTCAGTACCATCGGCATAAACAATTTTGGATAGTTTTGTGGCAAAGGACATGGTATCACGATTTAGTTTTTGAAGCAGACCGCCGCCCATACCATAGGCACAGTTCTGGCCTGAATATCCAGCAGCCTTGATTGCATCAGCAATCTGAGCGATGGTGGAAATATTGATGCCATCTCCTTGAATCACACCTACACCTCTGAGAACCTATCCGCATCAACCGTCAGCACTACAAAAACAAACAGGTAATATTTAGACCGAAACATACCTTGAATCCTTTGGAGTTGATATCGCTACCAAACACGCTGTCAGCAGCACTGAGCACTCACACAATCGTACAAGTGTTTGTCATAGAAACAGTCAGACGTAATCAAGTCATTTTTTTCAGTATGGGTACCAAGAATAATGATTTACCGAAGAGCTTGAAGAACAACTTCAACCGGATCGCCACTATCTGGACGCAAAACCAAAAATCCACCTTTTTCGGTTTTTACTGCAGCGATGCTCGGAAGTATGTTTTCAAGTGCAGCGGTGTAGTCATAAGAGTCCATGACACATGCACATACACCACTTCCAAATTGATCAAGAAGGTGCAGCATTGCAAGCTAAAACACCAATTACAAATTAAACAGCATGAAAATGTCAGAACCACTCAATCCAATCCAACCTAACACAATGATATACCTTTTCGTTGCGGAAGGCTGTCATGATCGAATGTTCAGTGGCTGGAATCGAATATCCAACTGGGATACTGTCGTTCAAATGAAATTGAGCATACCAAGCAGCACTCATAGTGTCGGTTCCTTCAAAATTGAGCTAACGTTAAAGTTGAATAGTGGTAAGATGTAATGTTTGCTACAACGTTTGATAAAAATTAGGCTATTTACTAACCAAATGAGCACATCCACCAATAACAGACTGTTCAACACTTGTACATCCACGGAAACCAAAATCGTGAAGACGGCTAATATGATTGCCATTAAAATTAGTATGTTATAGTTTGACTATTAGCAATAATGCCTACCTTGAAAGTGACCAATCGCCCGATGCATCGACGGTATCTTGATAACTTTTTTCAATAATATCCCGACAACGTCTTGACAGAGTAGCCACGGTGGATGGATACTACAAGATCAAGAGTGCTCATCATAAATACTTGGCTTATAGTATAAAACTGGAAACTTGACAACATACCCAAACCATGGTCAACAGGGTTTCCAAATAGGTCACCAATCGAGCATACTTGTGCTCAGCAGTGATTTGGTAAACTGGTACATGTGGATAAATGACAGAACCTTCTGGCATGGCAATGATCTTTACAGGAAAGTATCCATCATACTCTTCAATAAACTATCCGCAAAGAACATTATGAAATTAGACATTTGGGTTTAATTGCAGACAACGCATATGCCAATACACCTTGAGAAACAAGTCCTTTGGAAAAGGAAATGGAGTTGCACCAGCGTTGTGGGTAGAAAGAAATGCTTCAGCCTGTTGCACATCCTGCACAGTATATTTGACAGCGACATAGTTTTCAATAAAATATCGCATCCCATAGAACACTATACGAGAATCAGTCTTGTCCTTGTTATAACTTGCACGAAACTCTCCATATGCTACCATCTAATATCACATTCATGCAGATCAGCACTACTGTCGTATGACAAATAAATCCATTATTCAAGTGTATATTGCTAATAGACTTATCAACACAAACTTGAATACTAGTAGATGACATGAACTGGCAGCAATGAAGCACTGATACATTCAATACCTTGACAGCATCAGGATACAGCTGATTGTGAGCAACCTTGTAGGAATCAGTCAGTAATGGTAGTGGGATTTTAAATGGAGCAAACATCTTGGTATAACTGATGGATCAAAAGACAAGTTCATGCCTGGCTGGATATCGGATTGTTATGGATTCTGTATTCCCTCCATCCAGTTTGAATCTACTAATAATCACCATGACATTCAATATGTCAGATCTCTACATTACAGTAGCTGTTCTACTTTCTAATTCTGTCACTAAATATAATCTTGCAGTCTTATTCATGTATTGATCTTGAAATGGACAATCATTACATTATGTTTTTTTTGATATAAACTGGTTGCTTAGTAAAACAGCAATTACCATGTAATACAAACTATAATTTTGAATTGAAATCATCCATTTTTGGCAGTCATACATTATACAATGACTGAATTCATGTATTACAGTCCATATATTGTGTTTGGTTATTGTCCAGTCTGTATGACTCTGCTTTGTTGTGCTAGACTTGAATACACTCGCGTTCTAGTCCAACAGAACAATGATTGCATGTCTTGGGAATGCAGCATTGTTTTGATTCCAATTACCACGAGAAAACCAGTCAATTTTGATGAGTTTATATGACATGGTATTGAGTGAATGTGGTGTGAATGGCGATTGCATGAGACTGTGTTTATTATGCATTGATATTCTTGGTTCATTCTACACGAATGCAGCTGTAAATTGCAATGAATAGTATAGCTTGACAAGCATTGGGTTGGTTCTTGGATCAAGATCGTCTACTAAACTGTGATAGTGATTCCATTTCAGATCGAGATATTCCCTTTAGCTCTAGTCCTTGAAGTCGTGCACTAGCTGCTCCTCGTTCAGCTTGTTCCAACTCAATTGTCCATTTCCTAATATTATCGTTGCATTTGTCAATTTCTGAATTGATTTTTACTAAATCTATATCCAAATCATATACTCTGTTAGTGTTTGAATGTTATTTTTGTCACACCTACTCGTCAAGATACAGATCTAGTCAGGGCCAAGTTTACCTTCTTTAAGCATCTTATGGGCATCTTCTCTAGAGAACTTTACAAACAAGCCACCAGAGTACATCCACGTTTTTTTCTCTTTTGCTAGCGCTAAACAAATGTCAAATTAGTACAGTGCCAATATTGTATTGCAGCCATATTTGCGTAAAATGAAACCCAAAATAGACAGCCAGCCTTAATGATGGTACCAGCTTCCACCACATTTACTGGACACTACTGAAACGTGCAATGTTTGCTCATTTAAACTAAAACGCAAATGGATCTGATATTTAAAGTACAGGAGTTTGTACAGACTTGAAAATAATCAAATTCAATATCTGAATTGCAATACATGAGCTCGGTGATCCACAGTGTATGGTAATACCAAAAGTGGAGAAAGACAATCTCAGTTCAAAACTATAATTTGATTTTGTGCAAATCATACAATGGATGTTGTGTTTTGAGCAAAAACTGAAGGTGTCAATTAAAGTCAATTTCTAGTAGGAAAGCGCAGCAAATTCAATCATCATCTATCCCAGAGAAAAGGACAGTAATTACAAGATCAATACAAAAATGCTCCATTTTAGATGAATACAGTTGTAGTTTGAACGTCATCAATTGATAGACTACCATTTCCCTGTCGAAAAAATCCCAGTGCCTGCTGCAGCTCCTGTCGTCGTCGATCATATTCTATTCTCTAATCAAGAATTACATTTCAAATAATATAGATGAGAGTCGATGTATTTGAGATGAATCATTCAATCAACTGGTATTTACAGCTGCATTCGTGTAGAATGAACCAAGAGTATCAATGCATAATAAACACAGTCTCATGCAATCGCCATTCACACCACATTCACTCAATACCATGTCATATAAACTCATCAAAATTGACTGGTTTTCTCGTGGTAATTGGAATCAAAACAATGCTGCATTCCCAAGACATGCAATCATTGTTCTGTTGGACTAGAACGCGAGTGTATTCAAGTCTAGCACAACAAAGCAGAGTCATACAGACTGGACAATAACCAAACACAATATATGGACTGTAATACATGAATTCAGTCATTGTATAATGTATGACTGCCAAAAATGGATGATTTCAATTCAAAATTATAGTTTGTATTACATGGTAATTGCTGTTTTACTAAGCAACCAGTTTATATCAAAAATACATAATGTAATGATTGTCCATTTCAAGATCAATACATGAATAAGACTGCAAGATTATACTGTTGCTTACCAAGTGTTTTTCACTTAGAATGTCCTCTGCCAGTCGCTCAACCAGTGGCTGTTCTATTGAAAATAATCCGATTCACTTTTGTGAATTTACAGAGTTGAATCCATTCAAATCAAGGACATGCACTTACTTTGAATAAAGTCCATTTTTGATGTCAAGGTTTGAATTGAGCAACAAGTTGTTCTAGCGACAAGAGAGCGAATGCGATCAAATTCAATCCATTGATTTCTTGCTGTTACTTTCAACTTGACTTGATAGCAAATTCTAGTGAAGCCAACTGATTGCTGCCTTTGTTTTTATAGTCAATACATATTTGTGCAGTTAAGATGGCCATGTCAGCAAAAGCAAGGGCAAACGGTAACAGCAACTTATACCGCATCAACTTCAATTCCTTGTTAACATGAATCAACTTGATGTTATATCTTGACTAACTCTTTTATATTCAATCATTCATGCTATAGTTCGTTTGCCCCCAGAAGTCAACCGGATATTGTTTATTCGAAATTTACCTTACAAGATCACAACTGAAGACATGTATGATCTTTTTGGAAAGTATGTCGCTGCTTTGTACGAGTCTTGGATAGGGTTAGATCTACTTGGAATGCTGACACTTGAGTAATCTTGCATCTTTTCAACCTGTGCAATTAGATATGGATCAATTAGGCAAATTCGCATGGGCAATGCACAGGATACTAGAGGAACTGCATTTGTCAGTAAGTCTAGCTTCTATGGTTTTCAATGTAGTTTAAACACTAATCATTGTTATTTTAGTCTACGATGATATTTTTGATGCCAAAGCTGCTTGTGATCATCTAAGTGGGTTCAATTTGCAAGGAAGATATCTTGTGGTATTATACTTTTCATCCACAAAGACAAACAAAAAGCGAGATTTGAATGAAAAGGAAGCCGAGATTGAGAGTATGAAACGGAAGTATGGCGTCGAATAAAGCCATTCAAAAAGGTTCAATCAGTGTGATTCTTGCAGCAACTCGATCTTGTTTATCATCTAATAGATTATACGTTAATCGGATCAGTTGATGCAAAATATATTCCTAGTTATTGTCAGGTGTATGCTTATACTATAAAGATGGTCATTACTAAAAATGGATGCTTTTGACTCGGAGTTTAATTAATATTTGAATGTTTGGATGGTGTCAACTCAACTGTCTTACAACTTCTTCATACAGTGTCCAAGAAATAGCTGATCCTAGTGATTTGCGTATCAATCTAGGAACAATACCACTAAAAAACCCAGTCATACCTTCTGCTGCAGAGATCTTTGCAAAGCTTTGAAGGAGTGAAGGATACTCTAAAGGCTTGAGTTGCATGCGTGTTTTCATCATGTCAAACGGCTGAGTGAGCAGAGTTGCTGAGAAGCCACTCAGCATACCCGCTCCTAGATTAATTGCTACTGGAGAATTGATTGCTCCTACAAGTAGAAAAGTATCAAGCATATATTCGAGTGAGATTAGATCTTGGCTTGGATTTAAAATACAACCACACACCTCCCAGTATTAGCTTGAAGTTTTCATAAAAAAAGACATAGATGCCCGCATAAGGAGCATCACGAAGGATAGTAGCTCCAAATCCTCGAAAAAATCCTGGAATACCCTCCGTCCTCCATATTGATGACATTGAATTCCACAGACTCTTGTATGTGTATAAATTACTCTACATTGAGTGTTAAAATCCAATATTTCAAACTCTTGTCAACAAGTCATGATCATCTCACTTCGTATCTGATCTTGACTACAGTAATAGGCATTGCAGCAAACCCAATCACCTAAACAGTGAATAATAACGTTAAGGCTAAACAAGGATTGTAACATCTGGACATTACGTCTTGGACGCTTACAACACGAGACGCAGCACCAGCTATCAGATTTGAAGTGTTTTTTGTCACACCCAACCGTTCCATTGTACTGCGTAAACTATGAACAGACAGGAAATACAATGCGCTGCCTGGCACATTACGTAGTATGGTGGGTAGAGTTCCTCGCCATAACCCGCTTACACCATCTTTTTTTACAACATCGTTGAGAGTAGTAAAAAGTGTAATGTTTGCAAGAGATCGAACTTGGGTTGCAGTAAGTGTAGACATAAGAAGCCGTCTTGCCTGCATACTTTGTTGGAGTCGCTGGGCGTAAAAACAATATCCATATGAACGTAACAAGTTTGAAAGATTGATCGAATGTTAGTTGAAAACATTGCAACGTAATATACATTTTTACATTTAAACAGCCGGCTTGAACAGTCTTGTATTGTTCTTACTGTTTTCATCTAATTGTAATCCAGATTCAATAGCATGAACAAAGGTTAGATTGTGCAATTACACATTGATCATCCTGAACCAGTTCTTGTGATTGAATTGGTAAAACACATACTAAATCAAGTGGTTGAAGCAAGACGCATGAAACTAGACCAGACACTCCACCTGCTGCAAGATGAACAGTTGGATTCTTTTGTCTATTTACTGATGCCATTTATGTTGATGATCTGGTGGAAATTGTATGAATTTCAAAATGGGTTTTTGTTGAATCTTTCAGTCTTGTCATGGTGTCAATGCTCTGGCTCAACACCTTTAAAGCTGTATTCATGCAGAATAAAACACTTGCATTTATCCTGCAGTGATGATTTCAGAATAAACAATGATTGACTATTCGTTGTTTTTCTACACAAATCGACTCGAGTATCCATTTTCAGTTCTTTAGTGTCTGAAATGGCTCGCAAACGAACCAATTGTTTATTACACTCGAGTCATTTTCTGCAGGGTTCAAGAACGGATAATATAGAGCTGTGTAGTGTAGTTGTAATCTGCGCGCCGTTTGTTGAACGGTTCATAACGATGTTCAATCAGACGGTTGCTTTGTATAACGAAATGTTGTCTAGAACAATATGTTCGTTTACAAAGTCTTGAAAGTCAACGGATTGCAAGAAGACTCGGAAAATTGAACACAAGTCAAAGAAATGGTACTTGCACTACACAAGCCATGTCCGGATAGTCCTGTTACTGGAAACGTTGGTTTCACACACATCAACGAATATCTGGCACAACCATGACATTGAACAAGTGCTGTTGTATCCTAATATCAGATACGTTCCAATTCAAGAAAACAAAGATTGCACATTTCAGTAGTGCACCGTTATTTTCATGCCAGACATACTATGTCATGTTTGGTTCGGAAAAAAAGGAAAGATGGAGATTGAAAAGACGTGAAAGATGCGGAATGCATTTGAATAGGAATACGAACGCTGCATTGAATATTCGCTCGGTTTTTATGAAAATAAGCACGGAAAAAAGCCAATGAGCTTCGAAAAAGGGTTTAAAAAAGGCACAATGGTGTCTATCAAGATTGGTGCGAATCATCACTTTATGAAACTGGCTGTTTATCATGTATTTCGGCAGTTTAGTGTTGCATTTTACGTAGACAGCTGTATTCACGCTACCTACAACAGACTATCACCAAGTCGTTAAAACTATATGGTTACAAACAATCATTGTTAAGGGACAGTTGCCAAGTCTGGGTAGTTTGTGTATCTATTTATTTCGGCACAAGTCAGTGCAGTACTGCGGAAACAGTATCAGGTGCTTGTGACGTGATACTAGAATAGGGTGAACCAAGTTGAAGCACGATTGAAAATAGTTTGGATGAAAGGGAGGATAAACTGGAAGACAACTATAAATATATTGAGAATCAAAAATGCATGCTTTATACAATAACCTTTCATCAATATAATACCAGCTGCATCATCGATTGCGAGTTATACAAACTGACTGATCATACTTTACATTGCATACTGCCTCATGGTTCTTTTTTTGGTAACAGTTTTAGCTGCAATATCTTGCATCAATGCTCAAACTCTTACAGCACAACCTGATGCAACATCAACATCACCTGCTGCTATTAAAACTAAATGGTCCGAGTATAGACCCATCAACTTTTATCGCGATGCTGGATTGTTTACCTTTTTTCCATATACTCTTGAACAGCGAAATGTTCTAGTGTCAAATGCCGAAAATATATTCAAGGCAAGTTGTCATTTCCATCACAATCTGATACCATAACCAATACAATATATTGCAGCATATTATTAACTGACCAACACATTACAATCGAACTCCAATGATTCAACATGTCCAGGCATGGGTCAATCTTGAATCAAAAATAAAGCATCATGGCCAACAAGCAAATCCGTTTCCTGCTCTCGAGCATATCCGAAACAATATCGGAACCCTTACTGATGAACAGCTCCAGCTTGGGTTACTGGATGCATTTGCTCGAGCTCGCGACGGACATACTGCCATGACATTAGCTGGTCCGTATAGTTGTTTTTTCGTTACCACGGGAATTTCTTTTCAGTTCATTGATGGTCCAGGCAATATGATCAAAAACCCAACAATCGTCGTCAGTAAACCCGTCAATAGTGAAATATCTGACTTACTACGTAATACCGCCTATAATCGAATCGATGTTGGAGATCGACTTCTTAGCATTAACGACCTCACTTTTTACAAATGGAAAAAAAAGCATCAAAATGCCATTGGTGGATCCACCGAGTCTCATAGTCAGCGTTTAGCATTAAGATACTTGACTTCCAGACATGCGGCTCTTACCCAACTTCCTGATGAAGACTTTATCAAGCTTAAATTTAAATCTCGTGGCGACATCATATACGAAGTCAATGTACCGTACATGTCTGCATATCGACATACCTGTTGGGAATACTCTAGTAAACTTTACACACAGCTGACAGGTGTGAATCTTGATATACATTTACAAAATACAGTTGCTGTAAAAGCCAATAGTCATGCATTGTCAATCAAAACAGTCGATGATCGTACCACAAGTTCACAATCTACCAAACCATTGGTCGCTGCTCGCCGTATTCGAAAGCGGAGTCAAAACAGTAAAGATCAAGATACAGGACGATTGTCAAAACGTGGTTTACAGATTACATTTCATGAAACGAGTATACTCGAACTATCTTGGGCAATTTGGAGACCTGACGACCAAAACATGGGAATAATCAAACTGACATCGTTCAGGTGCACATCCCGCACAACAAACACACGAGATGTTCTTAAAGCAATTCGTGAAGTGGAAAGACTATTGACCACAGTACTCAAAGACACCAATTCTGTTTTGATCGATGTTCGTGAAGGTGATGGTGGAAGTATGCGTTTTGCAAATGACATTCCACAGCTATTCAAGAGCAAGCTTGAGCCATTTAAAGTGAAGTATCTTATGAGCAAGGTCACATACAATATGTTTGTACATCCACCCATAGATTCGAGATCGTCTCGTAATGCTTGGTCCAAAACACCACCCAAAAGCAAGTATTCGGTATTGCACGATCTTACAGATTTAAAGACATCCATCACTTACGATCAGGTTTATACTAAACCAATGGGTGTATTTACCAGTGGTGACTGCGCTTCTGCATGTGAAATCATGACAGGAACTGTGCAGTCGTTTAAACTTGGAACAGTGTTTGGTGAAGATGTCACAACAGCTGGCGCTGGTGCAGCCGTTTGGAGTTTAGATCCAGAGCTTATTTTTTATGATCCGACAGACTTTAAACCAATGCCATTCACACGTGAGTTGACATCTCATACCAAGGATACATTTTACAACAAAATGACTGTAGGTCATCGAGCACTTGTCCGTAGTGGCGATCATAAAGGAAAGCCGGTTGAAGATGTTGGCATCGCATCTGACATTATAATTCGACCAAAACTGGAAGATATTCTTCCTGGCGCAACGGTTAATTCGCAGTACGATTATATTGGCAACTATTTGATTGGAATTGATGAAAGACCAGCCAAAACAGTTTGCAATCTTTGGGGAGTTCTGTAGTAAAACAGTTGATTACTATAAATCGACGAGTTTACGTTACTTCAGCTATTCACTGCTGTATTCACGTAAAATGGAGGTTGCATTTATCTTGCAACGATCGACTTGTTGGAATAAATAATGTTTGAATATTTGTCGTTTTCGTACATAAATTGACTTTGATAGGCACTCGGTCCAGTGTAGTTCCAATTTTCGTGCCATTTGTCGAATGGTTGGTAAGTCAGGTTTGATTAAACAGTTTGCTAAAATGCTGTCTGTAATAAAATGTGCGTTTGGAAATCTTATACCTAGAGTCTGTATATTGACCTAAAGCAATCGTGCAATCCCACAGAATTCACGTTTTTAAAGTCTGCACAGCTACCTGCTTGATGTTATCAGAATGGTTTCAAAGCATGATAAAAATGTTTATATAATCAAAAATATAGTTCATGTTCTCATTGCCGTTAACACAGCTGTAAACGTCAAACTTTGAAAAAGCAGTTTATTCAAGACTGTTTTCACCAGAAACCTGCGTTTTATCAGTTTAGATACGCCATCAATTCAGTTTCGGCCTTTTGCAGTTTAGCCTCGTGTTCGCTCGTAACCTTGGAAACATGCTTGATTGAGCTCTTCATATCCAAAAGAATAGCAGCTTCGCGAGCTTCCTTGCTGTTGGAAATAATAGTTCCGATTGCTATAAGTTCGCGAAATAGTGCTTCGCCATCTGTTTCTGTATGTATCATCTGCAAGCGTTTGCAAAACATGCAATATCAGCATCAAAATGCATTGTCCGATAGGTTCAAACCAGATAAAACTAACCTTGGACAATATTTCAAGAAGATCTACCGAGAACGCATCATCAAAAGTTGTTTCGTTTTCACATACCATCACTGCCATGCTAATGAGACCAAGGTGTCAACATAATATAGGGAATTCAAAATATAGAGTCACGTCGACTTACTTGAGGTAGAGTGTGGCCAATGCAACACGCAGGTTTTTGTTGTCAGCCTTTTTGGCAAGTTCCGAGGTTTGATTCAAAATCTAAACACAATTTAATGGTTCAAGTCAGCAATATGCACAATGGAAACACTGACATGATATCACACTACTCGCCTGTTGGCGTTGACGGTACAGTACAGTGCGGAAATCTGCTTTGGAGAACAAATTAGACAATGCCCTCAGTGCAAGCATGACAGTTGTTTCTTGTGATTTGGTTAGCAAAGTAACATCTTGAACAGGAAGTTGGGCAGCACGCAAAATAGTAAAGACAAAATCTGAATCAAGCTGAAGTGGTGCAGTGGTATGTAATACGACCACTCGGAATAGATCAATGCCAGGAAATCGATGAGCTTCGGGCCATTCAAATGCCAAAAGTGATAGAATTTTAAAATCAGTAGCATCAAAATCGTCAAGTTTTCCTGCTTCAATACGCAAAACAAGCTTTTCAAGATGCTTTTCCTGTTCTGGTTTCATGCAAACCTCTCCAAATTCCTTGATTACAAAAATAGAATATTAAAAAAGCTTGTAATAACAAATGATAGTACTGTAAACATGGCCATGATCAAGTTGCTGCAATGAACATACCATTGATTTTTCAATTTCGCTGTTTAGCTGTAAAATCTTGCTTAATGCAGCTTTAATATTGATGACTTTAAAAAACGAATAGCTGCGCTGAATTATTTATAAAACAAGTGCGCGACAACGATATTTGTTAACAGTTGTAGAAATGTCAACTATTGTATTTGAGCATTACATTTACCATGGGAATCAGGTTAGACCCATTGCTTGATTTAGATCCAATAGCGTGAGCAGATGGAGTACCAGAAACAGCGGCACTAGCTTCGTTAGAGACATACCGAGATCCGCCTAAAGTATTTTGAATCAGCTTCAATTTCGAGAATTTTCACACAAGTGTTGTAATTTATGAATGCATTACCAGTGAATGGATCTACATAATGAGATGGTACAGGGTCTACGCCAAGAGTGACTGCAGTAGAGTTCTTGGTAATAAACTCTGCAATTTGATCCAAATAATTGGGCGAAAGATCATTTTTTTGAATAAAATCTTGTGCAGCCTGGAGAGGATTATCTAAAAGTAAACTAGTTTAAATAACCAAGCTAATATACAGTGTATAAACCCAAGTGATGTAGAATGCTTACCACCAGTGTTGTAAGGAAGTTTAAGAGGAGGAGCACCTTCTTGAATATCTACATCAAACACATGATCATATTCCTTGCCATTATATATCTGCTTGCGTGAATTGCCAATGGCATCCATCACTTCTCCAATTTTGATCCATTGAGCTTCAGCAGCATTCCACTTTATCAAAAACACAAGATATCAGATTCTATTTGTCAAACTGACATGCTTTTGTAAAACAAAACACATGATCAGGATTTATCTAGAAATATCAATACACTTACCTGATGAGCCTCGACCGTATTTTCGATTCGAACCATCTTGACTTCACCATCTTTTGTACCATGTACAGTGAGAGCTTCGAGACCAGGAAGTTTAGATTTATCCACATCTCCAACACTATTTCTATATATACAAAAGTTGAGGCCTAGTTGTTTTAAAATCCAATTATTTGAGCAGTTCAAAGTAGTACCAGTATGTACTTACGAAGAAATAGCAGTAGCGGCAACTGACTCATCAAAAGCCTAAAATCAATGTAATATTATCAAATGTTAATATGATGTTACTGTTACAACTTGATACACGTAATTCACGATTATATAAACTACCTTGATGATATCCAAGCTTGCATATCGCTTCTCTGTGCGAGTAAATATTCGAACAATGCCATCGTTTCCTCCAGTAGCAATATCTTGATTGGGCATAGTTGCCACACACCAAATAGAAATGCATGGCTGAGTCATGGTCTGAACCAAACCGGATTCTATCAAAACACAAATATGCAAATCAATCACTGTGGTTTATACTAGAACCAAAGAGTGAGAATAATAGTTTAAAACACGTCGTACCATTCCAAATTCGTATAGTTCGATCTTCTCCACCAGACACTAGTTCACCCGAGCCAAGAAGATCCAGACTATATACAAAGGATGTATGACCATATAATTCAGACAGAAGATCACCATCGAAATTCCAAATTCGAATGGATCTAGATATTTAAAATCAATTCATTTGGTTAGTAATGAGATTCTGAACAAGACAGCGCTTCATGACATATAGTAAAGCAGTATTAGCAACACACCCATCGTTTGAACAAGATGCAAATCCGATTTTTGGGACTCGAGTAAGACTACGAACAACATCAGAGTGACCAGTAAGAGTTTTTGTATTTTTAGATCCGACCCAAAACTTGATGGTCTTGTCAGCCGAAGCTAAGATGTTTAAAAAAGTTAATTCAAACACATCAAGAAAACACGATCCAATTCAATACCTGTAAGATACGTATCAGACGACAGTGCAAGCACGCTCCAAACAGTCTGTGTATGACCTTTCAAGGTAAAGACTTGAACTCCATCGCGCCAAACCTTTGCAGTTCTTTTGATTAGATTAGTGAATGCGATTCAAGAGTCTCATACTTGTATTGACACATCTTACTTGTCCCACGATCCTGACAGTACATCGCCATTGTCAGCGAGACTTAAACTACACACATTATCAGTATGACCAGTAAGCTTATACACTGGCTCATCGATACGAGTAGGATCGAATGCATAAATGATTTTATCGAATCCACCACTGTAGATCAGACCTTTATATTGAGCAAATGAGACGGGTTTAGATTACTACCAGGAATGAACACATCAAGCCAAGCTCAGTATACCATTTGGATACTTTTCATTCGCAGGAACACACACAAGCGAATTAACAAAGTGACTGTGACCAGTAAAGACTGCTTTTTGAACAAACGAAGCTTCTCCTTTAACAAGTCGTTGCCATACAATAACCTGTCTGTCTCTGGACGCAGAGACCAGGGTATCTTCATCTAACGAAGCAATAGCCTTGACCTTTAGAATGTATGACAGCAAGATGAACAGCAATTCAGATTCTATCGGACGGACAACAACCAGATCCATCTATATTTTTCAATGAGCATCATGATGAATTTACATCTTGAGAGTGACCCACTAGTACAGCAGATAAATGAAACATTGAGCCTGCAGTCATATCCGTAGATGCCATGACAATCCTTGTTGCCAACTGCAAAAACTTGACTGCAATGTCATTGAAAGTCACATGTTCAACTGCTTGACAATCCAATGTTCCGGTCTTGGCTTTGATTTCCAAATGTTTATAAAAAATATTGTCTTGACAAGTTTATTGCTCACGAACTCGTTTCTTGGTCTCGACTGAGCATGATTCAGATTCATTTGAATGAATCTTTTGAGCAATCATCTCTACCAGTTGTGCCGACACCTAGATCCAATGGTTGTATTGAGTGTCGTGCGTGTCATGAGCAATATACATTGAGTTTGCATAAATACCTTTCGTGCTTGAGTGGTTCGATCCGAAAAAAAGGCTGCCGTGCATTCAAATCGCTGTCGATACGCATCTGGACTCCCTAGACCAATACATTCTACCCATCCTTTGGTCGATGTATAGAATTCGCAGTCATCTGATCGGATGCTTTTATCATATATAGCTGATTGAATGGATTCATTCAGCATATTTTCATCCCGAAATAAAAACTCGGCTATACCAAGGAGTAATCTGAAAGGAGGTGTTTGGCAAATCAGATGCTCGTAGGGTCTATCAATCAACATGTTAATATATTAGTGGCTTTAGTATGCGATGCATTCCAATCATCATTGAATTCACGACAATTACTTGATTTTGAGTTGTGCCCAACAATCTACCATGGCAAGTAGTGACAAATGAGAGTTCTGATAACATGTGAGTAACACTGCATCTAAATGTATGCATTCATGGATAATATCATGTTTTACCGATTTACGCTTTTCTTTTGGAATAGCACTCAGCGAAAATTGATCAAGAACAGAATCTGATAGCAGAATAGGAGTTCTACTGAAATCACCGAATACAAAATCACGAGCCTATTCAAAGTCTATTTGTTCAGTAACCGAGTCAATCTTGTTGAACATCCAACATCACATACATTTTTGATTCGAGTAGTCAGCTCGGTAATATTCTCCTGAATCATTAATTTGAATAGATCCGAGACAGACTGGGAATACTGTTGTGCTTGTGGCATGACATTTGGATTCATAAGCGCAAGTCCTATTTGAATTGCATGACCCATACACGTTAACCATTGATCATGCATACAAGACATTGTGTATCATAAAACAGTCGACTCACCCGAATAAACATGCCATTTACTGCTGTAAATACGAAGAGCCATCAACACCTTGACATTTTCAATACCACCAACATAAGAAGCACTTTCCCACTTGAGATATTGGATAGAGTCAGATTCAAACTATTGTATACAAGATGAATGGATAGAAAACATACCGGAAAAGTAGATTGAGTTTTCCAGGCTGTTCCCATGGACAAAAATGCAACATGAGTGACTGCTTGCGTATCAGCAGTAATACGATCATGCTCGGCAGCAGTCAGATACACCATATCCGACTGCAATGTTTTTAGAATTTTGATGGCAAGATCGAATCGGGGTTGATCGCTACGATGTCGAATAACAACCAAAGGTTGTCCTTTAGGATTGACACTTGGACCATGCAACGAGTGACATGTAACAATCTGAACATCTTGTGGTAAAAACTCTTGGAATGCAGCAATCTCGGGTGTTTTGACAGAAGTCTGACATGATTATAGTTGGAATCAAAACCAAATCTATAAAGTTTAAACAACAATCTGATTACCTGACCACAAGCGATTGAGCCGACCTTCATTGCAGGACCGAATTTAGAAACAACAGTTCGAATGCTCATGGCTTCAACACTGAAGATGACAAAATCACATTGACGAACAACAGCAAATCCATCCTTGAGGATATGAATGCCAGACTCAAGAAACTCTTCAAGTAAATCAGAATATCTTTCTGGTACATCGCAAGCAAACACACTGAATTCAAGAGAATTAACATAATGAATTCAAGAGAATTAACAATTAACAAACTACCTTAACCCAGCCTTGATAAATGTGCGAGCATACAACTTGCCCATATCACCTATATGAATAACACAATGAATAAGAGTTGAATCTTTACAAAACATTCAATTCCATCACTTCACACCTAATCCAATTATCCCAACATTCGTTACACATTGAGTGTTCATTGCAAAGCAAATTCAAGTTGAAGTTGAACAAATCCTCAACAATTATTATTCGTCATGGATACTGACATGCTTGACACTCCTGCTTCTTCAACGTCTTCGTTGGTTGAAAACTTGGATAGTATTGAAACAGTTCACATTGCATCTGCTTCTCATCCTACTCAAGACTTTCTGGATATGGAAGTTAATGGTAGCACTCCTGGAACTGAGTCAAATAAGAAGAAGAAGACTAGGGTTATTGTTACTTCAACCTCAATGGATCTGGAGTCTCATATTGCTAATTATAAATGTAATGTTCATGGTCGAGTAGTGTTGGAATCTTGAATAATATCAACACCTCAGTGTCAATCTCGTCCAGCCAACTCTGTAGATCTAACTGTTGTTTATAATAGCTCGTACAACCAGAATAGACCGTTTGATCTTCATTGCTGATCGTTGTCCTGTTCTTCAGGTAGACGCTCTTCAATTTGCAGCCAAGGAACTACTTGAAACTGTCAATGTAGACAAGTATCTCATTGTCTTGGGTAAACTCAACGACTATCTGACTTCTTTACAACGCTTGCCCATGAATGTGGATGAGAAATGGGTTGAGCAGACCAGATTGGCTTCAAGAAAAAAAACAGATCAACTAGAGTATGAACTCAGAACATACAGAGCCAATTCAATCAAGGAGAGCATTCGGGTATGTTTTATCATCCACTGTAATCGGAATTAGCAACTGCTTGCAGTCTATCAACACTCATCATGAATCTGTTCTAGATGGGCCATTCCGACTTTGGTGATCATTTCTATGCTTTGGGCGATCTACAAAATGCTCTCAAGAGTTATACTCGCACCAAGGATTACTGCACTACTCCAAAACATATCTTGGATATGTGTTTGAGTGTTGTCAAGGTAATCTTGATATATTCATTTAAAATTTAAAAAGCTTATTCTAGTTTGCAAGTGATGATGGATTTAAACTAAATCTGCAATGTTGTCAGACTTGTATTGCAATGGGAACTTTTTCACATGCACAAACGTATCTGATCAAAGCAGAAACCATTCCAGATTTACCCAACAAGGAAACTCTTGGTTCCAAGCTTACATCCATTTGTGGTATTCTCAGTCTCGAAACAGGTGCTTATTACAAGGCTGCTAAAAGCTTTCTATCCATTCCATTTGATCACGTCAATGAACTATACGAAACAATTTCTCCCAATGACGTTGCCGTCTACGGTGGATTGATAGCTCTTGCAACATTTGAACGATCCGAACTGAAAAAGCTTGTGTTTGAAAACTCGAGTTTTAAACAGTTTCTGGAATTGGAACCACAAATTCGTGAAATGATTTATGCCTTTTATTCGCTAAACTTTCGAGCATCATTAGATATTCTTGGCAAGATCAAGGTAACAGATATATTGAGATTATATTTAACCAGGGTATTGAATGGGATGGGTTGAGATTAGTTGGTCAGATGTGTTGACATACATATACCTTGTAATAGAATGATCTACTGCTGGACATGTATCTTCATGATCATGTTGAGCACATTTACCAACAGATCAGAAAAAAGGCGCTAGTACAATACTTTTTCCCTTTTGTGACAGTAGATATGAACAAGATGGCATCTAGCTTCAACTGCACTGTTTCAGATCTTGAGCGCGAGGTTGCAGTTCTGATTGGCGATGGTCACATCCAGGCGCGCATTGATAGTCACAACAAGGTAGATTATTATAATGCATAGCTGACAAGTTACTATATATCATGCAGTGATTGATTAATATTTGAAATAGATTCTACGAGCCAAACAACACAACCAACGCAGTCAACTGTACTCCAGAGCTACCGAGATTGCAACAGACTTTGCATTTCAATCTCGAGCGACTCTACTACGAGCCAAACTACTTGAAATGGATCTTGTGCAACCCACACGATATCGCTAAGATTCTAGCAATACATTTTAAATAAATATCAGATATGACTCCATTTCATTCTTATTGAACGTCTTCGATCGCAGATAGTGTCTTGTCTTGGATCCAAACCAAGTATTGTTCACTATGTCACTTGCATATACTTCTCCTTGTGGAGATTGGAATCCTCTGGCTGACAAGTTTTATCGGTATTGAATTGCAGTCGAGTATCAAGATTCGAGTGTCGGTTACTAATATGAAATCGTTGTAATTCAATCATGAATTGAGTTGAATAGTAAATATGAACTCTATCAAATGATATGGAATAAAGTGGACTTGGCAAAGATGACTGTTGCAGCAGCTCCATTTGGTGGTCCAATTGGTAGAGTGATGCTTGCATTCAGGTCAAGACTAGTTCATTCTTGTCTTGACTCGATATTGACTACTCCGCTTTATCATCAAAATGACCCATTCTTGTCATGTATTCAATCTAGCCATGATGCGCAACGATCGTAAAATGGTGGCAGTAGCTGCTTTGAGCTCAAAGCCTGTCATGCACATCTACACTTCATCAGGAAAACTACTCACTCAGTTTCAGGCAAGTTTAAATCATCGTGCAAAGTAGTGTGAATACAAAGATTGACAGATGAGTCTTGTGTAGTGGGACAAGAGTAGAATTATTGTTATGGGATGGACACTCAAGGAGCGACTAGTGTGTGTGATGGAATACGGTTCGCTGCGTCTTTATGATCTTCAAGGCGATTTTGTTCAGATTACTCTCGGCGAGGTAAATGTGTGATGTTTTGATAGATTCCTAATCAGTCATGTCTTGTAGGTTTCTAATTCAAATTCAGGAAGCAAAAGAGAATGGTGTGCTTGATGCTCATGTATGGGAAAATAGCGCTGTAATTCTTACTACAAATCTAAAACTTATTCTTGTCGCAAATCTCGATGAACCACGACCCATCTTATTGGCAAATCCTGGTCTGGTTCAACCACCTCATTCGTGGTCATTTATTTCTGCCACGTATAGTCTAAGCAAACATGTTGAAATTCTGTTGGCAGTCAACAACACCATTGTGGTCGTGGATGCAAAAAATGCTCAGGATCAAGTAGGTTGATATCTTACTGTTGGACATATACTATTCCATAAACTGTACGTGTACTTTTGATACTGATCCGCGCTTGTTCAAAATCAATAGATGCTTCAGCAAGGCCCGTTTACTAGAATGGCCGTATCGCCCAATGCAAAATTTCTTGCTCTATTCACTGCTAATGGAAGGTTATGGGTTGTATCATCTGATTTTCAAACTAATCTCGCTGAATTTCGAACCAACTCAAGTGTTCCACCCTTGCAAATGACATGGTACATTATCAATCCACCGATTTTAAATTATCTTGAAACGCCCCAAATCTTGTGTTCATGTCCAGTTCTATTTTATAACACGAGGTTTTTATATGAAATTTAGGTGCGGTAATGATTCAGTACTGTTGCATTGGGAGGATACAATTCTCATGGTAGGCCCATCAGGAGATTGGATCAAGCAAGTACAAACATGTCATGAATGCTTTAAAAGCGCGCTCATATAAACTAATATCCGAGTTGATTTAGATATGCACACGAAGGTGTTGTTCATATTGTTAACGAGATTGATTGTGCACGGATTATCAGCAACACTCGATGTGAGCTCCTTGAACGTGTTCCAGGTAATCCACGTTTTAATTGTATTCCGATTCAATGAGTAAAGTTATAGTCTATTCAATACTGTTTTCTGCTAAAACTCGACTATGTAGTGGTTACTGAAACCATTTTTCGAATTGGATCTACTGCTCCTGGAGCTATTTTGTTTGATGCACGAGAGCATTTTGAGGTTTGTCCAACTTGATTACACATTATGCATGATATAGTCGTGTAGCATTAACCCTTATAAATGAGTATAGAAACAAAGTCCCAAATGTGATGAAAACATTCGTAGCATTCGCGGACAATTGATGGAAGCTGTCACGTCATGTATTGATGGTGCTTGCAACGAGTTTGACATTCAGCTACAAAAAGCTTTACTTCGCGTAAGTGGTGCATGACACAGAAACTAGCAATTAGTGTAGTAAACCCTGTAGTTCCAATATTGACATTGATGTGGTAAATAGGCTGCATCTTTTGGAAAGGCTTATCTTGACTCGTTTTCAGCTGATAGATTTGTCAAGGCGTGTCAATCCATTCGTGTTTTGAATGCTCTTCACAATAACCAGATTGGTATTCCACTCACATACAAGCAGTACGTTGTATTTTCATTGCTGCTTTTTGGAAGCGTATCTACTAGTGATACGGATGAGTTCTAACCGTGTGGTTATGTTTCAGGTACCAGCACATATCGCCTGAAGGATTGATTGATCGATTGATTAATCGGAGAGAGCATCTTTTAGCTCGACGAATTTGCGAATACCTTAGAATGCCCATTGATCGTGTTTTGATTGATTGGGCACGGGTCAAGGTATGTAGTGTGGGTTACAAAAGTCACCATCTATGTTGAATGTTTACAAGCATGCATGTTTATTTTTGCGTGCTGCTTTACTTTAAATCTCAAACACATGTATAGGTCAAGCAATCTACAGATGATGAAGAGACTGTATGTCGAATGATTGTTGAAAAAATGAATGATCGACCAGGAATATCATTTGCAGAAATTGCCAAAGCTGCCTATGCTGTTGGCCGAATCAAGCTTGCTACAAAGGTGCGTTTTTGTATTCATTGAATGATGTAGAGCAAATGCAGTGATTGATATGTTGATGAATGATGTTTGGTTTAGCTTTTGGATTTTGAGCCATCTCCTTCTGATCAAGTTCCGCTTTTACTTAGCATGCAGCAGGATGAATCGGCACTGACCAAGGCTGTTGAATCATTTGATACGGATCTAGGTATGTCATGGGTTACAATCACCATTGATGTGTGAATTCACTCCAACTGATTCTTGTTTTATTACACCTATATTGTTATGGGTATGCAATGTCGGGGTATAGTGTATCTTGTAGTATTGCACATGAAACGCAAACTGCCGCTAGCCGACTTTTTCCGGATTATTAGCACCAAGCCGCTTGCATGCAATTTGCTCGAGTTGTATGCGCGTGAACAAGATCCTCAACTCCTCTACGACTTTTATTACCAAGATGATCGAAGGGTATCCAGTGCAAACCTGATACTTGACGAGAGTTGTGCAGACAAGGCAAGAGTACATTTGTGTTTTAAAACAGAGTTGATCTACTCATCCATTGAATGTATAGGATATACCGTCGCGACTGTTGAAATTAAAAAAAGCGATAAAACTATACGGAGAAGAAAAGGAAAGCATATTTGAAACCAAGGTAATGTTTTGATCAAGAATTTTTGTAATTGATTTCATCATCACTAATGGTTTTAAAGTCACTGGAGGATCAAAGTAAACTGCTACAAATTCAGTCCACGCTCGAGCGAGAACTTACAGGACAAACGTTTCTTGATTTATCAGTGACCGATACAGTATTCAAATGTTTGATTCTAGGACACATGAGTCGAGCACTTAAAATCAAGAGTGATTTAAAAATGGATGATCGTAGGTTTGCCTGGTTAGAGTTGCGTGCTATTATTCAAAACGAAACATGGGAAGCACTGGACAAAGTAAGTGGTGGATGTTGGGTCAGTTTGGGTATTTAATCTAACACTGAACTCTGCATATGATTGGACGATGCGACTGGATACAACTGTTTTAGTTTGCTAAATCAAACCCCAAATTTGGACACAAGCATGTGGTCGAATCTTTGTTGGAGGCTGGTCATGGATTCAGAGCAGAACTGTTTGTCGAGTCGTTGGGAAGATCCATATCGACTGTTGCGCACGGGGAACTCAAGGCACATATTGCTAATCTACAACAACCCGGTGTAACGGATGTCAGAACATGACGATCGCCAAAGGCTTTGGAATTGACTTTTTGATTGAACCCAACCTGCTTATGCAATGACTTTGCATACATATCAGTAAAAAATCAAAATAAAACAAGGTTGGAGTGAAAAAATATATTGTTTTTGGAAGTTTAAAGATGCAAGAGTTCAAGTATTGAAAGGATGAAAAGGCAACTGGAACACGATCTGGAGATAAAGTGGACATCAACAGATACGCGCTACGTTTACATCATACCGCCCATACCACCCATGCCGCCCATACCACCCATGCCGCCCATAGCAGGTGCAGCACCCTCCTTGGTAGGAGCATCGACAATCATTGCCTCGGTAGTAGTCAAAAGCGAAGCAACACTGCTAGCATCATAGAGAGCAGTGCGCTGAACCTTGAGTGGATCAATAATACCTTCCTTGATCATATCCACATACTGGCCTGTGGCAGCATTGTATCCATAGCTAAAGGAAGTCTCGTTGGTATCTTTCAATCCCTCTTTTGGAGGAGTGTAGGATTCAAGCAAGCGACCCACCACCACAGATCCTTCCTCGCCAGCATTATCGACGATAATGCGAGTTGGAGCAAGAATAGCTTTGCGGACGATATCGACACCAAGATTTTGGTCAAAGTTTTCAAGCTTGAGGCTTTGGAGAAGACGACTAGCCTTGATAAAGGCGGTACCTCCACCGGGAACGATGCCCTCTTCGACGGCAGCACGAGTGGCATTAAGAGCATCATCGAATCGATCCTTTTTCTCGCCCACTTCAACTTCGGAACCACCACCGACTTTAATGACAGCAACACCGCCAGAGAGCTTAGCAAGACGCTCCTGAAGTTTTTCACGCTCGTAGTCGGAGACTGTGGAGGTGATGAAAGAGCGAAGCTGATCGCAACGTTGGCTAACGGCATCCTTGGATCCAGCACCATTGAGGAAAATGGTGTCATCCTTTGTGACGGTGGCAAGAGCAGCTGAGCCAAGATCTTCAAAAAGACACTTTTCGAGCTTAATGTTGACTTCATCGCTAAAAACGGTTCCTCCTGTGAGAATAGCCATGTCTTGCAAGATTGCCTTGCGGTTGTCACCGAATCCGGGTGCCTTGACACAGGCGACTTGAAGCTGTCCACGAAGTTTGTTGAGGATGCATGCAGCGAGAGCCTCACCGTCGATATCCTCGGCAATAATGAGAAGTGGACGACGCTTTTGTGCAGAGATTTCAAGAGCAGGAAGTAGATCCTGAAGGGAAGAGATCTTGCGCTCAGAAAAAAGAAGAAGAGGTTTTTCAAACTCAATCTTCTGGGTGCGAGCATCAGTAACAAAGTAAGGTGAAATGAAACCACGATCAAAACGCATGCCTATTGAAAGCAATACATATTGGAATCAGTACATGACACCACATCAAAACCATTTGTAAAAAGTTGAATTAAAAAACTACCTTCAGTGACCTCGAGCTCATCAACAAGAGTTTTGCCTTCCTGGACGGTAATGACACCTTCTTTGCCCACCTTTTCCATGGCATTAGCAATGACTTGACCAACGTGCTTATCACCGTTGGCAGATATGGTAGCAACCTGAGCAATTTCCTGCGAGGTGGTGATGGGACGAGCGTTTTCCTTCAAGAAGCGAACCACAAGATCCACAGCTTGATGAACACCTTTACGAAGATCCATAGAGTTGACACCTGCAGCGACATTTTTGAGACCCTCTGAGAAAATAGCACGAGTAAGAATGGTGGCAGTGGTGGTACCGTCACCAGCAGCCTCGTTTGTCTTGCTAGCAACATCTTGAACGAGACGAGCACCGAGATTCTCGAATTTGTCTTCCAAAACAATTGATTTTGCAACTGTAACACCATCCTTGGTGATCTTTGGAGATCCATATGTTTGTTCTAACCATTTAATGAAATAACAAAACAAATCATGCAAGTTTTTGTAAACCAAAGATTAAAAGAGAGTCAGCAAGAAAGTGAAGCCAACATAACGATCGATTCAATAAAAAAATGTAAAACAGATCACTCAAACCAAGACATTCATAAACCAAAGTGAGCAGCAATGAAATAGAATTCAAGACATTGATCAATACATACCAATGATCACATTGCGACCTTTTGGTCCCAGAGTGACAGCAACGGCCTTGGCAAGAATATCAACGCCTTTAGCCATTCGTTGACGACCATCTTGACCAAAAAGAACTTCTTTATGGGATGAATAATGACGAATGGAAACAGAACTTCTTACGACAGTAGATCTGGTTCTGAGAGCAGCAACAGCAGCAGAGAACATGATAATAAATTGGATAAGTTGAACTCGACGATCAGATTTTGATTTTCTGAAAACCTTTTTTTATTTGCAGAATTTTTGTTCCTAAAAGTTCGATTGTTTCGACTTTTGTTTCCTTTCGATCAGATTCGAGTCTTTTCTTCAACTTAAAGCGACTGTTGTTTTTATCAAGTTTTCAATCGTCATGGTATTCAAACTGTCTGATCGTTTGTGTTCATTCACTTGATAACTAACTGCTTTAACTTGTCTTTAGTCTGCTGTTAAACGTATTCTCCCTCTCTTTGATCGAGTCTTGGTTCAGCGTATCAAGGCTGCTGAGGTTTTAATACTCTTTTAAACTGAAAATCAACTTGAATTTCATATTACTAAATCAATCTTGTATCAACAATAGAGAACTGCTTCTGGTCTTTTCATTCCTGAAAATGCTCAAGAAACTCTCAACGAAGCTGTTGTAATTGCTGTTGGTCCTGGAGCTCCTGGTCAGGTAATAGTTGAAGTTGAACTTCAAGTCGTGTAGAAATTCTGATCTAATTTTATTTTACAGAATGGTGTCGTTTGTCCAGTTTCAGTTCAGGAAGGTGAGCGTGTGCTCTTGCCTCCATTCGGCGGTAATGCTGTCAAGATTGGTGATATCGAATACACTCTGTACAGAGACTCGGAACTCCTCGCTAAATTGCAGTCTTGAATTCCTAAACATCATTCTATCGCACAAATAAAATTCTTTAAAAATTATTCAAGAAACTCTTGTGTTTGTCTCGGGCATAAAAGAGTGATTGCAATTCATTCAACTTCTCATTGTCATATTGCATTTATTCTTTGTTGGGAAAGTATTTGTATGGATTTAAAATGCCTTTTGGGTCAAACGTCTGCTTCAAGCTACGCATCATTGCAATCGCATCTTTGGTTTTGGAATGAGACAAGTATATGGTCTTTGAAAGTCCAATCCCATGCTCAGCCGACACGGATCCGTGTGCTGTTTGAACCAAATCATACACTTTTGGCTCAATTGCACGTTCGATATCTTTAGACCATTCACTAGCAATCACGTTCAAATGGAGATTTCCATCTCCTACGTGTCCAAACCCAACCACTTGTTTTACAAATGGTTTTCCAGACATTGAATCTGTCATCACTCCTACTTGTGAAAGATGTTGACGCATATCGGTTACCAATCCATACAGTTTGGGTAATGGCACACTTAGATCGTACTTGTAATTAGGTCCTTCCTTGGCACAGGCTTCAGTGATGGATTCCCTAATACTCCAAAATGCTGCTACTTGGGTCGCATCTTGCGCTACAGTACCATCCACAACCCATCCTTTTTCCATCACACTGTCAAGAAACGTTGTGAGTTTTTCGTCATCATGATCCTTGTTTGAGCCCGATGTTTCAATCAAGACATAAAATTGTGCAGCAGTGTCAAAGGGTAGTCGTGACGTAGCAATATGCTTTTGAACCAATGCCATGCAGGATGCGTCAAAAAACTCGAATGCAGATAGAATTTCTGATAAATGACCACGAGCTTCTTGAAAGAGTTTCTGAACACTCTCGTAGGAAGATACACCAAGAACCGCTTTAAAATAAAGCAACGAATATTGGATCAACAGGTTTGATATTAAAAGAGTTGCATGACAATCAAATAAGCTTACCAACATTCACGGCCTTTGGTTTTAAAGGAGTAAGAATTGATGCAGCAGTGATGATTCCCAATGTGCCTTCAGAACCAATAAAGAGTTGCTTGAGATCGTATCCGGTATTGTCCTTGCGCAATGGTTTTCCCAGTTCAACAATGGTTCCATCTGCCAACACCACCTCCATGGATAAAACAGTACCATGAAGACTTCCATATCGAAGCAGACGCAATCCACCAGCATTTGTAGCTAGATTCCCACCAATATGACAACTTCCCTTTGCACCAAGATCTAGCATTCAACACGGATGGTTTAAATCAGTCATTATACATCAATGCAGTTCAATCAAACCTTGAACTTACCCAAAGGCATCATGTATCCTTTTTCAGCCAACATATGATCCAAAGACTCCAGAATGCATCCAGCTTCGCAAGTCAAGATTCCCGATTCTTGATCAAAAGCACGAATCCGGCTCATGGCTTGAGTGCTCAACACAACCTCATCATGAACTGGAACACTTCCACCCACAAGACCCGTATTTCCACCCTGCGGAACCACACCTATACGATGATCATTACAATACTTGAGAAGTTGGGATACCTGATGCGATGTTTTTGGTTTTAGAACCAATTGAGACTGTCCACGAAACTTTCGCATCCAATCCTACAAGTAGATTATATCAAGACAGTGTAATATGACATTCTTGTCAATATAATGTTTTCATTGATATGAATAGAAATCATACTTACTTGATTAAAAGGCAAGAGAGCATCAGGATCAGTACCATCCACTACACTAGTTTCATCAGGAAGTATTTTTTTGAATGCAGCAATATCATTGGAATCGAGTGTTTTGAAGGCAGGATTACGCTTGATGGAAGGAAATCGAGTTGCAGTGAGAGGAACAGCAGTTTTTGTAGTGTATGAACGAAGATGGAGAATTGCTCTTGAATGCATGAGTGAGTTGCTAGTGATAAAAGATAAGTTGAATCGAAGCAATGGCGGAGTCGTGATTCAAGCCATTGAATGCACTGATTAATACAATATTCACTATGGATCGTGATGACTTGATTATCAACAGACAAGTTTAGATCCGACTTGAGGTTCAAATTCTAAAAAAACACTGATAATCATCTTTCCATTATAACAGACTTATTCCGTGTTATTGAGATTCAAGTTTGAATTAAACGATAATGATGCAGACTGATGGTATGGGTCCGAATATATCTACAGATGAAGATCACTTTTTCCAGAGTGATTTGTCTTTGAAGCAACAGCTTGCTCGTAAGGAGAAGCAGATTCAGTTTGGATCAAAAGGGTTTCCTTTGCAACTACCTTCCAAAGTATTGGCCATGGAATTGGTTCAGTGTTTGGATCAAGACACATCCAACCAAGATATAAAGGAAGGTGAAAGAGAGTGGATTCCCAAGGGTGTATGTGCTTATGTTGGCGAGTCAGGTCATGTTGCTCGCAAGATAAACCTTCAGGTAGACTACTTTGCATACATGCTATCTTGTATTCAAAAGGAGTTTGATAAGCATTGATGGTTGTGTATGCCAACACTCGTGAATTTTTGATGTGCAGTCTGGAGCCATGATTCGAGTGTTTAAAGGACATTCTGGTCCCGTCACTTCTTTAGCCATTCTATACGATACAAAGGGTAAAGATTCCATCTTGTTCACTGGCTCTTGGGATAAGACGATCCGAAAATGGAACACAGAGGTACAGTCTTGTAATGGTTTAATGGTTTTTATGATCAAGAATCAAGTCGAGTCTAAATGTATTCAAATGATTATACTCGCTATTTAGAATGCAAACCAACTTTTTTGTATTTCATTCCACAATGATTTTGTCAAAAGTGTTTGTCTGTTTGGTGATGTCTTGTACAGTGCATCGACCGATAAGACCATTTGTCAGTGGGATGGCAATACAGGGAAACACGTTAAAACCATGCGTGGACATACTCGTGGTGTAGAAACCATTCTTGTTACTCAAGATGGATCCACCTTGTTCTCTGCTTCGTCTGATGGATCTATCCGAAAATGGGATACTGCAACAGGAAAAGAAGTTGCAGTGTTGAATGGACACGATACTTCTGTGTATGGATTAGCTCTATCTGAAGATGAATCAGAATTATGGTCAGGTAAGTTATTTTCAAACCTTCTTGTAAGATTCCTTTATATCTTGGTTGATTTTAATTTCTGGATCGAGTAGCCTCTGCTGACAAGACAGCACGTCGTTGGGATCTTGAGGTAATTTTATTTAAACTTGAATCATGTAACAAGTCTATAGTGCTCACATGAATGATATAGACCAATGCATGCACAGCAACATTTGAACATCCAGACTTTGTTCGATCAGTTCTGATAGTAGAAGATCATGGTATAGTGATTACTGGATGCCGTGATGAAAACATGCGAATGTGGAACACGGCGGCAAGTATTTGGTTTATACTCGAGCATGCATGACATGACCAAGAATATAAACTCATTATCATGTACTGGTGAATTGAATAGACAGATAAATGTGTTAAAACCATTGAAGCTCATACAGGAGAAGTGTCATCCATCAAGTATACAGGAAAACATACTATTTTGAGCGGATCTTTAGACAACACAATTCGGTTTTGGTCAATCAGTAAGTTATTTAAACATGATTTTAACAAGACAAAATACTGACATGATTATGAATAAACAACTGAATCTCAGCGCAAGAACTCTCACAAGAACTTTTGACAAAACACTCGAACAAGACGGTAAAAACAGCGAGTTTAACTCAAGCCAGCAAGGAACGCGTGGAATCAACAGCGTTAATATCCGAACAAGAAGAGCGTGAGCTAGCCGAACTGATGGAAAATGAAGAGAAATAAAGTTGACCATTTAAGTTGTCGGATCTTGAAGTTGACATAAAGTTGACAGTACACCTTGCATCAACTATTGATTCAAGGCATCGTTGATAACAGGATTGGTGTGTGTATTGAGTGGGTTGAATTGGTTGAATTGGACTTGAGATAGTCAATACTATGCATCAGCATCCGCTGTCAAGACCAAACAGCATGGGTTCTGATGCTCATGTCAACAGTGAAGAACATCGCTCTCCTGTTCGTCCTATTACTGTTCGAACAAACTCTCCTCACTTTTCTGGTCTAGCAACATTGTCTGCTGTTGCTTCAACAAGTCCATCTGCAGCAACTACTGTCAAAACTACTGCCAAAACTACTGTCAAAACTACTGCCAAGACCATACCAAAAAGTGGTTTTACACCCATGTGCTATGATTCCGTTTCTTCTGAAGATGAACTTCGTCCTCGTCAAGCCTTGAGTAAATATCAGGATGTGTTGTTGAGAGAACAAGTTGTTTCTCCTATTAAACGCTATCCAACTGCAGAAGTTCATGACTCGAATCAATCCACTTCTTACAATTATCGTTCTGCTGCTCCTTACGAGTCTGCACAATCCATGTCTTACGATCCTCATTTACCATCCGAGTACTCGCATAATTTAAATGCAATCCCACAACACTCTCTAGTTCACCACGATGACGATCGTCAGATTTGGTCTTACAATGTAAGCTGTCGCTTCAATCTTTCAGTTCAAATCGTCATCTTGATCATCTTGATGTTGCGCGAATGTAATTAACTCAAATCTAATCTCATATAGCACAAAGCAAACGATGGCTACTATAATGATGGCTATCAGCATGCCATTTATCCTCCGTCACATTCTGATCATACTCCAACCCATTTACATTCATCTCATCCAAGAGTAAGTCTAATCTGAATGTCTTTTCATGCTGTTACGACTTGAATCTCTTGATGTGCTAATTCTTGTATTATCTTAATGTTTTGCATTTTAAAAGGATCCGCCATCATCTGTTCCCTATGTGCACGATCATCAATACAAAGACAATCACGGTACTGATGATATGCGTTGGAGATGGAATAAAGACGCTGATTATTGGGATCGTCCTCCACCTTCTCATCATGTCCAACCTGCTTCACATTACACACCATCAGATTGGCATGAAATACCCAATGTCGCATCCAATTCATCTATTCATGGCTCTTTGCAACATCACAGTCCTCACTATTCAAGTATGAGTCATGATTACGCTCCACCACACGGTGACTCTTATCCTCCATCTGTAAGTGCTGTGGATACATTGTAATCCGTGTCGTTGCATAGTATTCTAGTATATCTCATCCTATCTGTTCAACTTAGATGCCTGTATATCATCATACACCCATTACTTATCACGATCAGCCCTCTTGGGTAAGTTTTTCTTTTTCTAAACTGTTGGTCTTGGTGATAATCACTCATGTAAATCCTGTATTTGAATCAATATAGAGATCTGCACAAAATTACAACCCACCTTATTACAGTCACGACTATGAACAACCTCCGGTAAACATATGCTTTTTCTGATCTTTTTGTTTCTAAAATCATTGCAGATGTATCAGCTTACGTTTTTTATTGATAAAAATATAGCCACCAGTGCATTCAATGCATGGACCACAATATGACAGTGTACATCATAGCAGAATGCATAGGGACTCTTCATCCAATCAGAGTCCACGCGAATACACTCGCTCTGCTGATTTTTCGCACGACAGTCAACCATCTTCTAATTCCATGATTCCAAATCACGCTGGGCACAATCAGAGTTCCACGTTTAGTCAAAAACCAGTATTAAAGCAAACCAAGTTACCGCTCTTTTTAAATATGCAAAGCGGTCATACTTCGACATCTTCAAATTATGGATCATTTCCCACTAAATCAGAGACTGACAGCACGCTTGATACCAACTGCTTAAACTCATCCTCTTCAAGTTTGAAATCCAATACTCTAGAGAGTTCAAACTATCCACACTACCCATTCCCAAATATGCGTGTCAAACCAAAGGCTTACATTGTAGATGATCTAGATCAAGAGCTTATGACTACTGGATTTCAACTAAAATTGGCTGGTCTAACACCACTGACCCCCTCTGTATATTCTCCAGCTGCATCTTCCATAACAAGCAATTCGTCAACTGCCAATTTATCTCAAAAATCACACATTCGGCCTGCGCTAATTATAGATTTGTTGTCCACCTTTCAATTTCTGGAAGTATTTGGAGTGGATTTCCTACACATGAAAATCGAACCCAACTTTAGTTTTGGTAGGTGTTTATTGCTATATCCATTCGTCATACCAGACTTGCTTCTATTGACATTCTACATACTTACACCCATTACATCAATGATTTGATATTCAGGCTGGGTAGTAGATGCCATGATCCATCCAGAAGCACGATATTGTGACATTCTGTGGATGTTTTCACACATTCTCAATGCTATGGAAAGCGATGTTCCTAAAAACCAAATTATGCTTCAGGCATATGTTTGTGAGTACATTAGAGTACTTATGCCAAAACTATCAGAAGAACTGTATTGCGTTGATCTTCCATTGGTATCTCCTGAATCACTTGTAGCAATCATGACACAATTCATTTCGTGGCTTACGGAAACAGACGCATTTCATCAACATCTATCGGACGCTGAAGCTTTTTGCACTACGTTGCGTAAATCATGCCTTGAACGGGCTGAAAGAATTCATCAGTACAGAGACCAATGTAAGCAGCTCAAAGTAGAAATGAGTGCGGTGGATTTAAAAATTGAATTCAAAACTAAGGAATTGGAACGTGGCACTGCTCCAGAACCAGTATCAGAAACTATGGATTTGGGTCCAGTGAATACATTGGTTGCTCCAAACGATACAGCTGCCGATTACTCAGTGCCAGCAAATATTTCCAACCCTAGTGCTGTTTCTGAAGACTCTGCAAAACCACTTCCTGAACACCCTGTTTCAACAGCTGCACCCGCCTTGTCTACCAATTCCTCTAGCCGAGCATCTTCTCGCAAGCATGCTTTGGTCAAATCAGAAAATGATCGTGAATATGTGACTAAACTCAAAGAAGAACTGATGGACTTGCAAAAAATGTACAATGCACATATTGACAATCTGGATCGACATATGGAAAAATTGAATCGACTTGAAACACTCAATAGCCATGACAGGCGTCGCGTTGCCTCTATTGTCAATGTGTCCAAAGGATCGGGTGATGTGTTGTTGGGTGTAGATCGATATGGTAGTGCGTATTGGTGGGTTGTGGTTGAGGGGGGTGACGCAACTTTGGATGCAGTAAACAGCGTACCCTTTAATCATATAACTGGAACTGAAACGACAACTTCTTTAGAGCACTTTGATTCTTCTTCAACTTCAATTGCTTCAGCACAACCTAAAATGGCCAACTTTGGGATTCTTGTCGAGCATGATTTTTCAGCACATGAAGACAATGATCCAAGCTTGATAGCTGAAGCATCAACCGGCTGGTCGTATTTTACTTCACTCGCTGATATCTACTCTTTTTTAACGACACTTTGCAATCGAGGATTCAGAGAGCGAGCACTTCGAAGCACTTTGCTGAATAGATTTTCCAGCATGGGACTTCCTCCGTCTTATGGAGTTGAAGAGGACTTTACCCATTATTCACGAGCGACATTTGACAAGGTTGCTGCTGCTGTCGTGTCCTTTGGTGTTTGGATTCGTGATGTCACTGGTGCACCGTTGCCATTCACAACAGATACGAGTGACAGGGTGATGCATATATCCAATGTGATGGACAGAGGGTCCCCGCAAGAATCTGTGCTGGCCACCTCTTTTACTGATTATTTTGGAGGAGCTGCACGACATGTATTCAATGAGCTTATTTCATTGTGCAGAAACAGCGCAATGAAGGATTCTGATGTAGATATAAACGAATCATTTGATATTCAAGCCATGAAAAGCCAGCTTATGCGATGGTTTGCAGAATCTAAACTCGACCATCTTACTTCAGACCAGCTCAATGCCTGCCACTCCATTGCCACTCTATCACACTTTCATGAATGGTGTACCCAAATCATATCAGAAATCACTGAAACAATTGTCTACCAAGAAGAAACAGCTGCAGCACAAGCTGCAAGAAAAAAACTTGAAGCGCAAAAGGAACTAGCACGGACAGAAAGTGCAATACATTTTACCCGATCTGGAAGGCGTGTTGCACCACCCAATTGGAGTCAGGGTTTAGCTTCTGGACAAATGGGTAGTACTATAGCTAAAGTTTCTGCTGCTGATGCTCCCCAGTCGTCTGAAGTCAGCGCGTCGTCAAACGCAGATGATGGCAAAAGTACTACTCATCCAAATTTCCGTGTAAATCAAAAAAAAACCAAGGCGAATCTATCCAAACCGACAAAAAACAAGATGAATCTGACCGAGTCGACAAAAGATAGTATGGATCTGCCCGAATCGACAAAAGACGAGATGGATTTGCCCGAGTCGATAAAAGACGAGATGGATTTGCCCGAATCGACAAAAGACGAGATGGAACTGCCCGAATCAACAGAAGATAATATGGATCTGCCTGAGCCGACAGAAGGTAGTATGGATCTGTCCGAGTTGACAGAAGATAGTATGGATCTGCCCGAATCGACAAAAGACGAGATGGATCTGCCCGAGTCGATAAAAGACGAGATGGATTTGCCCGAATCGATAAAAGACGAGATGGATCTGTCCGAGTTGACAAAAAACTCGTTCAAGAAAATTATTCCTTCAATGCAAGCGGTTACTATTGAAGTGAGATTACCACCTTCTAAAGCCACTTCAATGTCTACTCGCATTTTAAAATCAAAAAATGTCAAGCAAGGAGGAACGCGGACACGACCTATTCGTGAACATTCTCGAGCCACTACGTCTGATGCTTTACTGACTGGTCGTGCCGAGTCGAATCAGTCGAATCGTGGTAGTAGTCGACGCTCGCTTACAAGAGGATTGGCGACAGAGGGCAATGCTGCTACGTTGAGTGGGAAATCACGTCGCCAAAACCCGCCTGCTAAGACTAACTTGACCACCCATTCTGCAGCTAGTAAACGGCGTTCAAAATCCCGTCACTCCCTTGAACATGATAATGTGGGTCAATCAAAACTAAAGTCTGAGTCTCTGATCAATGCAAACAATGGAATGGATACCAGTATGACTGATTTAGTTTTAACATCTGCCTCCACTACTGTACCAATGAATACTAATGCTCGCAAGGTAGTGTTGCTTGGCCAGTTTATTAATTTTTAAATTTACTTGTTCATTCATCTGTAAACCTGACCGACTTGTTTCTTTTGTATCTAAAACTGTAATCTAGAAGCGAAAATCTTCATTGATCCAAAAACAAGAGTCAACTCAACAGGACAATACTGTCGCCGAGGTCGATTTGAATACTAAAGGCGATTTGAATCCATCCGTGCGCAAGAGTTTAAGAATTAGACATGCCAAACCACTATAGAAATGATTGTTTTCGGTGTTTCCTTTTTACTTGAATGTGCTAGTAAAATCTAAAATTGTTTTTGGCTTCATACCAGTTTTTAGTTTACCATCGTCGGTTTTGACAACAAATATATGCCATACTTCCAATGAAACGAATCATGGAAAGTCCTGCCACGCTCCACTATAAGTAGAAACAGTCAAGTTTAGCATTCAGTAAATACATGAGTCATTGATGCATTAAAACATTCAAAGCTCACCAAAATAAAAGTCAAGAACGGGTTAAATGATTTTGGATTGGTCGTATCAATCCCAATCTGAATAGCAATCTGTGAAGTAGTAAACACGGCCAAAATCGCCACATTAGACAATAGCCAAAACAAAACAACTTTTGTACGGTATGCTCTGAAATAATCCTCTTGGTCCAGCATGTTTCGGTTTTGTTTTCTGCGCCGCTGAGCAGTATCGTCTGGTTTAGGCTTGAGTTCCTTGAGAAACATATTGTAGTTGGCATCTATATCTTGTTGGTTGACTGGAAGATCAACTGTCACGACTTGCTTTCCTGCTTCAGTTTTTTGTGTGTGTACAGCAGCTGGAGGTTCAGTTGGCTTATTATCACCCTTGGTTCCCCACGACACATCATGCAAATTACAAACTATGATTATAGTTAGTAAAACAGAATGTTGACATATTTTTAAAAACCGATCGACAAATCAAACCAGTCTGACCCTTTAATACGGATTTACTTACATGCATATACCATGAGAATATTTACAAATGATGGCAAAAGCAATAAATACTGAATAAAGCATGTCAACTAATATTCCACCATGACAGTCCGAGTTAGCTATTCTTATTCTCAACATTCAATGCAGCATCAAATTTTCATGTTTAAAGCTTTACCATGTGCCAAGGGTCAAGATATACAATGGACGCAATAATGTATACGCCGTAAGTGGTAAGCAGTGAAAGAACGAGATCGCGGAATGCACGCTCAAGCAACAAGTTTGCAAGATTGAGCACACTGGTAGCTCTAGTCCCGTTTTGATCGGCAACCGTCGCGCGAGCAATTGCCGACTCGATTGCTAAATGGATAGTAAATCCAGACTAGGCTCATATAAAAGCAAACTATGTTAATCCAACTTGATTGGCCCCGCTATAGTCAATTTTACCGATAATAATTCACCAATTCAATAGTCATTCACAATAAACGGCTCACTCACCATATATAGTAGTGTTGCCATAATGAGAGCAAACAATGCAAAGCATCCAATATAAAGAATGCGAAACCCTTGTGGCCTGTTTCCAAGCGATGCAATAAATATCATCACAAGTGCAAACAGGTAAAGCTGTCTGAGAGTAATAAACATTCCTACGCCAAACCCAAAAAATGGATCGGTTTCCAACTGTTGTACAACTCCAACAGAAAGGAAATCTGAATTATCAAGGCGTGAAAAATATAAGTATAATGGCAACAAAACAATGCTTCACACCATGTAAGATTGATTGTATAATATACTTACAAAAGGTCAAGAAAAAATTGGACAGGGAAAACCAGCTAAAAACTAAATTCACCACATTATCTACGCAACACAAAATGATTGAGTATAAAATGCCAATGTTTTAAAAAACTACTAATGATGGGCTAATAATAATGCTTACATAAAGTCTGGAGTAGGAGAACCAATTTTCGTCCAAATGAATGACCAGATCGAAAAACTTGATAAAAATGGATGATGGCATGCAAGCCAGCAAAAAACGATCCATTCAACCACCGACGACGCTGCGCTTTACGATAATATCAGTACCACAAAAGTCAGTTTTGAATCATTTCTAATTAAAACAACTTTTGGATGATACGATGTGTGGCTTACAAATATACTCGGGAACAGAATCAGGGACATCAGTTTCGGCCTTGGCGCACTATATATTTTGCAAAAGCAAATGCGTTGGCTTGGTACAACCACTTAAAATCACATCAATGCAACTTAATGTACCTTGACATATCTTAAAATCCATGCTTCGTCACGCTTAGTGACTAGTTCAAAACACAGGATACGATCCTCGGCAAGATACATGTTTGCCATTGTGAGATTCGGACCACCATGCATTTTCTCACCAATGAAATATTTTTCTAATGGTCCAACACCATCACCACGATTTTGTAAAGCTCGATAACGGTAGGCAGAAAAGGCGCCAGGTAGCACACTAATGAACCCAAACACAGATTCGAGCGGTTTATCTAGGATATTGCTCATCTTGTACTCAAAATTTTGTGCCGCAACAAGCGGATTAAATAGTTTAGAAGAGCAAACGCCTTGTTCGGCATAAATCTCTCCACATGCTCCAGCAACGTTGGGATTAAGATCAAATTCTAAATACACAAAAAATCAAACATGGTTATAATCAGGGTTTTGTTCACCACAGCAATCAAAACATACATCAACAAACCTCGCCATAAATAATAAATAGATTTATCCGTTGGCTTGGTGCCAACATCAATAAGAACGCAGATATTTGGATTGAGTATTTTTCCAAATGCATTAAAAAACCAGCGGTGGCTATTAATCTTTTTTGCATTTTTTTCTTTAAGACAAAAAAGAACTTGAATAGGAACGTTGGATGCATTGTGCTCTAACATAAATTGGAATTTCAAAGTGGATTAACAATACTGCTGGTATATACGCATTTAAAAACCAAACATACTTTTGATATTCATCTGACTATCAAAAGCAACACACGAGGTATATTCGAAAACATGCGCTGAAACCTCTATTGATGGGACAAATGAAAATACACAATTGTTTAGTTAAAAACAAGCACTTTTGTAATAATGCAAAACTTTTACTTACCTTGATCATTAATTGATGTTTTAATCAGTCCTTCTTGGTATACTCCAAGCACTCCAAGTGTAGCCAACGTTTTTTGATGGATTTTGGAACGACCATCAGACACGATGCAAATTACAACTTTTTTCCATCCATCTACTCCCCAGACAGTAGAATTAGTTTTGCGACAAAGATGATTAATATTTCGACAAAGACTCTTCCATGTGTTGAGAAAAAGTCTTTCGTCTTCATTGTACATTGTCACGACAATAAATATTTCTGTAGCACGATCATCTTCTGCTTGACGAAGACTATATAAGGTGGGTTTTCAGTAGAATCAACGTATTATTATCAAGTAAATAATTGAAAAAACAGTAATAATATATCAACTTAAAGCTCAAACAAGTAAGCTTACTAATAGCCACGCTCATAAAACTCATTTGGATCTCCAACAACAGCGGTGTCTAGGTATTTTCACAAAAAAATATAGTAGCAAGTAAGCGATGGATGATTTGATGGAATGAAATGGCATGACATCAATGGCAACAGTCACATGAACAAAAATATGTACATCTGAGATGAGAGAATTCACGACCAGAATGCCTGCTTGCATTCATGACTTTTTCAGGAACAGGCACCTCGACAACAAAATTTCCAGAAGAAGTCAGCGGAATAGTTTTGACTGTCTTGTAACGAAACAAGGTTTCACCCATACGACGCGGAACATACTGCTGTGCTGGGGGATAGTTGTAGTTTAAGTTGAGATCATCATGAACGGTATCATGCGAAGTATAAACATCTCCAATATAATCTGTGGTGGAACAATTTTCAGTTACACTGATGGGATGCTCAAAAAGAGTAGATTTGAAACCATCCTGATCAGATAAATCTGTACTGGCATTACGATATCGGATATTAAATGATTGAATTTCGGCCATATCGCTAGGACTCGAGCCTGGTAGAGTATTTGGAAACTAATGAATTGTATATGAATTTACAATAAAAATATTAGTTTTATGCCTATTCACGTAAAATGAAAAACTAAACAAGAGTGCCAGAGTACATGAACATAGTTTTAATTCAACACAAATTGTATGATTTGCTCGAGATGAAAAGAAATTAAAATACTACAATGACATGCCATTTGATCTTACCTGCGTCATTGGAGGAGTCAGTTTAGTCTGATGACCAGTATAAGGTAATCCTACAACAATTGTAGGACGTTGCTGTGATGGTGTTTGCAGTATGTTTGGATTGGTTGAATACTGCAACCTATCTACATGTTGTCCAGGAGAACTCAAAGTTTGAGGTGGTGGATAAGAATAGTTGTTATATGGTGAACTGGATGAGTCTGTAGGACTTGGAGCATTGCATGGCTGTTGTAATAATCGAAGGTTTTGCTGACCAAGCTGCTGCTTAGAAGCAGAGCTAGTATGACTATGCAATTCATTACTCTCAAGACTAACTTTATTTTGGATCGGGAAGCTCCCGATAAGTGGTTGAATGTCCTGGGAGTATACGGTCTGGTTATACTGAAGAGAGTCAGTATTCTGTGCAACAGCCGAGTCTGAGTTGACATCACGATACTCAGAGGAACACTTTTGGCATGTATCTCCTGGCACATTTTTACAACAATAAGAATCTGACATGAATGCCAACAATTAATAAACTTGTGATGAGTTCAATGTCAAACTTTCAACTGTTATTCACGTAAAATGAAACTGCAAGAAAGTATAAAATAATCGTTAATTCGTGTCAAAATTATGAATTTGAATCAGAATTGACAAAAAGAATGAGAACAGACAAACACTTGAACTGAATTGTATTGAAATCATTTTGATTGAATCAAACAGCATTTTTAAATATAAATGATTTGTTTGTAAACTTGAAGATTGGTTTGAGTTGATTTACAATTTTTAATCCACAAATACGTCAAGTGAATGACTTTACAGTTCATGTCTGAAAACATCGCATACCAACTTATTGTTTTTTAGTTAAATCATGGCTTGTTTATGATATAAAAAACAAACAGATTTATTTGAACCATCACAACTACTATTCAGAAGCAGTTTCCTCAAACGCAATCAGTCGTTTTCCGTCCCCAACAAGATCGCCTTCTTTAAACATGATGCGTTGAATCACTCCGTCAATTGGAGACTTGATCACATGCTATTCAAACAGATATCAGAAACTAAACCATTCAAAGTATAATAAATTATATACATACCTCCATCTTCATGGCTTCCAGAATCATGAGGGGTTGACCTGCCTTGACAGTTTCGCCCACTTTAACCATCACCTGTGAGATCTTGCACGGCATAGGTGTTACAACACTGCCATGACCACCTTCGTTACTCTCATTTTGACGGTATGCTGGAAGTGGAATATAAACCACATGGCGAGTACCATCTACAAATACATGCAATGTCTCCTCGTCAGGTTGAACAACACGAGCACTAATCCGACGCTCACCAATATCAGATACAAGATCAAATGATCCATTGTGCTCGGTCATGGTTACAATTTGGCACATACCAACTTGATGAGCAGCTCCAGCGCAGTCAACAATCTATACGTTGACTTTAATAATTTAGACATGTGTTGACTCGGTTTTTAAAAAATAATATAAACTTGCCTTGATAGCATGAGTATTTCCACCAAGAGTCTCCATAGTCACGCTGATGTTTTGCTTGTCTTCCTTGTTTTCTAAAAAGGTAAAGTCTCGAGATGAAACACCATTAAGACGCAAACCAGAAAGTTTGGCCCATGGAGATTCAGGCTCACTCTTGGCTGATGCTGAATAATCAGCTTGTGCCTGTTTCTCTCGTCCAGCTAAAAACAAGGCCGCATGAGCAAGAACTAAATGTTCTGCAGGTCCTTTTGGCTTGAACAAGGTGTCCTTGTGTTTCTGTAAATCCATCAAAGCGTAGATGGTTGGTCTACAAGATTTCGTACATACTTCAATCTTAAAATAGAACTCACCTGAATAAAACCAGTCTCTACATCTCCAGCAATAAAGGCGGGATGAGAAGCAAGACTTTTGATAAACTCAATGTTGGTATGTGGCCCAACAACCTAATAGTTCAACAGATTAATAAAAACTCCAATTGAAACCGTGTATAAAATAGGCTCACAAATCACTGCTCACTTCAAATTCACCAAGTGCCTTGCGTAAAACACGTAAAGCTTCTGTACGATCCTCAGAGTGCACAACTAGCTTGGAAATCATAGGATCATAATGAACACTGACTTCATCTCCTTGACGAACACCAGTTTCAACACGAAGCTTATCAGAAGTCTTGGGGGTGCGAAGATGAATCAGCTTTCCAGTGTCAGGCAAAAAGTCTTTATCAGGATTTTCTGCATAAATACGTGCTTCAAAAGCATGTCCGTTCAACTGTAGTTCGTGTTGCATCTTGGGAAGTGGACGTCCAGCAGCAACACGCAATTGCCATTCAACTAGATCTGTGCCAGTGACCATTTCTGTAATGGGATGCTCGACTTGTAGACGAGTGTTCATTTCCATAAAATAAAACTCGTTGGTATCAGTGTCCAGAATAAACTCGACAGTACCTGCACCGACATAATTGACAGCCTTGGCTGCAGCAACAGCTTTTGTTCCCAAAGATTCACGAAGCTCAGATGACAAACCAGGCTAAACATCAACATATTAGAAAGTGATACAAGGCAAATACACAACCATAAAATCAAACAGACATGCTACACGGTTTAAATTCAATAGAAAACTAGCATCAAAACTCACAGCTGGAGCTTCTTCAAGAATCTTTTGGTGACGTCTCTGAACACTGCAATCTCTTTCAAACAGATACACAGCATTTCCATACTTGTCGGCAAATACTTGAACTTCAACATGACGAGGTCGGGTAATGTACTTTTCCACTAGAACCTTGTCATCACTAAATGATTTGAGACCCTCGCGTTTGGAAGACTCGAGCATTTCGTAAAACTCGTCGGCAGATTGAACAATACGCATACCCTGAGATTATTAAAAAGTATAGTTTCAAAAAATGTTGGTCCATCTCGTAAAGAATAGCAAACTGATAAAAGACATACTTTGCCACCGCCGCCTTTTACAGCTTTAATCAACACCGGATAACCCATTTTGTCTGCCTCTGATTTCAAATAAGCAGGATCTTGATTTTCACCGTGGTAGCCAGGTACAACAGGGACTTTGGCATCTTGCATAATGTATTTGGATGCACTGTAATTTAAAGTTTAGATGGTTTTTGATGAATGTGTCACAAATCGATCGGTACGCAATGTAAAATACCTTTTGGATCCCATGTCAATAATGGCTTGTGCAGGAGGACCAATAAAAGAGAGGCCAGACGAGGCAACAGCATCAGCAAATCCAGCATTTTCAGAAAGAAATCCATATCCAGGATGAATGGCCTTGTTTTGATGATTGGATATATTTGCAAATGCAAAAAGTTTATTGTCGATAAGCCAACTGTTTATACTAGACCAACTAAACTTACCAAGCTTTGACTGCGCTTGGCAATATCCAAGATCTTGTCTGTACGAAGATATGACTCGGAAGATGCAGCAGGACCAATACAGTAAGCCTCATCAGCCATTTGAACGTGCATGGAATTACGATCTGGCTCAGAAAAGACCGCAACGGTTTTGATGCCCAGACGTTTAGCGGTGCGCATAACTCTACATGCAATTTCACCTCGATTGGCAATCAAGATCTTGTCAAAAAGAGGCGATTCTGAAATGTCAGCCTTGCCAAGAATAGCAGATTGAGTTCCTAATTTAAAAATAGAAATATCTCAGTAAGCATCTTGATCTGAAAATGCAATATTGTGATGCTAGACTGAAATAGTGATGATCATGACTAAACAAAGCCCATACTAGAAGAATAATGAATGCAAAGGGCTACATCATGATATATCAAGCAAACAGTATTTTCATCACGAATCAAATTCATTTACAATACGCCAAGGTCTCATGACAGTGTTTGAATACAACACAATTGATCATTGGTATGAATGAATTGCAACACTCAATTCAACAGACATTAACAAAAGTTCAATGATCTAAGCAATAGATTAAAGAGCTGATTATGCAGACTAGAAATACAGAGTTGAATGAGGCGAATGAGGCGAAAACACACCATTGAATCTAACAAGTAAAGGAGTACGACTGATTTGAGCAGATTTAGAAATGGGCGTAGACAAGAAAGAAACAGCCGAGTGTGAGCGACGATGAATCTGTATTCTGGACAGCATGGTGGAATGGCAACTGCAGACTGGCAATGACTGGATAAATCTATTCGATTGATTTGATTTCCATGGTCGCAGACTCACGTGTCTTACTGTCTGTTGTATCACGTGACTAATACAATTCAAATTGTAAATTTCTTGACATGAAAGCTTCATCCATTAACCATTTCATCCTCCAACAACATTCAAAATGGATTCTGATCAGCTCAAAGATAGACTCTTGTTTGCGATCCCTAAAAAGGGTCGTCTTGCTGAACGTTGCTTGCGTCTTCTAGACGGTGCTGATATTCAGTTCTCTCGTGCCCATCGTCTAGATATTGCTCTTTCCACTAATCTACCATTGGCATTAGTGTTTCTGCCTGCCAATGACATTGCTATGTTTGTTGGTCAAGGAAACGTCGACATTGGTCTCACTGGAAAAGACATGGTTGTTGAAAACGGTACCGTTGCAGATGAATTGCTCGAACTCGGTTTTGGAAAATGCTCTCTCTCTGTTCAAGTCCCAGAAGATGGCAGTATCCAATCCATTGATGATCTTATTGGCAAGCGAGTTGCTACTAGTTTTGAAAACGTTGTCAAGAGGTACTTTTTGTCTGATATTTTATTTTAATACGACGGGTGAATTTTGCGATGCTTTGAATCCAGCTTAATTGCTGCCAAAAATTCATTGGCATGCGAATAACCTGCAGATGAATGGACTCAATGTCGGAACCTTCTATCCGCTATTCTTTCGAGGTTTTTCCACTTGAACTCACTCGAGTTGCTACTTGAGCCTGTCAAGTAGTTATTTCTTTGATTGCTGAGTAGTTTAGCCTGCTTAGTTGGTATCGAGCCAAAATATCCCTAAATGTCAAAGCAAAGCTTTTTTTAGACCATCCTGTCCAGTGCAGATTGAAAAGCACAAGCATTTACCTTTTGGATATTGACACATGGCTGTGGACCGCATCTCACCAATTTTTTGTAATACATGTAGATATTTTACTGCTCGAGAAAATGGATTTAACCATGAAGAGACCGTCACGCTGTTGATCGAGGATATCTTCCACCCAGTATTTTCCAAGGCTTCCAAGACTATTGTGACATATATTGGTGGTTCTGTTGAAACTGCATGTGCTCTTGGTGTTGCTGATGCTATTGGTAAACTAGATTGACCTTGTATTTTATATCCACAGTACTCATAGAACTGTAGTTGACTAATGCTGTTGCACCATTATTTGTGGACTGTTATAACCAGTTGATCTTGTCGAGTCGGGTGAAACCATGCGCGCTGCCAAGCTAAAGTCTATTGGCACTATTCTAAAATCCCAAGCCGTATTGATCTCCAATCCCAGAAAGCACGACAATGATCAGTTGGTCCAAAAGATTTGTCGTCGGCTACGTGGTGTTATTGATGCTGAGCGATATGTTCTTTGCACTTACAATATCCGTAGAGCTAGTATGGCAGATGCCTTTAAAATTACTCCTGGAAAAAAGGCACCTTCTGTCAGTCCTCTTGAAGATACTGAATGGATTGCCATCTCTGTCATGGTGCTTAAATCGAATGTTGTTGACTGTATGGATGAGCTGACCTCTATTGGTGCCGAGGATATTTTAATTCTTGATATTCACAATTGTCGTGTAGCAGACCAGAGTGTGTGTACTCTCAGTAAAGAGGAGTCTGGAGTGTATTAAACCAGCTTGATCAATCCTGCCTTATGGAATTAAGCTGTCTTGGTTAATTTGGTCATTGATTTCTCATGGTTAAACTAAACACCTCGATTATTATTATTACAGCCGTATTCACGTAAACTGAAACACATTTCTGTATTTATCTTGCAGTTGGAGCTTCTATTTTGCTCTGGAATAAACAATAGTTAAATATTCTTTGTTGGGAATCGATTTTTTATTGAAACTATTCTAATATCAGATACGTTCGCGCTCTAATCCAACAAAACATTTCAGGAATACAACAGTTGTTTCCATGCGATCATGCAATATTTTGAGAAGTTGGAGATTGAAAAGATATCAGGGATGTAGAATGTATTGGAACAGAGATGTAAACATTCAGTATTTTTTTACAAGAGCAAACGTGGAGATTGTATGGCTATGCCAAAAGTGAAAGGGACACATTTAAAACTATAGCTTGATTGCATTATAGTGTTTAAAAGAATTGGGTGTGAATTGAAGCAATCAATATTTGATCACTGTTTCAAAGCAAGAACTGATCACAGCAAGAGTGCTCCGCTTTGCGTGAATATGGCTGAAATGTGGTTTTCAACAAATGCATTTTGTAGTTGGATTTGAAAAGTCGAGTTTCTATCTGATGGGATTGAACAGCCCTTGAAATTGAAATTCAACAGAAACAAAATCCGGAGAATTGTGTTTCTCCGCGCACTACTGAATGTAAGTCGAGGATGAAACCAGCAGATCAATGGCTCTTGTATTGAGGTCTGACACTGTACTGGTATTGTCTATCCATTGGATCGGTACCAGTCATTCATGTACTGGATATACTCATCTTATAGACATCACTGATCAATAGACACTCGATCCCTTAATCTCCCATCCTGTTCAACCACTATTTGTGTATCGTAGGCTTCTGAAGATTGCCTTGCTTTACGAGTGCTTGATGTTCTATTATAAACTCAAACCGATTTATCAATATTTCAAGCTGCAATGAGCAGGTCCTGAATAGCTTGCATTCATTCCAAAACATCACTATAATTCTCTTTTGATAATGGGTAGAATATCTAACATGTATGAGATGATATAGGTCTCAGAGCAATGACATTAAATTGGACGAGTTTGATACTGGTAAAACAAAAGGATCGAGAGCATGTGGTAGGCTCGACTGTTTTGAGTTGTATGCAATTTCAATACTGGATTTTTGTTTTTAATTCAATGTGAAATAATGAGTAGATGGATGTCGAGTACGCAAGCGAAAGTGTGATGGATTACAGCCGTATTGTACCAACTGTTTAAAATCAATCACTCGTGACGAGGATGGAAATCCAATCTGTACATATAAAATAGAAGCAAAGAAACGAGGTCCTAGACCAGGCTACAAAGATCGAATGCTTCAAAGATTGGAACGTTTGGAGAGCATCCTCAATCCTCTAGTGGACTCTCCATTGACTCAAGGATCGCCTAAATTAGTGTCCGACTCGGTTGTTGTCGATGCAGTCGAACAAACCAATTTGAATCCACCAGCTATTAAATCACGCAAGAAACCTATTCAGCAGCGTGTTTTGGATCTGTACGAAGTAATGGACACTACAAATCTTCTTACCACCGACTCTAGTCCAAGTGAGGAGTCGATCAGATTACAGAATATGCACTCTATAGATATCTCTTCAGGACAATCCACGCTGCCTTCTCCTAAAACTGGCTTGAATACTGGACTTGTGTCACTACAGAGTTTCCCTGTAACGGATTCTGCTCTTATGAATCAATCGCGCATTCCAACCTCATTTCTAACGCTTCCATTACAGTCTGTAGTTTTATCGCATTCTACAACCCCTGCTGATTCAACACCCAACACACTTTTAAATGCCAAAGTGTCCACATGCTCAATACCGACCACTGCTTCAAGCACTTTTAACAAAATCGGTTATGATAGTGGGGTAATGAATGAGCTTGAAGATATCCTTGGATTTGGTGGTTTAAGACCACCACAGAAAAATCAGCAAAAATCAATCATTTTGCTGGGTGAAGGAAACGATAGTATGCTTCAGCCAGCCGCGCTTCAATGGGCTACCAATGACTCCACTTTGGGTTTAAACCATCAAGCAATGATGCAACTTCAAGTTCCTCCCGGTGTCATTGAACTTGATAATTTCTACCTAAACAATTCAAATCTATACTCTTCGCTAGCCTATCCTTCCATTCTTGACCCATTTCCGTGTGTATTCAATGGTACTTTTGGCCCAGAGCTACCTTTTAATAATTTTCCATTTTTAGATACATCTGTCCAGCAACAGAATTCAATTCTTGAACTTGAAACGCACCTTCTCATGCTTGGTCTTCACTACAACTTGGTCGTGCCCTTGTCCAAATCCCAATCTGCAATCATCACGCTACCGCAATCATCTATGGTACGACTACCCAATACACTAAGGGATTCTCTGATTGCAACAGGCGTGTTTTACTCGTCCCATCCAGAGCTGTTTACTACTCTGCTTGGACCACAACAGAAAATTACGCTTGATCCACAAAACAAAAGCGAAATTCGCATTCGTATTGCTCGCATGTACATCATACGGTCGCGAAAGGCATTGAATGCAGCCATTTCACCTGCAGGGTCTACTCATTTGGATGGTGTAGATCCTACTAAAAATCCTACTTCAGAAGATGGCACACCTGTTGAGCCATTGGATGATTGTGATGCGGTCCGTACCATGCTGATTTTGGCTACAATCTCGTTTGGTCTTGGAGATGGCGGTGATTCTATGCAGCTTGTTGGTAAGCTAAATCATTTAAAGTATATCTGTTTTTTCTTGTAGAATGATTGAAAAACAGAACCTGATACAAGTGATTTATTTTATTATTTGTTGGTAGCCGATGCCTATCGACTTGCACAAAAGGCAAAAATTTACGAAGCAAGCTTGCTACATAATGAATCTGTCAAGCGTAAACATCCACTAACTGTTGATTCGCTAGTAATATCTGTTCCTCGCATGGTTACTACAAAACCCACGATTCAAAAACTTTTGCCTGCTGACAAATTTGACCGCCGGGTTTTGTGGGGATCATGTCTAATCTTGGATACATATTGTGCCATGGCTAGTGGATACCAATCAGGCATTGACGAAGGCGACTATCCGGGACTTGTTGCAGCATTTGGATATGCAGATCTTTTACCCTATCTCAAAGTTCCTGATAATACTCGTCAAACCTTTTCTCAACTTGGAAAACTTGCAGAGAACACTATTTGGGAGGGAACACCACTTGCCGTTATGTTTGATGACGTGACTGAAATGAGTCGTACATCCATGTTGATTAATTCAGTCACTGGAGAGTTTGAATCGCTTATACACCTTACATTTATTATGCGCCGCATCATGAGATATGTTCGATCGCACATGACATGTCCTGCAGTGGAGTTTTGTCATCCATCAACAAATCCGATTTCCAAACCAATGGAAACACCATCCGTTTCATCTAAACTGGATACGGGCGATATTGCTGCATTACATAATTCACTGTTAGAATGGTACAATGAATTCCCTGATCGGTTTCGAGCTTTTCCATCTCTAGAGTCGTTTGCACGCGGTGTTCATCCATCAGTGCTGGATCACTACCATGACTGGACGTATAACATCTATATTGTAGAGTGTTTGATGACTTTTTTGTCTGCATTTTCATACTTGCATCTTCCACTTTTGACAGGACCAGATTCACACGTAAAGCTGTATCGTCTTAGTTTATCAACACCACCAAAAACCACAAGCACTACACTCTACTCGGATACCAATGAGAGCAAAGCACAACAACTATGGAGTTCACAACAAGTTCTTTTGGCTTGTTTTCGTGCACTCACGTATATGATTCGACGGTTATACACTCCCACAACACCATCACAGAGTCCATTTTGCAATCGTAACTATGATACGGAACGACTCAGGTTTTGTCAACAACAGATGATTCCAGAAGATACTCCATCACCTGCATTGTGTTGGACCATTCATTCGTTAAATATTTATATTATATCCTCAGCAGGACTCATGGCAGCAAGATCGTGTGTAAATGGCACGGATACACCATCGACACATCTGGAATCGATCATTCGTCTAATGAATGCACTGGTACTGCCATCACTAGAACGGATTAGCAAAGTATGGCCCATGGCACAATTGTATCAATTCAAACTGGGAACTTTGCTCAAGGGAGGAGCCGCTGAAGATTGGGCAGAAGAGGCCATATCATATATTCAACTATGATGGAATGGAGATTTGAGCCTGTATTTATTAGTTATTTTGAATGAGAAACAGCTTATATTCGATGCTGGAATTCAATAAATTAGTCAGATTCGATTATTAATAAAAGTTGATTGAAATTGTGATTTTATTCGAGCAGCAAGCTTGACCCGAGTTAATCCAACATCGTGATGAATAGCTCAACTCCACCAACATCCCCTCCTCCAGTAAAACCATACAGAACTGCTATTAATCAAGTATTCTTTACTCCTGGATCATCCAAATCCAGTATGGATGCTAGTCATGAACGATTGCAAACAGCTGCACAAGGACTGCATACAACTAGCGACACAGATAGTATTTATTCATTCAACTCTTCTATCAGACGTTTACCATCCACTATGTCTTCAAATATGATGCGAGAAAGAGAAGTGTCGTCTGCCATGGTTTCTGCTGCTCGTCGGATTGCTCAGGATGCAAATAATATTGAGAATACTACAAATAATAATGTCAAGAATACTGCAAATCATGTTGAGAATATTACAGAATCAGAGTCTGATACTCCAGCACAAAGTAATGCTACTAACACTCCTATAGCTGACCACTATAGAGAGTCTAGTCCTTCATTTGAAAATGCTTCATTTCCCATTTCTCCTCGACGACCACTCCCAACTCCTCCATCTCGCGCATCTAATCCAACATCACATCTAGATGCAACTGCATCATTGCAATCTACACCATTGCATCCAAACCAGAATGTACAGCCAACTACAACTGAATCATCAACTAAATTTGCAGCTGGTCAGATATTTATTGAACATCATCGACCCCACGCACCGCCATTTCACTATGCTATTGCTCATTTGTCTGAAAAGAAGCGTAATCGGTCAACTAGCTTTTTTAAGATTTTTAAAAAAGGGGAGAACTCAAAAGGTACTATCGAGTCAATGGCCACAGATACTCAGCAGACATCGCTTCCTCGTGCATCTAGCATACGCAGTGATATGTCTAAAGAATCATACCCAGAGGACCAAGCTTCCATCGCTGACGATCCACATCTGAACCTCAAATCGTCTATTTTTTTCCCTACTCCATCGCTTGTCATGTCCGAGTCAAGCTTCTCATCAACACCAACTTCTGGATTAGATTTGTTGCCTGTCCATACAGTTGTATCTCAGCCTTCAAATACTTGTACAAAATCTGAACAGTCTCAGATTCGTCCCAAAGTTCGCGGTCATTTGAAAGGCGATTCAACATTTGCTCATTTAATGATGGTACAAGAACTATCAATTACACCACATGATGATACAACTGATCAATCCACTGGGTATGATGTATGCCACGGACTTGCATCAGAAGGTATTATAAAATCTTCTTCCTTGTCTAAACTAGCTCAACTTTCGCTACCTTTGTCACTACAATCTACTCGTCATAAGGACAAGACAGAAAAACTGGATATTTTGTCTGGTACTTCTAAACTACGCCGTACAGGAAACTCTAGAGCATTTGATAAAGATTCATCTGCCGTGCCTGTGTGGGTTTTAAAATTCAGTCATGACGGGCTCTATCTGGCTGCTGGCAGTCACGATGGAACTGTTTTTATTTGGCGTACAGCTTCATTTATATCCGATTCTTTAAATCATCATAACTTGGAAACCGACATCAAGCTGAATTCTTTTTCACCAAATCAAGAGTTTGAATTTGCTCATTCTACTCACATCACACCATCATTGGCCGAGAATAAGTTGCATTATGCTCAAAATATTTTATCTACAGACATATCCTTTCAACAATGTGAAGGAACTTTATCATCACTTGAAAGTAGAAAGTTGTCTAGCACTCGAAAGTCGACCGACGCCGTTTCGAAATGCACCGATTCATTCATCACAATCAATTCTGCGCGGGAACTAGCTTCTGCACCCAACACACCTAGACCATCTTGCACAAATCAACCTAGCAAGCCAGTTTTTCAATCTCTTTTACAAACAAACTCTGGCACTATCCAATCGTCGACCAACTTGGCGAATAATGCATCCCCATCTACGTATTCAATGGATATATTTGAACAGAAAGCAATGCATGTGTTCAAGGGACATACTCAAGCCATCACAGCCATCTCATGGTCTAAAGGTGGATTTATTGTATCAGCATCAATGGATCGCACAGTGAATCTATGGCATATCAACTGTGCCGATTCTCTCTGCGTGTTTCACCATCCAGATATAGTCACAAGTGTTTGCTTTCATCCACACGACGATCGTTATTTTTTAAGTGGTGCATTGGACGGTCGTGTGCGCTTATGGTCCATTCACGAAAAAAAAGTAAAGTATTGGAACGAGCTTCATCGCAATGCCATATCTGCTCTTGCATTCAACCGTGACGGCACCACTGTGATTGTTGGAACCGTTCAAGGCGATTGTGTATTTTATGAATCTGAAGGACTCAAGTACAATACACAAATCCAACTTGCATCTACTTCTTCATTGAAAGGCAGCAAGGATGTCAAAATCACGGGAATTGTTGCTTTGCCACCACAAGTTACCGACAACCATCAAGACGAAAAGTTTTTGGTAACATCAACAGATTCTCACGTGAGGATATTAAATGCAAGAGATAAATCTTTGTATAGAAAGTTTTATGGGGCTGAGTTGAAGCATGGTCATTTGGCTGCTGGTGTTTCTGATGATGGGAGATTTATTATTTGTCCTTCGGAAGATAAACAGGTTATTATCTGGGACACGGATCCGTCCGAGTCAAATCAGCTGCAGTTTTCTGGAGTGCTGGGTGGGATGAAACAGTGGCAGGCTGATAGCTCCAAGGGTACAGGACTGGAGCGAATCACCCCTTCAGATGTTCCCATCACAGCAGCTATATTTGCACCTGAAGCCTTACGAAAACTGATTGCAAAGCAAACCCATACTCTGAACCACTCTTTGGATCCGTCTGCTACTCTGCTTCCTATGCAATCTTGTTCAAAATCGGCTTCGCTTAACAATTGTGCTGATCAAATTCCCAACGATTCTACCCAATCAAGTTTTTCTACCACTGCTGCCATATCAAATGATGGTGCTGATATACCACCAAATGATGCAGATGGGATGGTGGTGGTCGTGTCGGATATTCATGGACGAGTGCGTGTTTATTTGAATAGATCCAATTTGAATGGCGTAGATGGATCTGGACATGCATCGAAAGCTACACTCTTTGCTCCTACTCTTACTTCGTCTGCTATAGTAGCTGGTAATATGTCACAGATGGGTCCCAAAGGATCACCGTCTAGACTTGAACGACTGCGCGCTGGAATTGTTCATGGAAAAGACATAGTTGCCAAAGGAATTGCTACAGGCAGAGCAAAATCAAACTCTCTCTTACGCTCAGAAGACTCTTTTTTGCATCGTAATCTGGATATTTTAAAGCACGATTCATCAAAACTAGAATAAAGCATTCATTTAATTATTACTATAACATTTAGTCCCTAATAAGAAAAGCACGCTCAGCATTCAAAGAGTCTATACTGTCTGCTTCGCTTTCAATAGATAGTCGCTCGTATAGAGGAGTAGCGGATGATGTATGCGAGTCATTTTCTCCATTTGGGGATCCAGATAAAAAAACAGTATAATACAAAAACCCATATATGCGGATGGTATCATGCCATAAATCCAACCAGTAAAAGCTATCCCAGGCTCCTTTAGCAATGGGTGTTACCGATTTGTCTTCTGGAACAAATATTTTATAATTGAATGCCCAGAGGTGAAGAATAGAAGCAATCATCATTTCAACAATAACGACAAAGCTCTGAATAAGAGTGGACAGTTCACCAACTGTCCAATCATCTGTTGCGTGAATTGTGCCGCTGTTTGCAAGAAGCTTAATGGTGATCCCAAGCCAGAATTGAAAAAAAATGACAAACTTGATGGATAAAAATTGACCAACGAGGTTGTAATGCGATATATCCTATTTTGATGATGTAAAAAGTCAATTTAAAAACAAATGAATAAATAAGATTGAGGAATTCTTACATGTCGAATTGGTAGATAAAATGAAATCAGCGTAAACATAGCCAATCCGACAGATATAGAGTTGAAGACTGTAGTATACATGTGACCAAAATATGGAGACATGGATTCAGAACAGTAGACCTTTCCTATTTCCATGGCCAAGGAGGCCAACGTTGTGATAATTCTGATATATACATATTGCAAAACTAGATAAATCCGTATCAGATATGGTCAGTTACATCCAATGCAATGAATAAAGATGGGCAAAACATACTTCCTAGTTTACAAAAACCAAGAAAATAAAAATGGCTGGGACTGTGGGTTAAACAGCAAGCAGGAGGAGGAAATCGGCGAGATTGCTTTGTCGCAAGCACCTGCAAACGGACGTGTTCCGTTGGGCCGAGATACTCTAAACAAAGTGTAAAGAAGTTGTAGACGACAAATCCTTCGTAGCAATCCCGAACAACATTAATATAGACAGCCCATTTCACAGACCAAAACGAAAGCAACGAACATATAGAATACAATGGGACCATCAATAGAATCTACAATTCAACGAGTTAAAATGATATTAAACGACAGTAGTTCAATGCGATGGTCATACCCTAGTTATCGGACGCTGAAACTGAGGCTTAGTATAGTATCTAAAGTGCATGATGGTGAGATGCAACGAGAGGATAGTAGTTGCAAGCATAAGAACACCTATACTCGCTGTTAGACTTTTAGCAAAATAAGCAATTCAAACAGAGTGATTGATACCTCCAACGGCCAAACCAACGACCCACCACGTAGAAAAGTATAGACTTGAAGTAGGTTTACTATGGTGTTGATATGCAGGACAATCTCGTGCACCATAGAGAATAGCACGCAACATCACGGTCGAGAACGATGCAAATCAAAACAGCAAAACGAGTCAAACAGACTTTACGAGAAGTTGAGAACGTGAACGCTCTTTATGAATTGATCGATCAAATTTGAGTTGCTTGCAGTTTGCTTGCAGTTTACCAACTGTTAGTATTGATGGATGCCCTGCTTGAGTTCATAGATATCAGCAAGATCCCAACAAACGAGCACTTGCGTGCTGTTTATAAAGCTCTGAGTTCTGCTTCTACCATCACGCTTGCTTCCTATACCTCAACGAACATCGATCCACTGGAATTACTACAACCAAACCATCATACTCTTGCATATGTCTGCATCTTGAATGCCAGAATGGCTGTTGCTTCTTCCTCAGTCTATGGTCGCTTGCTTGCCTTTGCATACAAACTGGCTTTGGAATTCAATCCTTTGCAGCTACGAATTGCTTCCCACGCTCTTGTCCAGCTAGGAGAATCGATCTCACAGTGTGCTATTTCATCTGGTCATCCTCCTGCTGCCATCCGTATCTTCTCGCTACTCTGCACCAAGTTAAACTCTACTACTTTTACTGCTGAATCTAATATAAATAGTGTCCATTTGACTCCCTTGCATGTGCTTTTGCTCAAACACTGTCTGCTGTCCAAAAACTACAAAGCTGGTCATGAAGCTTTAAAGGTGGAGATCACCGACATGGCCTCTCCAATCGCTCCTATACGTATCCAAGATTTTATGCTGTATCATTACTATGGAGGCTTGATTCATATAGGAAACAAGCATTTTACTTGTGCCATGCAGTTTTTTGAACTATGTCTGGGTGTTCCTAGCGACATTCCCTCTGCCATCCAGATCGAAGCTTACAAACGGTTTATTCTGGTCTCTTTGCTTGCTAATGGTGCTCTCTTGCTTCCAAAAACAGTCTCTCCTGTTGTGGCTCGGGTCTGTAAGTCACTGACGCTCCAGTATGCAGAGTTTGCTACAGCTTACAGCTCACACTCACTTGCTCGTGCTACCACAAAAGCCTCTCAATATGCCAGTAAATTCGAAACGGACAAGACAAATGGACTAGTGCATCAGTGTCTAGCAGATCTAGTCCGTAGAAAAATCAGAAAGCTCACAGATACGTATCTGACTCTTTCCCTTGGCGATATTACCAGAGCCGTTGGATTAAACGAATTGGATGTCATGACTGGATCTGAATCTACCCTCGAAGCCGAGGCTCATGTTGTGCGCATGATTGACGATCGTCAAATTCTTGCTACCATCAGTCATTTGGATGGAGGCATGGTTTCGTTCCATGATGTATTCAATGGTTTGGATACCCTCTCCACAACAGCTACCCTGGAAGACCAGATTGCTACATTGATGGCTCGAGATACCGATGCTCAAATTCTGGACAGAAAAATCGGCCTATCTCAAAACTATCTTCAAAAAACTATACAAGATAAGGCTCGACCTTTGATGAATACAGAGGATGAAACGAAAAAAGGAGCTTGGAATGCCTAACTTTGTCAAAATACAGCACATAACCATGATACCTTTCAAAACTAAGTTTGAGTAGTGATTTTGATGTGAATTGTCTGAGATTCAAATTAGTAAAAACATTTAGTATATTTTTAAATTCGTACATGAGTTTGGAACGCTCAAATCTGCAGCATTCGAGTTCCCTCAGGCAGTCGATTAGAAACTCGAAAATTAGTTATTTGTCAAACACATTCAATTCAAAGGCATGCCGCCAAAAATCATTAGAGCTCCATCTGCTGCTGCAACAGACAACTCTAAACAATCAAAGTCATCTAAATCTAAAGTTTCTAAAGAGTCGGATTCGAAGAATGCCGACAGTGCTCCTCCTATGACTGCCAAGCAGCAACTCTATGGAACTAGCTGGACAGGAAAAACTCCATTGAATCTACTCCATGAGCATTGTCAGAAACAAGGATGGAAAAAACCCATTCTCCAATGTCGTAAAGACTCGAGCAGTGGTAGTTGGATTGGCTCGGTAAAACTTGCCAAAATGGATAAAAAAACCAGTCAGATTCGTGAAATCTACTGGAAAACTTCTGAAAAATACGAGAGTGAACAAGAAGCCAGACATGCAAGTGCATATACATTGTTAACTAGAATCTTGTCTTATCCGTAATTATATACTGATTTTTAGATGATTGAGCATTCAGTTAAAGTGCAATCGCTCATCCATATATTGTGATTTTAAATACCATTTTAGGCTGCTGCTACTTTTGGTTTGCATCGAGTATGCCATAATACTTCTGCATACCGTCTACTTCCACCCACACAAAGAGATTTATGGTTAAAATTTGAGGGCATTCGAAAATCTTGCAGTGGACCGCAAGCAGAGTTGGACTATGCAACAGATCCATTTCTGGCTCAAGAAATCAAAGAAAGGGAAATACAAAAAACTGCTCAGGTACGAGAGCGCATTGCTGCCGAAAAAGAAAAGTCAAAACTGGCAGGTCCATGGATTCACTATCCCTCCATTAAAATATCACAATCCGATATTCATGCTATTGAAGATTTACTACGCATCAATTTCAGCAAACTTCAAAAGATGCTTCAGGACAATCTGGCAAACAATACTATAGAAGACTCGCATAAACAGACAAGCACTGATACTAAGGAACTTCAATCTGGATCTACAAACGCTTCAAAAGCTAAACTCATCAAAAGTTTTGTTTTGCGTGGATTTCGAGAAACTCATGTAATCGAAGCAGCACAAATATGCAATACTTCTCATAGTATTATGGAATGGCTCTGTGCGCATGTTCCTGATGATGATTTTCCATCTCAGCTTGGTCGAACTGATGCCTCCACCGTGTCATTGGCAAAACACACTACACAATCACTTGCTAAAGAATATAGCATTCAACGCCTTGTGGGGTGGGGATTTCCTCGCCATATGTGCGCATTACAACTAGATCAGTGTGAGGGAAATGAGCATTTGGCGCTTACTCGAATGTGCATGCAACTTCTTGATACAGATCAGGCTTCTATTTTTGACCTTGAAGTAGATGCATCGGATTGCAAAGAAACTTTTATGGAAGAAATGGATGTGTTGCGTTCTATTTTTGACAATCAAATTGAAATTAACACCACTGATGAAGGTGTAATGATTTCGGTTGACATTCGGCCTGAAGTATTGAATGGTATAGAATCAAAACTAGTGGTCTGCATCCACTCTGAATCAAATTATCCATACGAGTCTCCTGCAATCGTAATTCAAGCTCAGCTTCCATCATATATTCGTCTAAGTATGACACAAAAGCTTATGTCGGAAGCCATAAAATTACTAGGTACTCCCGTCATTTATGCCGTCATAGCTATATTTGAGGAATGTGCCGCCGATATTATCAAAAACCCGCCCTCTTTGACGCAGCTATCCATTTTCAAAGATCTAGGCAAACCAACCGATGATACCTCTACTTTTTTAAATGAGGATAATACGTCAACGGCTGATACTTTGGTTGATTCAACGGTCTTGAGCGTCAATCCAAAGAGCAAAACATCACAATCAAGTGCAAAGCATCAGCGTGGTCGCAATCGCTCAAAACAGTCATCAACAAAGAATGGAAGACTCTCGGATGAAGAACTACGTGAAAGATTGTCTAAAAAACAAGTAGATTCTGCGTTTCTTCATATGCAATCAATTCGAAGAAAACTTCCTTCTGCAAACTACAAAGATCAGATTTGCAAGGTACTGTATATAAATTTCATTTTTAATGCATGCCAGTTTCTAAACTTTTTTTATTTATAGGCTCTCTCTTCAAGTAACGCTCTTGTACTTTGTGGAGAAACTGGCTGGTATGAATCAATATGCTGTGTACTGTAGAATTTGGTATTGACGCTAAACAATCCTGTATTGGTAAAACGTAGTGGAAAATCTACTCAGGTTGGTCAATTCATTCTTGAAGACTGTATTGACAAAGGAATAGCATATAAATGCAACATCATTTGTACACAACCACGAAAACTCAGTGCAATTGCACTTTCCAAACGCGTTGCTGATGAGCGGTGCGAAACAGTTGGTGATATGGTTGGCTATGCTGTTAGGGGAGACACGTCTCGCAGTGACAATACCCGATTGATGTTCTGTACCACTGGAATTCTATTAAGAATGCTACTTGGCGATCCCACTCTTACCGGTATCAGTCATGTCATTGTTGATGAAGTTCATGAGCGTAGTGTCGAAAGTGATTTTTTGCTTATTCTTTTGCGTGATTTACTTCAAAAAAAGAGCTCTCTGCGTGTTATTTTAATGAGTGCAACCATCAATGCCGATACTTTTTCTTCATACTTTTTATGCAGTGTTATGACTATTCCAGGATTCACGTATCCTGTAACTGATCTGCATTTGGAGAACATTCTCGGTATGATTGATTATATACCAGATCTTCCAAAGCAAAAAAGCAGTAGTCGTAAAGAAGCATCACAGATTGATTTAAAAAGTGATCAAGATGGTTTTGATGATATGTGGAGTCATCATGATTTATCTGATGGTATTAAAAATGCTCTTGCTATAGCCGAACGCAACAAGCTTCTTCGAATTGACCACAAGCTGATTGCAGCGACTGTGTCTTATATTTGTAAAAACCACGATGACGGAGCTATTTTAATTTTCTTGCCTGGTGTATCAGATATCAAACGTTGCATGGATACACTCAAGCAAGATGTATCATTGAAAAATGAAAATCTTTGCATATATCCACTACATGCCAATCTGACCAACACCGAGCAATCCAAGATTTTTAGACCAACTCGTCGTTCTGAACGAAAAATTGTGATTGCCACCAACATTGCCGAGACAAGTATCACTATCGATGACGTAGTGTTTGTCATTGATTCTGGTAAAGTCAAAGAAATTACCCTACGAAATGAAGTGGTTACTCTCTCGGAGACGTGGTGTTCCCAAGCGGCATGCAAACAACGACGTGGTCGAGCTGGCCGTGTCAAGTCTGGCTATTGCTTCAAACTTTTTACTAGTCATTTTGAAAAGAGCCGGATGAATCCGTTTCCTGAGCCGGAAATTTTACAAACTCCGCTTGAGCAGCTGTGTCTTCAAATTCGCGCCATGAATGTTCAAGATATTACCAACTTTCTTTTCAAGGTATGGCTATTTTAAACACTGCTTCAGTATTAAATTTGCGGTAAAGTGCTTGATGCCTATATATGCACCTGATTACTATTTTAGGCTATTACACCACCGCCTATTGAAATGGTGCATCGCGCAATAGACTTTTTAAAAACAATTAATGCTTTGGATGAGCACGAGAACCTGACAAATCTTGGAAAGCATATGTCTGCAATTCCAGCAGACGTTCGTTTATCCAAAATGCTACTGTACGTTATATCACTGCTATTATTTGTGTAGTGTTGCTTAAACAGAAAGTTTAACAGTTGAACTAATCTGCTGTTTTTAAATTTAGATTTGGAGCCATATTTCAATGTGTTGGTCCTATACTTACAATCGCGGCATGCTTGTCAGAAAAAAGTCCATTTATATTTCCGTCTGACTCTCAAGATCAATCCGAAGCAACAAAGTAGAGTTACAGTTTTAATTGATCACTGTTGGTTTGAATTACATCACCTAACCATGATTAATCGCTATTTGAACTAGAATTCGTAAACAATTTTCTGACGGAGAAAGTGATTTACTAACGGCATGCAAAGTATTTGACGAATGGGTGCAACTACCTACATCTCAACGGCGTGATTTTTGCTCAAAGGTATGATTATGATTTATACTTTTGAAAATGTCTACCTTTTAAATTTTATCAATGCTTACCACTACATGTTTTATTTCAAGAACTATCTATCACATACCAATCTTGAGAATATTGCAGATCGTCGATTGCAGTTTAGAGATATTCTTGTAGATATTGGATATCTTGAATTCAAAGAATATAATGTGAGCTCAACTGTAGCAGACCCTAACATAGTCAAGGCAGTAATCGTTGCTGGACTGTATCCTAATATTGCTCGAATCCGCTTTCCTGAAAAACAGTACGAACAGATTGCACATGGCACAGTTGCTATTGATTCTCGTGCTCGAGATATCCATTACTTTACCAAAGATGATGGTATGATAGTCTTGCCACATTACTTTTATATGCGATTCATTAACACTTGATATCAACAAAAAACTATGCTCGATTCTAATTCATACTACCATTTAAATGCACCATTATGCAGGACGAGTTTTCATTCATCCATCATCTATAAATTTTGAGACTACCAAATATCAATATGGGCATCTTGCCTTTAATCGAAAACTTGCTACATCCAAGATTTTTATTTTAGATCCAACACCTGCTTCACCAATTTCTATACTGATGTTTGGTGGAGCAATAGACACGCTGCATGATGGACACGCTATTGCTGTTGGAGAAGTTGCTCGTTTCCGAGCATTCCCGCGTGCCACGGCGCTTATTCACGGCTTGCGGCGGCTACTTGATATATTATTAGCTGAAAAGTTTGAAGATCCCATGAAAGATGTCATGGCATCAGATGTAGGAAAATGCTTGATGCGAGTTCTTGGGACAGCTTGAGTTGTACTCTACCACTCGACATACTTGTTTTTGAAATGCTATATTGATGCGGCAGGCAATAAAATGGCTTTGAGCCGTAGCAATCTGTCACTGCTCAAATCTAGCACGGTTTCTCGCTCCGCTAGTAATTTCTCAGACGTATCCTTGCTTCCTTTCATGGCCAACTGAAATTTTGGAGGCTACAATAAATCATTTTTAATGTTCATCTAAGCATCAACAATTGTTTGAGTGGTAAGATCAATGCTACTTACTTGTCCATCAAACGCGTGGAGGTACCTGCGTCGAGCTTCTGCAATGACCCAACCCACTGTTCTTGGAGTTCCTGATGGTCCACTGGTACACTCAATTTCAAGCAATTTTGACGAGGTATGGGAGTGTGGAAATTCAATTTGAACAGCGGTGCTTTGTCGAGGTGTTAAACAATGTACTGAAGGGCTATTTAATGAAGAAGCAGTGTGTGCAGTTGAAATTGGAGAAGAGCAAATCACTTGAGTGTTAATTGGTGGTAAGTGCACAGTCACAGTTTCTGGATTTGTTTTAGAATGCATCCCGGTGGAAGACAACAGTTCTAGTGAATTCAATGTAGTACTTGATTCGTATATATGATCAGTACATTGATGAGTGGTTTTTGGTAGACTTATGCTTGCTTTTCCAGAAAAAATATCCGAGTTTTCCGACATTGACTCTGCCAAAATTCTATCATTATACAGTAATTATGAATAAATAAACAGATTTAAAAAAAGGTACAATAAATTCAATATGCTACCTTTTTCGTGTACGTCCCCTTTGTAGTGGAACAACAGGACCAGAATGATCCGAATCATCACTGTCATCCAGTAGCTGCTGGTGTGCCTCTAAATAGAGTGGATTTGAAGTGGTCGCATTGGTTGTGTCGATTGGGCTGGAAACAAGATCGACAATACCCTTTGATGCATTAATAGTTTTGATAGGCTTTGGATGGTCACGCAATCTTTTAGACGAGGAAGTAGTCGTTATGTTTTGCTTAGAGCAATCTGACGTGTGCGAATTGCACGATAATACTTGACGATTTGCACTTGAACATTCAAAAGATTGTGAATCAATTTGCTCAAAATCTTCAGAATCTTGCGACCCTAAATCGTCCTACAATTATTTTATAAAATGGTTAAGTAATCAGTGTTGTATAATTGGGCCACTGAAGCAAGTTTGATTACTTACAGTAGCACTACTAGGATTAGAGCTTTGTAAACGTGTACGTGAACTCAAATACTCAATCTGGGCTGTCAAAAACTTGACTTGGTCAATAAAGTTAAATCTTTGGCATAAATGTCTCAAACTTTCTAGGATTTTCAGTTGCATCTCCACGTCCTTAAGCCTTTCAGCCAAATCAAACGCATCACTATGCAACTTTCGTAATATCTGAAATGTCTATCAATCAAAGGTAAATATGGAATATAATCATTATTTGAAACTTCAAAAAGACCAACTTTACACTTACTGATCCACCATTGGTCATTGCTTGAATCAATTTCCACATGGCATTCAATGTAATGGGATCGCATGAATCCACGTCGTCATATTTCATAAACTCTCGATAATAAGTTTGAGCAGACTCCCATTGACTCAGATTAAAATAGGCTTCGCCTAAAGATTCAAAAATACAAATATACAAAACATATGCTCAGATCATGGTATCTTTTCAAACAAATTTGATACGTGGATAAACATAACACTATTAAATGTACCTAGACGATATCTTATTTTGTTGATATGATTAGCAGATTCTTTCAAAGTGATGGAGAGACTCAGCAATGCTTTTAAATCAACCACTTCATCTGTAATCAACCCCAACTCCCTAAACGTAATCACAGTAACGATTTAGACTAGAGTATAACCCGGAATATATCGCTCCAATATACTTTTGAATATGGGCTGATTCATACATGTTTATGCTAGCCTTTTCGCTCAACGAAATATATTGTCTCCGATACTCATTCTTGAGCTGTGCATCTAAAATTGTTCGAGATAATGGTGCCAATTTCTTTGAAAGCTCGATATCTCGCTTTGCCGATTCCAATGCATCCTGACAAAAACAATATAGTGATATTAGCCATGATTTACCAGCCAACGGAAAATCATAAACGCATGGTGATTACCTGGCATTGCTCCAGTTCTTCTGCATAATTGTATTTTTTTGAAATTTCTGTTGTAAAATATTGGCAAGTGTGAGCACCATGCTTCAATGATAACTCAATAATCTCAAGCATACCTTTATATTTTTCTAAAGCAATTTTTCGCTCAACAAATTGTCCAAGTTTTCGTAAACGATAACCTAAATCAGTCAATGTATAATCAGCAAACATACTATAACCTTGATCAAAAAATATCATTAAACGCTACAATTATCCCAAAGAGACTTGAGCTCGCCGTCTATATCGCCAAGCTTATGAAACAATTCCTGTTCTTGTTTCCCAAACTAGTATTGGCAAAACCAATTTGAAAATTAGCACGCAGGAATAAACTTGATACGCTTTATATTAGGTTGATCAAACAAGTCTACCTTGAGCGCTTGAGCATAATCCAATTTTACATCAAAACATGTTGCTAAATTGAAAAATGCATTTGCCTGTTGTTGAATATCTCCTAATGCAAGCATATGAAACGTTAGTACTTGGTATCACAAAGCTCATCAATTTGCATTATAACTTGATTAAACTCATATTATAGCCGTATTCATGTGCAACAAAGCACTAGACAAGATTGCCAGTGTATAATAAACAATCAATTCACGGAATGATTTTACACCAAATTACTAAACATTGTGTCTTTTGAACTGGTCGAATTTTTTCGAAAACAGTCGAACCCAGTATTTGAATTGTAATGGATGAATTTGATGATCATGCAATGTATGGTTATGCCAAATGTGGGCAATTTCAGTTCAAAAATACAGTTTGTGATCATCGTATAATAACTGTTATATTTCCAAGAATTGAAAATAACAATTAAAGTCTATATTCAGTAGGAAAACAACAAATATTCGACCATTGTCTATTCCAGCGCAAAATAGAGGCAGTTTCTGCAAAAGTGTTCCATTTTACATGAATGCAATTATCAATGAAACGCAATAAACACTACCTATTTGAGAAAAAATCTGAAGCGATCTTTGTATTGCAGCAATTCCTTTATCTGGAGCAGCGCTAGATTTATACACAATGCCCAAGTTCATGGCAATCATAGCTCGCCCTCGTAATTTTTGCTCAGGACTAATATCTATATAGAATCCGGGACTCGGTAGAGGTGAATTTACAAGTCGCAACTTGAAAGTATAAAAATAATTCCGAGATCGAGATCGTGATGATGTAAAGCTCACCTTTTGATCTTTTGACGAGACCGGCAGCATCTCGTAGCAGCAACTGTGCATTATCAAAATGCGCTCTTTTGGATATTTCCACTTCGTCCAAACTCTCACTACGATGCATACGCCAATTAACAAATAAAAGATGCATAGTTTAGAATTCCGTTATAATAGATAAGCAGCGTCAACTGTTGAGCAGACCAGAGTTGGAATTCAAGACACCAATTGGGTTACCCTTGATTTATATGATAGACAGCAAGTTCTAGGAGAGCTTCCAGCTCATCGACCTCACTTTTTGCCTCTTTCGACTTGCTTAGCCAATTTTGTGCATATAAGATTGCTTCTGTATAGATTCCTAATCTGCATTGCAGTTCGTGCCAAAATGATCAGCTACTTGAAAAACTAGAATTCCGACATTGACACTACAGCTCAACTCACTTGCTCGATGCCAACGATAGTTGCTGATATGCTTTGGCTTCTTTGAGCGGTTCTTTTAATGCAAACGCAAGTTCCTGCACTTCTCGGGAATATTTTGCGACCTGTGCCCAATCCTCGGTGCGTCCGAACAATTCCAACAACTCTTCAGTATATTTGAGCATTGCACGCTTATCCTTGATAGCTTTGACTTGTGCAAGTTTGACAGTAATAGCACGTAGTGTTTGAGGAATAGATGCACCCACAAGAATATCATTTTCTCCTGAATTATTGTGAATTCGTCGCTTCACTGTTTCAAGTCGATATGTCACTCGTCCCATTACTTGGTAATTGTTGAATTAAAACTTTGGTCACAGCGACAATGGGAATAGAAAGGAAAGAAAATATGTTTTTTTGGTTATATAGAAAACTCTACTTTTATTATATTTTGAAAACTTGAGCAATTGATTGTTGCAGCATATTTGAAATACGAGTTTTTGGTTTGTAAAATTACACAATCGTATAGGCTAGTGCAGACTCTATATAGATGGAGCGCCAAAACTCTTTTGTTAGAACACTAAATGAGGTACGTTGTCATATACTCAATCAAGATGGGCAACAAACTGGCCGTGTCAAACCAAATGTAGCCGCGGTACAGAAAGCACGATCAATAGATGAACAATCAATATTTGAGAAATAACAACTTGAAAGTGTAGTTGAATCCAAGTACTGTTCAAATGCATGATGCACACTGGTGATGATTACAATTTCTCTTTTGCTATTCTTCCTTTCATTCTCATGCTTTTTGTCACTAGCTGTGAATAAAACATGAAAAAAGTCCGAAAAGTCCGAAAATTAAATATTTTGAATACATTGAAAGCATCAACATGTCATTGACCTTGTCAAAATAATCAAGCTATACTTGACGATTCATTAGAGTATCAATCAGTAGTCTTGTGAACATGCATAGTATTGACTGAATCAACACCAGCCATGTATTGCTCTTGAATCTGTCAAGTTCAATTCCATCATATTCATTAAATCATCTTCAATTCTCTTATCTTGTAGCCAAGACTATATATTCTGCCATCAAATGGCAAGCAATCTTTCACATTTGTAAATCTACACTAAACACTTGCATTCATCCACTTGGACATATACGCAGTCGTTAAAAGACGCATTCAACTTGTTCATTCCAAGCCATATTTGCATATACAGTTTTTGAACTCGGTCAGATTCACAAAACTTGAATCATGAGTCTGATGGACATCAAGATTAGCTAACCAGAAATATTATTGTAAGCCTTTAAAAACAGTGCATCAAACCTGGTGACCACTTTGGGTCATGACTTTTTATACTGGTCGAGCATCTGTCAAACTTAATCGAGACCGAACACGAAGTTCATCTAAAGATACAAGATGATCTGCCAATGTTCTGTATGCAATGGGGAGATGTGTTCGAGTCGACCTTGCATGAACAAAATTCATGCTTTGAGACTGCTTGTTCTGGTAAAATCATTTGAATATATCGAGATTCAAAGGTTAGTATGGCAAATCTGTTATTCCGAGTTGTGGTTATTTGGCAAAATTGATAGTAAAATAGCTTGCCATTGAAGATGGAAAATCTTTGGAGTTTTCGTCGGTCTTGTAATGATCTGGAGAGGTTTCACCTGCTAGTGTATCTATGCTAGACATGACCATGTCCTTGTTCTTGTCCTTGTCATTTTTTTGTTTAATTGGGGTTTCACAACCATCTTCCTCATAATTGGGTTCGTCAAGTTTTTCTGTTGATGGCAATTCATAACGTATCCATGCCTTTCCTTGATGTAGTGATTGAAGCAACTGTTCAAAAAAAATCTGATCATCATCTGTTGAGCGTCCAGGCAAAGAAGAAACGAGCTGATCCATAATCGTAATCTCGTCTAAAAACGCATTTAGAGCCCAAATAAATGTTTGACCTGCTCGATTAGCCTCTCGCTTGACAAACGTAGCATGATCTTGAGATAGTTTAGATGATCCTGACGCTGAATCAAAAGACATTTGTCCCTTTTGTCCAAAATGACGCCGATATGGTGACTTTCCAGCTCGTTTTAGCGCGGTCAGCAGTGTCTGGATGCGCCATTTTTCGATCTGTTTAACCGAAATAGCAGGATTTATACCAGCTGTTGGACCTCCAACTAAATTGTTTGAAGATGATAAATTGGATGGATCTGAATTTAAAGCCTGCCCAGAATGCGAAATTTGGTGTTGCTGAACAATCAATACTCTTTTAGTAGCTTGTAGGATATTGATGAGGCTATATAGAAAACGTCGTTCTGCAGAATACTTTCCAGAACAAGACCAAGATGCAGCAAGATAAATGCATGACTCGAAGGCTTTAAAGATTTGTTGGCAATGGGCAGACAAAACAAAGGCCTTTGCTACCTGTAATACGACATCTCCAGTATCTAATGTATACAATGACCTGATGTGTTGAAATAAAAGCTCTGCGTAATCGAGAAGTGCATAGCGTATTCTTTTCCACTGGTCAAAATTGGAAGCTTGTTTTTCAGATGTGCCTGGTAGTGGTTTGGATGGGGTAACGATCAACGGAGAAGCAGTATTATCTTGAATCAAAACAAGACACTTTGTCGGCAGTAATTCACTGCAGTCTTGCTGCAGCACTTTGTCAAGTCTATTACAGAATTAGCTCACTGTCTACACGATTAAATAGGTCAAGCGCGAGTATACCTTTTCATTGTATCCTCGCAATGGCTTATTGTTAGTGCCAGTTCTGTACGGCCAGCGTCTTTTGGACAGTAATAACCAGTCATTATACAAACTAAACCAGGTTTAGAATTGCAGTATTTAGTTAAAAATGGTTTAATTCAGCAATCACTTGAATATATTAGTCATCCGTGTAAAATATATCATTTTTCTGTATTTATCCTGCAATCCATTTGCTTTTGAATAAACAATGCTTGAATATTGTTATGCTTTTCTATCAGAAATTGACTAACTGTCATTCTCAACTCAATAATATGCAACATACACCATACTATGCCACAAAATCAAACTATAATGTTGAATCTACCCTAATCCCTCATTTGTTATCACCATACATTGTACAATCAAGTTTGAAACCAAACTCATGTATTGCAACCCAGTATCTGAGTTTGACTGTTTTGATATTATCAACCAAGGTGTAAACTCATATTTGTTGTATCCTAATATCAGACACGTTGGCACTCTAGTTCAAGGAAGCAGATATTGAACAAGTAAAATCTACTGAGAATTATCATTTCATGATATTGACTGTTGTGTTTTTGGCACCCTCATCTAATGTTCCGTTTTACGTGAATACAGTTGTAATATAATGCGACATAAGGAATTACATTGAGCCTGGAGTTTTGAGATCAGATATTGAGAGTTGGCCTAATGGCTGAAAATTACTATTTATCGTGTAATTCCTAGCCATTCATGTTTTGACATTCGATTTTTACCGAAACTTCGCATTGGGTAGTTTATTTCACTTTTAAACTATTTCTACGACTACACAGTTTTTAAGCGTATCGATGCAGCATTTGCAATACAAAACTTGCAATATTGGTTAGACATTCAGTATCTAGACCGATGCTGCTAATCGACTATATTTAGCCCACCAGACCAGATTTACAAGTACTCATTATACTACTTTTACAAACTAGGATGCTTCATTGTCAGTTTTTATAGCGTCTGAACCCCTTTATCATTTTGGTTCCCATGACTGGGCTGATTGATTTGCTAGAAATCAGCTTCACAGTCGATCGCGCCTCCTCTATTGCTGTATTTGGACGAGATGCCCTGTTTCTTAGCAAAGCTGACGAGTGACGTCTGAAATATATGCAACATTTAGCAAGGTTATACAGGAATACGATTGTGAATAAATGTCGTCAAAATAACTCATGATAAGTAGTTGAAAAAAGCATACAACAAAGTACCTTGCTGAAGATAACCGAGGAGAAGGCACTCGTCTTGGTGCGTCTGCAAAGTCCATCGCAGCTGGATCAAACAAAACATGTTTGGTTTGCTATACGATTTTTGAACATCAGTGTGTATTTAAATTAAACCAAAATCAAATTTAACTGCAAGTTAAATATACCTTTGCAATATTGGGGATATCTGAAACCATCATTTCAGAACCCAGATAACTACGTATTGGAGGAAGTTTTTTGCCTAGATGCTGCTGAGGGTTTTGGGAAGTACCTCGAGAAGCATCCCTAAACGACTATGAGTTGGATTTTGAATAAATTGATTGGAAATATCAAAATACATACCATCCTATATGAGAGGAAGCTTGTTTTGAAAATCCAATATTTGTAACAGAAATCGCGTCATTTATTGCAGTAGCATTTCCTGTCTGCGTTGCTAAAAGTGGAACCAATCTCATCCCAGGATTGTTTCTATCAAAAAGTATCAGATAAGGTGTTTAAAACAAGTCAACTGACAGACAATAGTACCTTTTCCAATTGGAAATATACAGAGCTTTTGAAATGCCTGAAGGAATGCGGGATGGAGGCTGAATATGGTAATGTGCATCTTGATTTTTTGCAGAGGTTGGTCGAGTAGCACATGAACGAGCGGATGTTGGACGAATTACATTCCAAGCAGATACAGGACGATTGGAAGCAGTCTGTGAATCAGAATTGAAAGCTTGAAAAGTAGAGACAGAACTATCTCTTTACAACCAAACAATATATGTTATGATTTGGTAGTATAAACATTTCTCGAGTAAAATTTACTTACAGTCTTGATCTAGCAGAAGAATCTCTTTTTTGCAGCGGGACTGAACGAATAGTTATAGCGCTAAGCAAATTTGGCAGTGTATCCTCCACACACACTTCATGCATGCCAACACCCTGATCGGAAAAAGAGATTTTATTGTGTGGATGCAGCGCTGTAAATAAATGGGTTAGTATATGACATTCATGCATTTAATCAAAAATACTAACAAACTCGCCAAGTTACATTGGGCATATTTGCAAACCAAGTCGTGAAATACTGGAACAATCTGTCATGTAATAACCACATTTAGCAATGTTTGTATAAAGAATGCATGTCAAAAAAATTACCTCGGCCCATAGCTCTTCAAATACACTCGACACAATATCTTCGCGTACAGATGCATATGGATGTTCTGAAAGTTGCTGATACGATTCAGAATGGTTGGTAATATCAGATCTACCAAAAAATTCAATAAGTACACATGGGAATAGTTGAAAATAAAAATATTTTTAAAAATCGATACCAACGTTTCATGACATGCAAGCCACTCTTCGGCACTCCCGTGTGTAGAAAATACCTCCTCTCCAAGAAGGTGGGTAGAACGGTTTTCTTGATTTAACTCGTTTTGCAGTTTTTGAGATAGTGTACTGGCCGATTCTAAAAAAAAATCGGACGAGCTGCCACTCCATAAAAACACATAAGCTGCATGTGTCTAAATTCAAATTGGTTAGCAATAAAATGAATAAATATCAAAGTATACTCATAACACTGACCTGAAAAATTTCTAGATAATCAACTGGCCCAAGATAAGGTTTTTGGCTGCAAGTTGGAGAGTAGGGTTGATCAGAATGTTGATGCGTATCAAAATTGCAAGAGTCGGAACAAGACAGTGTCCAATCAAACACTGTCCACATCAACAATCGATGTTGCTTATCAACTGTATTTTCTACTGGCAACGTATTGATTGGCAATTCATGTTTAGTCTTCATAATCGCAAAAACGTTTACTGCTATTCTTCCTGGATGTTTTGATCCCCACAGCTTCAAAAGAGCACTTTGGAGTGCAGTAACTCCACCAATGCCATCACAGACAACCGAGATTGCAAGACAAGGTTCGGTTTTTGTCAGCTTGATAGGATTGCTTTGTGTTGGTGTTTGGCTCCCGTCATCTAGTTCATAATTGTATGCATGATCGTTTACTGGCCTGCATTGGTATACAGCCCTGATAGTGTACAAGTAGATTTATACATTGAATGAGAAGCATGTTATTTTGTGATAAATATTCGAGTCTGACACATTTTAAACTTGACTACTGAAGATGGCCTTACCAGTATGAGTTGTCATACCGATCGTCGCGTAACCGAGAAAGCGTTAGTCGCACAACAGGATCTGTCCAATCTACCATGCTCCTACTTTCACCCAAAACATAGACATCTTTTAATTCAGATTCAGGAGTGTAGTTATGCTGAACTACAGTGCTGGATGCTAAGCTAACTCCTTGCACTTTCATACTATCATTTTGAAAAGTATTTGACGAATATTCAGGAACTGATGGACACGAGGAATGACTTTGAGCCATATCCCGACAAATAAGCTCATATCCGCTCTCCTTTGTTAGGGATAACTGATTTCCTCGCACCCTGTATTATTGAGATAAACCCGCCATTAAAAACTGATTAATAGATGAATTTCAGATGGACTGGCAACATACCTAAAATGAGGAAATAAAAATGACCATTCGTTGCATTCCTCCAACAATGTATTATCTTTGTCAGAGGGCTGACTTTCTTTGTATAACACTTCATCTAAATGCTCAAGCATATCTTGGACTTCATGTGTAGCCTTTGCATCATAGTCCTAAGCAACTCGTTATAAATGAAGACGCAAATTAATATTCACATTGAAGCGTTCAACATATTTTCATGGAGCGATACAACATACTTGCTCGCTTTCATCCCAAGACCCCACCGTGCTTCCTAAACTTTCCGTGTAATCAATAAAACTATGTGCACTAAATCCATCCATACTGTGTCGCTTGTGACCAAAAAAATGCATTTTGGAGCTGTTTCGACCTCTATTCAGAGCAGACTGATATGTATCCATTCTACATTCAGTGTCTAGCCAGCCCGAGAAAGAACTCTTTTTATAGTCCGTGCATTTATATATCTCTTCCATTGGGTTAAACTAATGTGTTTATTTGAGATAAGCTATCTGACTCGCAATTTGCCTTGTTGGAATCAACTATAGATTTGGGGACTATTCCCTATTTTTAAGGCAAACGTGTTATATTTGATGATAGACTGCAAAAATAGATTGAGATTCAAACTTCAAATCACATGACAAGACGTTAACAAGCCGAGTTGCTGCAGAAAGCATTTGGCTTACAACACTGACAAGATGCAAAACGTTTATGACTACGAGGCTGACGAAAGCGAAGAAGCGACACTGTCTGATTTGTCCACAGCAGCATACATCAGTTCGCATTGGGTGGTAGGTATCAGATCATGTTTTTAAGATTGTCAGATTTTGAACTACTGACTATATCTGCTGTTGAATAGCCATCTGATGCGGAGTCTAAGCTAAAGGCAGATGTAGTCATTTTTAATATTGAGCCTATGCCTGCTTGGTCTGTTTCTGGAAACACTCGTTTTGCAACCGATTTTGTGACTCCAGATGTCAAAACTTTAGTAGCCCAGGTGTTTCTGATCTCAAAGCTAAAGGTGATGAGGGTTCCAATCTCTGTCATAGACATGGTTTGATCATACTTTGTTAACAGTCATATCGTCGGTTTATTCTATTTTATCACGCTCTACAAGTGCTCGAAAGGTCATAATACTTTTCAAGATGTTTTGGCTATTTGCCATGTGTATCGATTGAATGAGCATGTGCTGTACACTGAGACATCTAGTGAGCTAGCTGAGGCAGAAGTAAGAGAGTGGACCGCCACTGTTCTTTCCAATTTGTCTGTGCAAAAAGTCTATGTTGTTGGGCTAGATCTAACAGGATATGCTCCTGGAGTCGTAGCTTCTGGGTTAACAATTCCCAAGGTAATTCGTTTTAATAGCTGCTAAAATAGGTTGGTGCTTACAAGATTGATGGATCATTTGTATTTTCATGTGCACACACTAGGAGTTTAATCCCTACCAGCTAAAAATTGGCAATCTATACAGCGGTAATTGGGCTGCGTGCGTGTCCATGGCAAGTTCTTGAGCTTTGATGTGCAATTGCAGACCTTTCATAATTCTTGATTGTTTTTAAAAACTAACCTTTTTACTATTTTAGGCACTGGTTAAAGGACTATCGACACTAGGACTTCTTTTGCCTAAATCTGACGGTGTTCTGCACAAGGCTGTTTTAGGGCTTGAATCATGCCATGATCTGTTGCATAAATTTCCCATCGATACAATGTTTGAAGATTCAAACCACATCATTCCATCCACTGCTCTGTATGTTTAAATTGAATCTTTTATTTTTCTCCAACGACACCACATTTGTGGATACGAAGTTTACATACTGTTCCTGACAAAAGTTCTGGGGAATACATGACAAACATGTGTCGTAATGCAGATATATTGTTTAGAGGTGTGTATGCTGGAGGATCGCGGTCCAGAAAAAAACTTGTGTTCATGTATATAGAGATGACATTGAACATAGTTGGCTGTAAATCGCATGCTCTGCCTAGTAGCTCTTGTATGTCATTAGATGATGTCATTGTATGCTCTCGCCCTTTTATAACTTCACTGCGAGAAGTAATATGTTTGATGGCGGGTTTCCATGATACTTGATTGATACATAGAACGACGGCTTGAAGCTGAGTAGCCAGACGTTTAAGAACAATAAGGGCTTCTGCCATGCATTGGTTTCGCTCGCAAGAATCAATTGGATCAGATTCAGTATCACTCCGCATACTATTGGCAATCGAGTCTATAACCACAAGGCGAACATTATTCTGAATCATATGCTGTTCTAATTGATAGATTATCAGATGATGTAGCGTTTCTAGATCGCCAACTCGTAACACGAATACTCGATCTAACGCTATGTCTGGGCCTTTATTGGATACTATCGGATGAGCTTTTGAAAAAGAGCTCAACTCTAGCAATCTCACAGAAGGAAAGTTTTTGTCTGTTGATATATACATTGCACCTTGAAAACCATCAAGGAAAGCCAAGTGTTAGTCCAGTCCAATTAGATTTGATAATAGAAGCAGCAGTCAGTTTTCTAATTAGCAAGAACATCAAGATTAAATCAAACCTCCATCAAGGCCTCCCATTGAAAACGGCATTTGCACCTGCAGTGAGAGCTGTAATGCCAACTGTGTTTTCCCAGCTGATGCTGGTCCAAATAGCTCATTGATAGAGCCTGTCAGTAAACCTCCGCCAAATGCACTGTCTAGTATTTGATCACCAAAACTTAACCGTCTCTGTGTTAAAATACTGCCCACTTGGCTTGGTTGTCGAGGCCAATGGCCCATAACAAGAATGGGATATCCAAGTCAAGAGTTGATCAAGTTTCAATTCATTTCATAATCTGGACTAAATTTCATGAAAATGCAAAGTTGTCCGATATCACAAAAAGAACCCGTTTTACAGTTGATTCTGTGTTTTGGTGTCTAGTTTAATAACAATAACTCGCATGTTAGTGAACGTAGTTTATTTTACAGCCGTATTCACGTAGAATGAAGCACTTTTTTTTGAATAGCTGCTCTTGTGTTGCTTCAGAATAAACAATGAGTATTCGTTACGCTTTTCTATTACAGATCGACTTTAATTGACATTCTTGATTCAACATGGCGTCTATTCTATGATGCTTGTATAATCAAACTATAGTTTGGATTGAGATTGTCTTCATTTGGTACAATCATACAATCACCCAATTCATCCATTGTGATCCAGATATTGAAGTCTTGAATCCTTGTTGTAGTTTAAAACTGCCTGGTTCTAGTTCAAAAAAGCAGATTCCAAGATTAAAAAAGTGTCAAATGTGGAATTTATTATTTCATAAGATTATCATGTATTTTGACTTTGTCAAGTAGTTCATTTTACATGAATAGAGTTGTAATAAAACTGAATAGCACAATTTATCCAGTTTAGAATCTTCAAGTTTCAATCACGTGGTATTTTGAAGTCAACGCAGACCAAGTTTTTATCGACATCATCAATACCAAACTCAGCTTGATTGATGATTGCCTTGACATCCTTTCAGCGAGACGGAGTTCAGACAATTAGGGATTGTCGAGATGCCTATCTGAAGTATTCTGCAACATCTGATACAAATGACGGACAGGGAACTGCACTTGCGATGGAGTCAACATTGCCAGACTCATGTCCGCCCATTAGTGTACCATCGCATTCAAAGAGGAAGTTAGTTTGTAAACCAAAAACTGCATCATTATTCAACACAGGAACCAATTCATCTACCAGTGTATCTACTTCAGCTAAATTGACAGCCCTTCCCTCTTTATCTATGACCTCTGATTGGTGGGATAAAGATCCAGCAAACCCAACTCCAGCTGGAGGCAGAGTGTTGAAATCGCTTAGGTATAATATTAGTGTCTCGTTGGCTTGTACACTGTTTAGTATCATCACATTGATCTTGATTCTAGCAATTAAGAGTATTTGAAAGCAGTGGAATATAAGGTTTTAATCAGATTAAAGCGAGTCGAGTAGGAATCTCACGCTATTTACGTATTTGTAAAATAAATGTTACTACTAGACCAGGAATGTATACTAAACTTTCCAGCAAGTTTCCAAGACAAGCGTCGGTAGTCAAAAAAGATATAAATGCAATCTATGTTGATACAGACGAATTTTCTGTTTCGACCGAAAAAGACGACCCAAGTATGCAATCTGAACTGGTCATTCATGTTTCTTTGTTCAATCCCAAACGATTTACTACAAAGATTGCATCGGTAAAGATACTTGGTGGACAGACTCTTGCTGATCTTCGGGATGTTCTACTTTGTTCAAGCGATTTGATTTTGATTGGAAACGAAGCTCAAAATACACAGACAAGGCCAGGCTACTTTTTCATTGAAAACACTTTTTATGTGGATCTTAGAGATAACGCAGTAGACTGTAGCAGGTAAGCAATATTTTTCAAAAAAATTGGCCGAAAATTTGGATGAGATTGGCATTCAATTTACTCACCAAGACTTTGATGTGATAGAGTGATAAGATCATGGATGGAATTGGATAAGGAGTCGTTTGGGAATACAGAGATCAAAGCAGCTCGAATGGACGAGACAAAGCTGTGGCAGTTGTCGATTGAGTTGAATCAGGCATATCTGTACATGCACCAAGGAAGTTGTGGCCATCTGATGACATTTGACCAAATTGGACTCTTTAATCCCAACGTGGATTCGAAATACCGCAAAGACTATCCTATATCTACCCCTATTACTAATATATGTATGCCTAAATGCCATGTATGCGGTGTATTCTATGCCAAATATGCTACAGTGGATGATCTGCATACAGCAGAAACTCCTTCCATCTGGTGTTTGGACTGCTTCAATCAGTTTCATTTGAATCCGTCTGGACAACCACGATATAATGTCCAGTTGAGGGAAATTAAAGCTGTATCTACGTAATAACATGTATTTATTTTGCAGTGATTATCTTGAAATAAACAATAATTGGGTATTCGTTGTATTTTACTACTAGAAATTGATTGTTTCTTTTATAGAAACTCTTGTATTCTAATATTAGATACGTTTTAGCTCAAGAGAACAATTTCTGGAATACAATTATGCATGATAGTTACCCAATGTCAAGATTGAAGAAATGTCAAGACTTGCTTTGTAGTTTGTAAAGAATGAGCAAAGACCAGCAAACCAAAAAAGTTGAATAATATTGTCCGGTAAATTTGACATCAAGCAGGACTATTTATCGTGTATTTTGGCACTCTTGTTATTTATTTCATTTTACATCAATACGGCAGTAAATCTTGTCCAGACACTGCAACGATCAATTGATATGGCCGAAGTCGATGAATACTTTGATAACCATGTTCTATCTGTGTGTGCTGCTTTGGGAGGGTATGAGACTGTAGAGAAGGGCGTCGAGCCTGTCTATGTTCCAGGAGATGATTCAATTGGTGAGTAGTCGCTGTTTTAGGTCGAATAAATGGAAAGGATTGAGCTATGGTCATAGGAACAAGGCATTGGAATGCCAGTCAAGTTACATGGTGTGATTTTAATTCGGACACATGGATTAGTACATCAACTAGTACATCAACTAGTCCGTCAACTGTCAGCTCGAAACAATAGATATTTAATAAATATATAGCCAATCTTGATCCAGCAGTTTGTTGGGACCAAAAGGTTGCTCTAATTCATTACTGAAACCCAATGTTTTGTTTCAAACAGCATGTCTTCGGGATCTAAAGAGGTTTCTTCGAACGGCTGAGCAAACCAAGGACAGGCATGTGCACAATCTGCTACGCAAGTGGAATGTGCTACAAAACGATCTACTTCCACTACTCATTACTAGTGTCCGTTCAAACAATCTCAAGGTTGCTGCCCTCGTGTGTAAGTGATTTCGCCATTTAGATGTTTTAATCTAGCAGTATTTGTACTGACATTATTGGCGTCTAGGCGAGCTGCTGGTTCCACTCACTTGGCCGTATGACCAAAATGGTCAGTCAAAATATCAGGACGAAATCAAGGAATATCAAGAAGCATTCCTCAAGGATAATGTGATTTCGTCTGTTTTGACAGTTCTGATTCATCTTTTCTCAATTCCATACAAGTAATTTAAATGCATATATCAAATGGTAATCCTGCTATGCATGCCATTCATATTGGTTAATTGATTTTTACAACTTAGACAACGGGCCGAAAATGATCATACTCGACTACGCCTTTTTTTTAGTTTATTTCGAAACTTGATTGCTGCAAATGACGTGCAGGTTGCAGTTACTGCGTCTGCCGAATCACATTGGAGATCTGTCCATCAGGAACGATTGATCATACAGCTTGAAAAAGATGGAATTATTGATCTTTTACTATCGATTTGTGGAAGCTTATCCAGCGAAGAGTTTGAAGGATGGAATGTTTTGATTTTGGAAATTATTTACATGATTTTCCATCGACGAGATATCTCGGAACTGTTCATAGAGGTACTATGCCTTGTAGTTGCTTAATGTTTATTGACAATCGAGATGCATTTTTGTCTGACTGGTGCTGACTCGGAGCTTGTATTTCTGTAACGCTGATTCCCGCGTTTGATTCTTTATCCATGTATAGAAACCTAAAGGAGAGCAACTGGCCACATTGCTGAAAAAAGAACAATCCTTGAAAACAGCATGTTCAAACCCAAAACATTCTCGACATTCTCGATTTGGAGGAACATTGACAGTGTCTCTACCGGTATATTGACGATGGCTATAATCATCTGTGGTAGTGAAGACTAATCATGCATTTGTAGAATGGGTCTAGGATCAACACTCGCGATATTACCACTAAAGATGTGCTAAAGGACATTGCTATTACGGACATTCCTAGAGGGAAAACTCGCAATGTAAATAGTATGATGCATTTGCAAATCCAGTAACTATTTTAACCTTTCATATAACTGTATACATAGTTGGCTGCTATAGACAGTAAAATCTCCATCGAATCTCCAACAGTTCGAAAATTATTTGGCAAGATTGCATCAACTTTTGTCAGTGATGCGTTTAACGACTTGGCCATATCCTTGAAACGCGATTTTGATCGTGAAAAGACATCACTAAAGGACAGCGACAACATGCATTATCTATGGCTCTGTCAGTTTGCTTTTAGTTTTAGACGCATGTCTTGCATTGGAAGTACTCCTATTGGTGTGGATTCCATACTTGGTGTGTTTAATGTGCCAAATCTTGCATTCACCATCCGTCGTCTCACCGCAAGTCGTGACGAAAAGGTTAAACGCTGCTGGCTTATTTTAATAGAATTGCTGTAAATCAGATCTAACATGATTTTATATTATTAGAACCCATTGGAAACAACACAATGTCTCCGTTTTTTGGATGAATTGGTGAGGCCAACTGATTTCAATTGAAAATGTATTTTATTTTTGCTAATCCACAGTTGGTACCACTTGAAGTTGTTGGTTGTTGAAGAACTCTCTCAGTCAAGCAATGATGAGCTTTGCGATTTATCCACTCAGCTTATATCAGCTCTATACTATGAGCACGGCAATGCTTTGCTTTTGAGAAGTTTATGTAAAGAATTTAAACAGCATACTAAAAGGTACTTGTCAGTCGAGTTGTTACTGTTGCTTTGATTTACTTTTTGCTGATTATGTAATATTTCAAATCCAGCTATCTAGAAGCATTAGTTGCCTGCATTGACACATTAATTAATGTGACAAAGCGGAACACTGCTAAAAGAGGCTTTTTAATCACCAGAAAAAAGGTTAAAAAACTTCAAAATGATGCTCAAAATACAGAGGATCAAGGCAGGTCTTGGTTTCGTTGGCTACTCAGCATTTTTATATTGGTATACTAAATCTTCAAACTATGCTAATTTATAGATATCATGTACAATGAGTCTGATACAGAGGAAAGTCGGCACCAAGAGCAATATACAGAAAATGCCTTTGATTTCAAGTCCTATGTTGCAGTAAGCTGGAGTTTGTAGAATGGAATACAGTCCTTTGCTTTTGGACTAGAATAGGAATCTTGTTTTTCACAGTAATTTATCTTTAGGGATTTGCATCCGAATCAACAGTTGTTACATATTGCAAACTGCTTAAATACTATCCTGATTTGTCGCCAACAATTGCAACAAAAATCTTGAGCATGTTCAAGCGCCTGTTTTGTGAACAAAAATATCATGAACCATTTTTCAAGGTAGCCGTTAGTTTTTGAAGATACACAAGAGCTCGTTTGTTTTTTATGAGATTTGGAATTTTAACTTGTCGCCCGCAAATTATATAGCTATCCGTTCTTGCTCTTCTATATCATGTTTCGACCAAAAATGTTGGCTCAACTGCAGCCCTTCTTGGGAAAGAGTTTGAAGAATTTACGAAATTGGTTTCAAAAGCGCTTATTACGAAAATATCTAGAAATAAGGATAGGGGACCTTTGGAGATGATCAATGTACGACTTTATTTATTTCTTAAATGTTTATCACTACAGTGTTGTAAGCGCACTAAATATTTCATGATGATATGCGTGTACAGATTCTTTTTAGTTCAACATCGGGTAATGTAGATAATTCACAAACAACAAAAGTAAGATGTTTTAATATGTTGCAGCACTTGAAGTTTCCACTAATTTTTGTAATTTTAAATATCTGGTTTAAGCTTGATGAGGATGTGCTGTAAGTGGTGTTTGGCTATTTTTGGATTGCATTTACAAGTCTATTAGCGTTTCACTCACATTGTTTTTCAGTAGGAATTCAATTAGCGACACAATGTGAGTAATTGTGTTGAGATTTTTGCTTGATATTGCATTTGCTTATTGATTCAATTTAGCTTTTGCGTCGCAGCACTCGAGTACTGGCTGGGTACTGCCATGCGTCAAGATATCAAGGCCACTTTATTCAAGGTATTGTTGTAATTCTATATTTTGTGCAGCTACTTGGTCTGAATAATGGCTCATTAGTTTGCGTTTTAGGAACTTCGAGATTCTTTTACAGCAGCTTTGCAACATACAACGATGCGTAAGTATTCGTCATCAAATAGCCGACTAGTCGAGATACACTAACATTGCATTGTATATATAGCTGCTTTTTCTGAAATGATCCAAAAGTTGATACATACCAGTGATGAATTGCAAATTTTATTTGAAGCGGCATGTCTGAGTCTAAATCATGGTAATATTAGATTTTTGATTATTTGAAAACGCTGCATATTGGTGCTTTACCATTGCTCATTTATGTTTTAAAAACTAGAGCATGGATCGCTTAGTATTCCAGTAATGTGGAGCAACAGTGATCTAGTAGCTGCTATTCAAACAATTGATATTTTGCAAGGACATAAGCGATCTGCTCGCCCTAGATCTGGTAGCTCTTTTAAAAAAGCCAAAACGGCTGAACCAGTCAACAACCTGTCTTCAAAGGTAAATCCACAAAACAACCAATCTCTTTATCATTGTGATATTTATATGGCTATGATTTTTGATAAATTATTGTGAATACTCTAGTTTGTTGAAGAAAGTGATGAGGATGAGGAAACAACAGCGATATTTTTTGAGCGGGAGGCGGAATTGCGCAAGGCTGCAGAGAATGCTTGGAAAATGCAAGCGTCCAAAAATGCAGTTTAACGAAATTGATTGTCTGTACGTTAATCATAAGCTGTTGTGGTTGACATGAGCACTGATTATAAACCTGATACTTTTTGAGCATATTTGGGTTATGGTTTAAGCGCTTCTGCTAAAAATAATGAACGAGGTATTGATCAATTAACATATACACCAAGTGAAATGAGATGGCAATTTTTATATTGACAGCCGTATTCACGTAATGCAACGCTTGTATCTCTGACTTTCTTTTGAAATAAACAATGGTTAAATATATGTTGTATTTTTTACTAGATATTGATTACTTATTCAAAAAGCAACACCCATCATATGAATGTACACAAACTGTGGTTTTGAACTGAGATTGTCCTTACTTGGTATAGTCATACATTGTCTATCACCATATTTATTAATCATAACTCAGATATTGAGTTCTGATGTTATCAATACAATGCTGTACACACTCGTCCTGTTGTATTCTAGAATCTCGGATATGCTCGCGTTTTAGTTTGAAAACAAAGATGGCAGGAATGTAACTATACATGACGATCATCAGGAGAAAGACCAGTAAACTAAAGGGTTCATGACACAATATTTTCCAGTGAATTGACAAGAATCATGCCATGATACTGGCTGTTTATTATGCATCAATACTCAGTGCTTCATTTTACGTGAATACGGATGTAATTGGTAGATACTACAGTTTCTCCCTTGAGTAGATGGACGCCTTACAAATAATTTGTCAAGGAATCACCAACTTGAACTACTAAAAGATGAACGTTTATATTACAGAATAAGACCTAATAATATGGCAAGATGTGCGAGTGTAAGCCTGGTCACGAATGTTATTTTATTTTTCATACAAAATCTGTTGGTCGAGTGATTTTGACTAGTTGATACAACTGGCCATTGATCAAATGCAATTCTCCGTATTACTGCGACAGACCGCTACTTCGGCCTTTAAAAAGGTGAGTCTACTGTTGGTCGTATTCCTTTGTTTTGTATGTCTTGTCGGTTTGTTGTAACTTTGGTTGCAACTACACTTGATTCTATACGAATACTGGCAATGATGCCTCGAGTCTATGTTTCTGATAAAAGATCCGTCCGATTAGATGGTTCTTGCTTAGTCTTGGATTTTTAAGAATAGCTGCTAACTGTTCTGTTTTGAGTAGACAACTGGTCTTTGCGGGCTTCCAGTGCATCCAAATTCAAAGCCAGAGCTATCGTCGCTGTACAACCGAATCCTTCATTCTCTTCAGCAACTTCCAGAGCAATCTGCTTACAGACAGAGTACTCATAAACTGGTCAGTGAGAGGCTCAATATAGTTGCAACAACCGAGGATATTGCTGCCATTGAACAAAAGATCAATGCAGGACAAATCGAGGAACTTATCTACCAGGCCGAGATGGAGCTGAAACTGATTCCTAGCATAGAAAAATGGAAGGTAGTGTGGTCCAGTATGTTTATGAGTATTGTGCTATGGGTAGATTGATGCCTGACTCGTTTAAACGATCTGTTTGATGAATGTAGGCACACGAGGCTCTCGAGGTCGCCCCACCTTCAGGACAATGGCAATACTTTAAATGAAGCTGTAGCATGATTGTTACATTAATCTTGATCAGCAGCTTCTATAGGCATAATTTGCTGAGTGTTTCAACATTGTTACTGGGATTTACATGTAAACATATTTCCAGCACCTTGTTACTCTATTATTATATCTACAGCTATATTCACGTAAAATGGAATACTTGTATCTCTGCTTCTGTTTTGCTTTGGAATATACAATGGTTAAATATTTGCTTGGCTCTGTTACTACACATTAGCTGATTGTTCAAAATACAATGTCCGTCATATGACGCTCACAAATTATAGTTTTGAGCTGTCACCTCTCTTCATCTGAAATAACTATATATTGCACAATCAAATTTGGTTTGACCATTCCGATATTGCCGATACAACTCTAAAAATTCATATTTGCTGTATTCTAGCATCTCATACGCTCTAGCTCAAGAGAACAATCATTGTATATTTCAAAAATTTAACTTATTTCCATGCCGATCACCAGGAGAGAACCAATCAACTTTGTTGATGAGTTTAGGACACAATATTATCCTGTAAATTATCATTTTATGAAACTGATTGTTTATTATACACTTTATCACTCTTGTTTAGTGGTTTGTTTTATGTGAATATATCTGTAGTTGGCAAGATTAAAGGTTATTTTCCTAGCAAAATATGACTATTTAGTTGCGTCGCCATCAACAGAAAAACTTGACGAACCCAATTATGAGGAAGATGGTTGTGAAACCCCAATTAAACAAAAAAATGACAAGGACAAGAACAAGGACAAGGACATGGTCATGTCTAGCATAGATACACTAGCAGGTGAAACCTCTCCAGATCATTACAAGACCGACGAAAACTCCAAAGATTTTCCATCTTCAATGGCAAGCTATTTTACTATCAATTTTGCCAAATAACCACAACTCGGAATAACAGATTTGCCATACTAACCTTTGAATCTCGATATATTCAAATGATTTTACCAGAACAAGCAGTCTCAAAGCATGAATTTTGTTCATGCAAGGTCGACTCGAACACATCTCCCCATTGCATACAGAACATTGGCAGATCATCTTGTATCTTTAGATGAACTTCGTGTTCGGTCTCGATTAAGTTTGACAGATGCTCGACCAGTATAAAAAGTCATGACCCAAAGTGGTCACCAGGTTTGATGCACTGTTTTTAAAGGCTTACAATAATATTTCTGGTTAGCTAATCTTGATGTCCATCAGACTCATGATTCAAGTTTTGTGAATCTGACCGAGTTCAAAAACTGTATATGCAAATATGGCTTGGAATGAACAAGTTGAATGCGTCTTTTAACGACTGCGTATATGTCCAAGTGGATGAATGCAAGTGTTTAGTGTAGATTTACAAATGTGAAAGATTGCTTGCCATTTGATGGCAGAATATATAGTCTTGGCTACAAGATAAGAGAATTGAAGATGATTTAATGAATATGATGGAATTGAACTTGACAGATTCAAGAGCAATATATGGCTGGTGTTGATTCAGTCAATACTATGCATGTTCACAAGACTACTGATTGATACTCTAATGAATCGTCAAGTATAGCTTGATTATTTTGACAAGGTCAATGATATGTTGATGCACTGATAAATCAAAAACTTCAAGTCTTATTCCATCAAATAGTTTATATTCGTGTATATTTCATTCAAAAGAATCAAAGGTTTGGGCCGATCGATATGGGGATCATTTTTACAAAGTTTCGAGTTGAACCCATCTTTTATTGCCATGAGCAACACTGGGACTATCAGCCCAGTCCTACTCATTGCAGTTGGAGGTATGTTACCCATGCATTCAGTCATACCGATATTTCAAATATATGAATTACAATGCATCAATCATCTTTTTATTACCAGCTGTAATAACCACATTATCGACCTTTAGGTGCATCTTGTTCGGGAAAATCCACCTTCACAAACTGGCTTGCTGAGGTTTTTGAAGCTAGAGTAATTCATCAAGATCAATTCTACAAGGCAGACTGTGATATACCAGTTACCGATGGAGTAGCCAACTGGGATTGTATTGAAGCAATCGATATGCCCAACTTCATTTGTGCTCTTCAAAAAGCGAAATCCGAAACTGGATTCCAAAGCATTTTGGGCAGTAATCGACCCAAAATGAATAGTGCAGAGGTATCAACAGTAGTATATGAGGAGCTACGCTCACTGGCAAACACAACCAAGGGAAAATGCAGGCTTGTATTTGTAGATGGTTTTTTACTCTTTACAGATCCTCAAGTGATTGCCGAATTCGATGCAGGGTTTTTTTTAAAAGCATCCTTCAACACACTTGTGGAACGTAGAAATAGGCGCGAGCCATATATTACTATAGAAGGTAGTCCGATTAATTATATAATACTAAACGACTTTTCTAATGAGTATTGAGTTTTATAAGAAAAGTTGAGCTAACCTTGTAGCTATAAAACCACACAGGCTCATGGGTAGATCCACCAGGTTACTTTGAGGATTTGGTATGGCCAGCATATCTTGAAAATAATCGCATGATTTTAAACGGTACAATTTCTACGCATTGTCCACAGTTTGTAGAGTCCTTATGCTTGCTGGACACCAATGACTCGTCTATCGAAGCCAATCTGACCTCGTCTGTGCAACTCGTGTGTCGTTGGATTCAAAAACGCGTTCATATTCACCAATGTTCGTTGCCATCTTAACTCGACTAGTTCATCCATTTTGTGTATTCTTATTTCTGCCTATTGATTGATATCATGGCTATATTAGTTCGCGACCACTCTCGAAGGATAAAAGTTATTCTAATTTCTTCTGTATTAAGTCTTGTATATCTTTTATACTGGGGGTTTGCTTTAAATGATGAAACCAACCTGCTGTCCAAAGAGTCGTCTCACTTGTTTACCCATATCTTTACAAAACTTTCCATGTACACAGCTAAACCACCTGTTGCTAAAATTCAGCCTGTTGCCACTGTATTGCACAATGTGTCTATTATTGACAACTATGCGTGGCTCCGATGGATTGATGCTGACCCTGATGTTCGTCAATATCTGTTAAAGGAAAATATCTACGCTGAAAAATATCTAGAAACCCTTGTGCCTTTACAAAAAACATTGATTGCAGAGTTGAAGGATGCACCGCAACAACCAGCTCAACGCAACAGGTGTCTTCCACAAGATGAAAATATGACTTCTTTTTGGGAGCATCAATCCTATCTATATTGGATTACTTATGCTGATAATAAGTCACATCCGATATATAAAAGACGCAGTATAAGTTCCTCTTTTGACTGCACATTTCAGAATAATGTTACATCTGAAACTCAGTATCAACCGGAAGAAATGGTTCTTGATTTCAACACCATACTCTCCAAAGATACACAATATTACTACATTGGCGCGTTTGAAGTAAACCCGTTTATGCCAAACTTGGTTGCATACTCTATTGATCTTGCTGGATCTGAGCGATATACTTTGAGAGTTCGTGACATTCACAAAGGAGTCAATCTCGATATTCCAGCAATTGAAAACACGTATTACTCGGTTCGTTGGGCACATGATTCTACTACAGACGCTGCATCACACTGGCTTTATTTTAATACTGTTGATCAACAATATGGAACACCAATGGAGATTCATCGAGTATGTATATGGAACTGCATAGATCAATTTGGGCTCATAATAGGAACTGTTCCAGAGATTGTATATATAGAATCCGACATTTCCTTTACAACAGAACTAGCAAGCTCTACGGATGACTCTCTTATTTTTGTCAAGGTATTTTCATTATTAAACTTTAATTTGCTATAACACAATAAACCTTGGAAATGCAACTACTCATTTGTATGAACTCGCTAGGTTGTAGGCCAGGAAACAACAGAACTCCATCTTATCATAAGCCATTTAAACACATGGAAATTAAAATGCATTTTTCCTCGACAGGCTGGAATAACTTACGAGGCTGATCGTTATGGAGAGGATTTGATCATTCGAACAAATTCCGAAAACAGTCCTAATTTTCGAGTTATTCGAATCGCTCTGCTTACATTTCAAGGGGACAGAACAGAAACCATAACAGTGGATACACTATTATATCATTCAACTTTGCGATTTATTGAAAAAGTAGAAGCATTTACTTCACATATGGTGGTTTGGTTTTGGGAGGACGGACTAAGACAGCTGTGCATTACTGACCTGCAGACTGATCCATACGCGTGCCATCAGATACAATTCCATTTGCATGATCAGCCGAGTACTCAAGTCTATTCATTGCTTCCTGGAACTATTTCAGACATTGAAGCACGGCTGTTCCGTCGTCACGATGCATCGTATTTTTTGTTTACCCAATCTTCATTACTTGAGCCATCCACTGTGTTTTACATTGATTTTTCCAAACCTATGCCAACTTCTATATATCGCTCTTCGGCTCCTAAAATCCAACAAGATCGGTACGTTCAACTACGTCTTTGGATCTCCATACCTCAACCAGGGCAAGCACCGCTTCGAATGCCTCTATCTTTATTTTACCGGAAAGATTCCAACAACATAGAGCCTATTCAGCCACGACCGACACTCTTGTTGGCATATGGTGCATATGGAAGCTTCCATGAAACTGGGTTTTCAGAAGATTTTTTTCCTTTGGTGGATCGTGGAGTATTAATTGCCATCTGTCATCCGCGTGGGGATGGTGATATGGGCTCTCAATGGTACAAAGACGGCAAGTACGAAGCAAAAATCAACACCATGTCAGATACACGTAAATGTATACAAGAGCTTGTAAAGCTGGGATATTCCAAACCAGGCGCAATTGCTTTAAAGGCCCGTAGTGCTGGGGGTTTAATTGCTGGAAGCGCCATCTCATGGATTTGGGAAGACCAAACACCCATGGTAAATGCGATTGTAGCTCAAGTTCCATTTGTAGATCCTATTTTTGATATGTTGGATGAATCTGTTCCTTGGACAGCGTTTGAATGGTATGTTCAAGTATATGCTTGTCCAGCACGCAATTCTATATGCACTTGAATGATCTAGCGTATTAAATCAAGCATGAGCTTCAATCAAAGAGTACTAATCATCACAATTTCCTTGACATATAGGTTTGAATGGGGATCTCCTAAAAACTACACCATTTTTAAAGCCATGATGCAGTATTCTCCATATTTAAATATAAAAAGCGGGAACCATCCTGCAGTTATGGTAACAGCCGGTATGGAGGATCCACGAGTACCGTTTTGGGAGCCTGCCAAGTTTGTGGCAAAGCTCCGGACTTACAAAACCAACGAAATTTCTATCGGGAGCAACTATTTGACTAGTGAAGCAACACCTTTACTTTTTCGTGTTTATTCAACTGGCCATTTTTCATCTATGGATGAGGATGCACGAATTAAAGAACTGACCGAATGGTACTCATTTTTATTGTGCCAAATCCTTTAAACAGCATATATTGCTCAACGGTGTCAGTTATTTGGCTTGAGTGAGTTCTTGTAAAACTCGAGTGCCTTTCGAATGGGATGAATAATCGGTTCCTCCATATTGGGCAAAACTTTGCTAGCAAGCTCAAACAATGGAATCATCACAAACCCAATGAATCCAACTAAATATGACGAAATAAAAATGTTGGCGTATTTTTTAATCTTGGTTAGTAAAAATTGGTATTTCAAACAAGAACTGAGCATAGCCATCTATACCTTGAGCACTAGGTTTGGTAACCTTGTCACGGTCCATGAACGGTGCTGTTGGAAGCCCCTCGAGCTTTTCCTTGTCAGACTGAGCAAAAAACTCTTCCAGGAGATTATCAACCCATGGCTCAGAAATATGCTTTGGACGCACTTCGTTACTGATATCTGAGCATTTCATCAGCATTTGAAAAAGCTACATAGAAATAATCAAATGAATACTCTAGAAATATCAATCAATATGGTTTATCCATCAATACTTACTGCTTGACGATGGTTTCCATCATCGTATGAAAAATTCTCTGCATACCCTTTAAATTTGGACAATATTTCTCCATGTTTAGCCATATCTGTTGCAAGAATGCATTGGATTATAATCTTTCTTGCTTCCTTGTAATCCGAAGCGGAAACATTACTAAATATATTTGATTCAGAATGCAGTAGTATGCTGAAAAGAACAGCTGTTCAAAACAAATTTAGTCTAATCGACTTTTGATAACACTGTCAAAAACAGACAAGTTTACTAACCGGCATGGTGATTCTCTAACGGGGAACTATCATTGTAAGTTGTTGCAAGCTCAGTACATGCATTGACCTGATAAGCATTGTTGAACCCAGGATGATCCAAATCGTGCTATAGTACCTATATCGTTAGCCCCATGAATATAAACAAATATTATAGTTGAACGTTTATCAAAATACTAGAAACAGATTCATACCCCAATTGCAGCAACAATCAAAGAAAGCTTTTCAATCTGTGTAAACTTTTTGTGCACTGATGTAACGTGAAGTAGCGCATACATCTAAATTCCAATGTCAGCAACTGTTAGCCAATTACCCTCATCAAAAACGTAGTCATGTTTGGAAAAAACCACTACAAAATATCCACCATTTGAGTTACGCAAAAACAGTGCTGGAAGTTATGAAACGGATTATGATTGTAAGTGTTTTTGATGACATTGAGAAATGTAAAAAGCTGCTGTTCATTGATCTGAAATGTCGAGATCAATCCAAACTCGGTAAACATATGGGCCATAAGATCGATGAGCTCTTCTTCTTTGAAAATCCATATATCAAACGTGGGTAGCTTCATTTGTTCATACACTTCTTTTGAAATTGTCGATGTTGTCAGTTTGATTGGAAGTTGCATGCTTTGCAAAACTCGAGCGACTCTTCGTGTTGCAGGTTTTGCAAGCGATTTCTCTTTTGTATGCAAGTCGGAGTATCTTTCAATTTGCTGAAATGAATATTGATTGATAGATTATAGAATTAACATTTTGCTATGAGCCAGTTTAAATTCAAAAATAGTATAGAAATATAGATAAATGACATACCTCTACTTTAAACTTTACAGCAGCGATATTATCCTTCATATCATCGACATCATCTGAAATTGTCTGCACTACCTTGACTGACTCTAAAAGATTTTGAGCAGTCTCGGAGGGTTTTGGTATCCCGAGATCCCTGACTTATTAAATGTAATATCAGCTTCCCAATGTAAGTTGTATATTTATACAGGTAGTTTAGGAGTCAAATATGCAAGTTTAAAGGTGAAAACTTTGCCAGCCTCATGGATATTACATATCGTTACATTTGAGAGCGAGCAAGACGGGTATAAAAATATATTAGCTTACCTGAGCTACTAACAAGCCTATATGGGTGAATAGCACTATTGGGTCGGAGATGAGGTCCAATAGGAAGTAATACACCAGCATCTGTATATAACTTGACTACTACTTTGGGTGTAGCTGGGATATTAGCTACAGTTCGCACTGTATCGTGTACTTCTCTAACTGAATAGTACGACGATATTAAAGCGCATAAAACATCGTTCCGCCCATCAACGGTCATGTATACCCTGTTTGGCTCCAGCCCAATTGCTCCCCCCGCTGACATCTTGAGAATTCCCTTGTTAGAAATGTCGTGATTATTGATAAATAAAATGCTTTACCGTCGTATTCATGTAGAATGGACCATTTTTGTATTCATCCTGCAATCCATTTGCTTTTGAATAAACAATGCTTGAATATTGTTATGCTTTTCTATCAGAAATTGACTAATTGTCATTCTCAATTCAATAATATGCAACATACACCATACTATGCCACAAAATCAAACTATAATGTTGAATCTGCCCTAATCCCTCATTTGTTATCACCATACATTGTACAATCAAGTTTGAAACCAAACTCATGTATTGCAACCCAGTATCTGAGTTTGACTGTTTTGATATTATCAACCAAGGTGTAAACTCATATTTGTTGTATCCTAATATCAGACACGTTGGCACTCTAGTTCAAGGAAACAATCCCAAAAATACAATCATTGCATCCATGACAGTCATGCAATGTCAATGCTTGGTTTGGAGGAAAGGAAAGTCGGAGGTTAAAAGATGTCAAGGATATATAATGCACTGGAACAGGAATGCAAACATTTGCTTTGTATTTTTATACAAGAATGAGCATAATGGAGAAAGACCAGTGAACCAAAAAAGTTTACAAAACAATGTTGCTCAGTAAGATCAGCAACAACCAAACATGAGACTGGTTATTGATGTATTTTAATTTATTTGGTATTTGATTTTACGTGAATATGGCAATGAAAATAAAGATACCATATCATGCTGGCATCACCGGCCGCAATAGGCACATAGCTAATGGTCGTCAACATTTTCTTGCACTTGTACGATGAGAAGATTGGCTTGCTGGAATGGTTTCAGGTGTGGTGCTTGATCATCTTGCACTCAGCCTGGAATTTGGAGCTAAAATTCTTAGTACGATCTGCTAGATGACGGTTCAATAACATTCAGTTTATCGTGTCTGTGAGCCAAAAATAATAATATACTTTTAATGATTTTAAATAACTTTTTTAATTCCATGGGTTGAATTTAGAATTCTTCCATAAACTGTTGTTACATTTAATCAGATTCAATAACCAATTATTTGTATTTGCTTAAAAATGATGATTGTCAACTAGTAAAAAAGTAGTATATATAGGGCACCGAATGATACCAGTTTTTTTAACTGGTGCTTTCCATTGAATTTGGTTATAAGTTGTTCAAATCGGTATATGAGTTGGAAGAACACGAATGGTCAAAAATATCCAAGGATTATGTTTTTACTTTATGGTTTGGATAATTGGTAGTTTTCTGTGAAACAGTAAAACCGACAGTGTCATTTACGGAGATCGTAACGTAAAAGTATCCATTCTATTCAAATTAAAGTTTTTTATCTGCGTCTGGACTACCCCCGGAAACACCCCCTTCATTCTTTACAATCAAGTATGAAGCATCAGACACGACGTTTGACTTTTCTGCAATTCTTTGATACCCTGGTCCCAAGTGACTAACTTCAATCGGAAGAATGACTTCTTTGAAATGGCCATCGAAAAGAACTGGTAAAACCGAATGCAGTTTTGGATTTACGGCGTTATTCAACTCTTCAAGAATATTCCATTCATCAGTAGTATAGAAATCATTCAGTCGCTTGTATCTGTTCTTGAACTGTGGTTTTGGTTCTGGGTTTGCTTCGTAAGCTTTCTCAAATACATCGTCAATAGTAACACAGCGTTTTCCTTTAGATTTACAGCCAGGAATAGGATAAATCTTATCCAATTCAACAGCAATAGTCGTCAAGTAAGAGCGACTGGAGTGAACTGCTTTGCTGTGTTTATAGTCCTGGTGTCTTGTAATACTAATTGCAGGTTTTTCAGCTGCTTCCACTTAAACCTCTACTGGCTCCACCACAGCAACAAGAGGCATTTTCTTTTCATCGAGTTGGTTAATAGAATCCATAGCACTGATTTTAGTAGTTCCATCAGCTTCAAAGAGAACGAGTTCAGCAACGTCGTATTGTTTGAGTACTCGGGGAAAAGTGGTTGTTTTAATGGCACTAAGGAAATCATAGACACTTTTACAGCTTTCTGCAGAGACTCGTGCTGGTTGATAGGTTTTGCTGCCCAGCTTTAGTTGAACGAAATGCTTTTGTGTCATTATTTTTTGTAAAAAAAAGAAAGAAAAAATTGTTGACAAAACAATGATATACGTTTTGCTACTACAGCAGAACAAGTTCTATGTTGGATATTCGGAAAGGCCGGTTGGTGAAAGATTCATAAAACATTTCAACTATCAAGGTTCTAAATGGACTACTTTGCACAGGCCTGTGCAAGTGCTCCAGGTGAAACCAGGTGGAATTGCAGAAGAAAACAAAATGACACTAAGAATGATGAATAAATATGGATGGTGGAATGTTAGACGAGACAGTTGGTGCCAAGTTGATATACAATGATGACCCCCAACACTTTTGGAATGGCAGCGTCTTAAACTACCTACAACTTTACGACGAAATCAACCTCTGCCAGGAAATTCCAACCGAAATATCAGGAATGCATGTTCTAAATGCGGCAGAGACTCTCATTTTGTGAGCAATTGTTTTTCAAGAACTAATTCTAATGGCGAAGGCTTAGAATCATCCGACTCTGAACCAGAATCTTCTTTATCGGATGCTTGCTTCCATTGTGGACGTGACACTCACTTTGCCAGAGATTGTTACGCAAGAACAGACATCAATGGCTTTTCTTTGTGATTGACTATTCAATATATTCTGATTATGAAATTCTTTTATTTAAAAAGATTCGTCTTCAACCATTTGCAGCACTTCTGGGTGTGAGATTTCGTAAACTACTCTTGATAGCTCGGCAAAGACAGAGTGCAGCTCATCAATCATTTCCAATCTGGCTTGGGCACGTTGTCTTGACTGATTCCATTGTTGATTAAGAGCATTTTTAGTTTGTTCATCATTTGATGCTCAAATGATTGTTTTTCAAAACGTTGCCTTTCTTCAAATTGGACACTTTGATTCATAGAATGAAATCCTGGCTTGTTGTTAGGATGATTGCTGGGTGAAAATCCTTTTTGAGCTCGCTGTTTCTGTCTGTCACAAATCAGTTGAACGTGTTGAGAGGCTTCTAGGCATTCAGTCTAAATATTGATATATTGAGATCCTATAGCTATGAGTTTTTGTAAAGTTTGTTTCTTTGGGGCTTCTGAGCACTTCCTCTTGAAATTCCATTTGTTTTTTCTTTCCTTGCCAAAAGCACCAGAGCAAACGGTTCAAAGAATATTTATATTGGAATGACTACAAGAAGCTCATATGTACGATGGGGTGAACACATCAGAAATGTTCAAAAAAGAAACAAATCGTCTTGAGTTGGGAAAAACACGCACTTTAAACGTATATTTTCAAAATTCAAATATAATAAATTTCATGTTCATTCCTGTTTAATTTTATTATGATTGAATTTTGAAAATGCTCTATTTCAAGCGTTAGCTATGATATTTTTTAGCCCATCTTTGACATTTTGTACTTTTGTAATCGTCCTCTTTCGATATCTGAATTATTAGCGTAGTTATTGCAATATCTCAGTCGTTTGGACTCCTTGTTTTGAGAATAGTAATTTCTATACCATTTCTTCAATTGTTCTTGTTGTTGTTCCGAATACAAATCCCAATTCTTGGCGCATTGTAGATAGTCTTTGTAATTCTTGATTGAATCGATAAATGCCATTTACTATTACTCTAGAAAATAAGTTTCTTGAAAAACCTTGCGTCTTTTGTTTTTAGGTTCCGGAATTCTTTCCAATTCTTCCAATTCTCTTTTATTACGTCTTTCCTTGTTTGACATTGGTCGTTCTCGTTCTACTGGTTCATTTGTAAATACATCCAATGCTTCAATCTCTTTCAGTTGATAATATTTAAAAGTCTTTTTCAATTCTTGGCCACTATTATCAACAAGTGAATATGAATATCCGTTTCCATTCACAACATTGTATATTGATTTACTGCATTTTGGTTCATATCCTTTGGTGAACGCTCCCTTTTCTATCAAGATGCGGACTTTGTTACCAACCTCGATTTGATTGTTCCAGCCCTTGGATTTGTTTGATACCTTGATTCCGGAGTATCATTAATAACGCGATGATGCGTATGATTGTAATTGTATACGATATCTTCCAAAACATCAATGTACCTGTTTGTCTTTCTTGATTCCTGATATTTGCTAATGATACTTTTCAATGAGTAGTAGTATGTATAGAGCACCGAATGATACCAGTTTTTTTGGCGAGAGTCTCCGCTGAAATTTGATGAGATTTCGTCTACTAGAATGTTGACAGAAATATGGCAATTAGAATTCTAATTAGAGTCTGAATTGAGCTTTTACAATCTAGTCAGAAACTAACCGCCAGAAAGTGTTGGAGACTTTCTTTACCGGTAGATGAACTGTTTCTCCTTGTTCATTAGAGATTAAATTTCAAGCAAATAAAGTGTTTATTATGACATACTACTTTTCAATCTTGGCCTTTTTGTTTTGAATCAGAAACTTTGGCCCAAAGCATTCTCTGAGTTGGGTAAGCGAGTCAGCAGTCATAGTGTCGGTCAAATCCTCGCTGGACGCACGGGGAGAGACAGACTTGATGGCAGTCATAAACCAAGTGAACCAGCGAAGGATTTCAGAGAGAGATGTGCTTGTCTTGTATGTTCTGTCATTTCCAAGTTCCAACATCTTCTTGGTGGAAGCATACACCACCCCGTCAGTATCAATCGCAAAGAAGCGAAAGTCCGTCCCATTGGTGAGGACAGCAAGCACTGGAGTGTTCTTTCCAGCAGCCAATCGCTTTTTCAGTAGGCATCCGGCTTCGCAGAGAATTTGAGGTACTGCGCTATCGGGCCATTCTTTCTTTGCCCCCACCACCAAAAGAAAAGAGTCCATAGTATCGACGGTTTTGGTATCTGAAGACCCAAACATATAGTCTACATCTCCTGTGTAACCGAATTCCTTCCCTTCCCAATCATTCTTGACTTCGCAAAACCCCATCAGGTTGTCATTCGCTTCAGACGTTAAGACTTCTGTTAGGATAGCATCGATGACGATTCGGCAGGCCTTCTCGTTGTATAGCGCCCACGCCTTGTCCACCTTGTCCAAAGTTTCACAGAGCCAAGGAGTAACAGCAACTGCAGGAATATCATCGGGGATGTGCAGGGTTGGTGCTCTCAATTTCAGTCAATGTTCAAATTGAGCCCATCAGGTCTTTTGCAGTCTTTGAGAGTAGCAGCCGAGAATGGAACAGAAGGCTTGAAACCAACAAGGGTTTTGATGGCTTTCTTTTGCTTGTCTGAGAGTTGGTTCTTTTCCTCGTCGGTGAGTTGGTTGAGTTTGCTGAACAGTTCGTCCATTTTTTGTTTTTTTGGGGGAAAAATGGCAAGAAAAAAAGGCAAGAAAAATTAGCTTTTTAGACCTCCGATCACTTTGCCAGCCAGAGACTATGGATTTCATTATGACTGAATATTCAATCTTTCCCTTTCGGCTTCTGTATTTGAGGCATAGTAGTCTCTGTAACGTTTTCGTTCAGCTTCCTTGTTATGAGAATAATATTCACGATACCATTTCCTTAATTGGTCTTGTTCTTGAGATGAATAAACATCCCAATTCTTGATGTATTGTAAGTAGTCCTTGTAATTTCTAATTGAGCTAATGGGTGTCATTTATTGTTACTTTAGAAAATAAGTTGCTCCAAATTTCTTTGTCTTTTTATTGGTTGGGCCTTGAACTCTTGCCAGTTCTTGTAATTCTCTCTTGTTGCGACGCTCCTTGTTTGTCATTGTCGGCTCTCTGTGTCTCGGTTCAATCAAAAAGGTCTCCGTTACTTCAACTCTCTTGAGTTCATAATATTTGTAAGACTTTCCAAGAACATTGCCGTTATCATCTGAAATTGAGAAAGAGTATCCGTTCCCACTGACAACCGTATAAATGGCGCTGCTGTAATTTGGCTCATATCCTTTCCTGAAAGTTTGCTTACCTTTGAGTATCCGAACACGATCTCCAACTCTAATTGAATGCTTGGTAATTTTTACTTTCATTGACCCATTTAATGGATTCTTTAGATGCATTGATTCAGGAATATCATTTACACCACGGTGATAAGTGTTGTTGTAGTTGAATACAATGTCTTCCAAGACATCAATGTATCTATTTGATTTCCGCGACTCTTGATAACGAGCAATGATATTCTCCAATGTTCTGTTGAATCGTTCAATCAATCCTTGTCTATTGTGGTCACCCACATTCACAGTGATGTGACGAACACCTTTTGCTTGCAGTAAGCTTTGGAAGTTGTTGTTTAAAAACTCTATGCCATTATCGCTTTGAATCAGAATAGGCTTTTGCACGTCAAGTATCACTCTCATTGCATCTGTAGTATCTGATTTCTTTTTCATCGCCACCACAAATAATTTCCTACTAAATACATCTATTGCGCACAAGAGATACTTGTATCCAGCATTCCACCTTGCATATTTAGACAAGTCAATCAAATCCACCTGCCATTGGTCATTGACTGAATAAACAGTTATGGGACTGAGTGCTGGCTTTCTTTGTGATTCTTGATGAAGTTGGTGAACTTCTTGCTGGTCGAGAAACTTTATGGTTTGTGAGATTGGAAGCTGTTTGTCCAGCTTCAGGTATAATTTCCGGGCTGAAATGAAGCCAGTCTTGGGACTGTAATACAATTTGTAAAGCTTATCCATAACCTAAAATAAGAAATTAAGTTTTTACAATTCAGCTGAAAGTGTTTCAAAACCTACTCGGAGTCGTTTATCATTAAACAATTTCATTCCTGTTTTTGTTGGAGAATACGTGTTCATCTGGTTGTTGTTGGCTCTGAAGCCACTATTACGAAATCCTTGGTTAGCATTTCCATTCAAGGCACTCAGATACTTGTATTTTGTAATTTCATTTTGCCTTTTGTTGATTCCCTTTGAACTAAACTTTTTCTCGTCATAATAGTACATTTTACTGGCCAATGATATAATGCAATCTCCTTCATATTCCAACTTGAACAGCCCAGGTGTCCTACTGTCGTATAACTTGTTCTCTAGAGTATCATCTCTTTCCAGCCAGACTTGCCTTTTCTGTTTGAACTCATCTAATAGATGTGGTTTCACTACGTCTTGTAACGAACTCCCAGAAATGGCAAAATATGCCGAATCCGTGTCCATCATACAATACTGAAAGTCACTTCTATCAATGTAATAATCCACAAAGTCGTAGTAAAACTGCAGCATTCGTAACTTTGCCAGTTGGTACACTTGGAAGCCAATCTGTATGGCAAGCTCTGTTTGAATGCCGTCTTTTTGAACCGAAATTCAAATCCATCAACAAGGTCTTGATGACCAATGTAATCTTTTACCCTTCTGACATTTTTGTTGTAGTTATTAGGACCAACAATCTTTACTGTCTCGTGCTTCAAGAAATCTGTAATGCATTTGCCATAGGAAGACTTTTCCATCAGCTTCATCATTTCTCCACGTAGTTTATAATCAGGACTTGTATCTCCGGCTCTCCTTTCATTAGATACTTGTTGATCAAACGACTTGAAATGTGCTTTACGTTCATATCTTACAGCAAAAGTAATATTTGAAACAACCAATCCATGCTCAAGATACCATTTCAGCAGTTTAGTAGCAAACATCATCGTCTCACCAAACATACTTTCAACTAATCTGTTACTTTTGTAATCTGGTTTGGCATGTGCCTGTGTGTCAAAGCTTAAATCATTGCATGTAATCTCAACATCCTTGAAAATAAGAGGCATTCCAGCAAAGTATTCCTTTAAATGTTCAGGAACAGCAATATCGCATTCTATCATTCCAAAGAACGTGTTATCCAAGACATCTTTCAGACTATCGGGATAAACTTGAACTACTTGGTGCTCACCACACGGCATATCTTGACTTATCGCCCACAGATATAAAGCATTGGTATCATATCCAAGTATTCCCTGACAAGGCTTTCCTTTTCTAATTCTGGTCGTCTTTTTCTTGATAATGATGAAATACGATACTTGGACCACCAACCAGATTATCTTTGTATTTGTGGTACAATTCGTCATTCCCTTTGAATAACTGAAACTTGCAGTCTTTGCTTTTTGTGTGCCAGAGATATTTAAGAGTGAGTCTAGGAACAAAGATGCCGTTTTTGTGGATATCAAGATTCAACGACTGAAAGAAATTACCCAGTTTCTTTGTCGCTTCTACGCCTGGCTTCACATCCAAATTGTTGTAGTCGCTCAGCAAATCGTACAGGTTGGTGTGAGTGAATACCATTTCATTATAATCGTTTGATGAAACTGATTATCCCTTTAGATTGTTGTAAAACCACTTTTTGGATGGAATATGTGAGTGTTTTAAGAACTTGAATGATATCAGAATATTGTGTCAACTCTGGATGTTCATCAATGTATTTCGATAAATTCCGAGTTATTTTATGTGGAAATATTCCCATTTGTGATTGTGTGTCAAACGTTTTCAAGAACTTGTCAAATAAAGTATTTGGTGGTTGAAAAGCAAGAATGTCTTTAAAAGCAAACGATCCATTTGATATCATTCGGTATTTGTTACATTTGATAATGTCATTCACTTGTCCGTTTTCAGGTGAATGAAACTCACAACCCCAAATTGATCTTGTGGTATATCCCATTTGTTTGAGAGCTGATTCCTTGTTTGCTGTTTTTTCATACAATATGTTCATCGTATCTCCAGTTAAAGGATTGATATCTTGTAATTTGTGACACTTTCTGCATCAGTGGAAAAAGTATCCCAGAAAGTCATAGATTGTGTTTGATTCTTCATCGTAGCCATCAACATTGTATCGTTCAATCTTTTCGCATTGTTCAATATTACGATCTAATTCTCCTTCAATTGAATTAATCTCAAAGCTTTTCGCATTTGGATACATTTCCATGTTTTTTAGAGTGTTTCAAGACTTGTGGAGGGTATTTCTTGATGATGTCGATGTCATATGATGAGCTATTGAAGCCATAAATAGCCAGAACACCAAGCCATTCTAGTAATTGTAATCTTAATCGTTTCTGAACCTTTGCATCGTCCAAATTGGCCATTATTCCAAAGAACCGAGAATACTTTGAATACAACAATTGCAGATATTTGTGTCGTATTTGATCCATTTTTGTCATTACTATATCCAATTCATCCCAGTTGTACCTTCAACTGGGATGAATTGAGCCTTGTTTTCTTCACTTCCAATGAAACTTGTGCTCAAAAGTTTGTGTGTTTCAATGAATGAGCTTCAAGTTGGTCGTAGATTGACTGATTTCAACCAAGTTTCAAAATCAAAGTAGATGAAATATGGATAGAATCTCATTTCTTTCGGTATATTAATTCCATTCAATTCAAGATGCTCAAATACATTCAACTTTGGTTGATAATTTCCATTTTCAAATATTATCTTTGGTTTTGCAAACAACTGAGTGTCGTTTTATCTTTTTGAATTCACTAAAGGATGAATGGCATCTGGACATTGAAACACTGGTTAACTGAGACAAGTTAATAATAAAAGAGAAATGATGGAATTTATGGCTTATATCAGAGTATATATTCAAATTAATAACCTCCTGTATTCTTTACCTGAATGTCGTTCCATAACCGCTTTCTTTCCATTGAATCGGTATATGTTGACATTTACAAAGAAATGGCTTTCAATCTCTTTCAATTCTTGAATATCAAGTTTGGGATAACACTTCTTTACGTTGGTTTTGTAATAATCCTTGTAAAGATCTTTTGCTTTCTTTGATAATCTGTCTAATCTGATTTCTGGATACTTATAACGAGCAAAACTACCAAAAACAAAGGTTATTTGTGACATACTGGAATGAAACAATACTCTTGCTATTCTTGATGAAATCAGGTAGAATTACAGATGCGCCTATTGATACCTCTGGAATGGGTGTTGTTAAAAGTACATATTCGTAGATATTTTCAATACTCCATTTGGAGTTTGAACACTTCAATTTTTCCAGTATATCATCACCATCCAATTGGTTTAGTACCGTATCAATAGTGGAATTAACTAGTGGTGAATCATTGATATTAAAGCAGGTATTATCAGAGGGATAAAACTGAACTCTATCATCAGTTTCAATGTTCCTCAGTACATATCCGAATTGAATATCGAACCAATATCTTAATGCTTGCTTTTTGTGATTCTCTTTGATGGTAAACTTCAATTCATCTAAAGTTGTAAACAAGTGTCTCGACCAATGAATTGGTTTTGATTTTGGTCAGAACGAATATTTCTTGATATGATATTGTGAAAACGACCGTTGTTCTTGTCCAGCTCTCTTTCTGTTTGTTTTGTAGCTGTAAAAGTTGGTGGTAGGCTTTAGCATCGTCCATTCCACTGGAAACCCCTTGAATGTGCTTTCTGAATCTTAGTTTAACCTTTCTAGCCCGTCCGACATCCAGATTTGTAATTGAACTAATCAATTGTTTGTACTAGTTTTCTCTTTCGTCTTGTATTTAATAGCAAATCGATATCTCTCGATACCATTTACTTCAAAAAGAACCTTGTACAGACCAACTGTGCTGTCATTTCCTTTAATCAACACTGCATTTCCATTCAAATGAATTTGGGTTTCTTCCAATATGTTTGACATTTCTGATGAACTTGTTTATCATTTGAAAAGAAATTAAATATTCAATTTTATCTTGGATTAAACTTATCAACTATCTATGATAGTGGCTGTGATTGAATATTGCATCTTTTATTTTCTAGACTAGATTTAAACAATATGTTGAATTTACCTTGCTCAAATCCGAGATCAAAGTACATCAACAATTTACTAATGGACACCATTTATCTCGATCCAAGAAATAATCATATCTATCAAGTTGTTGAAAAGCGTGTCAACAATTCGCTGTTGAAAGTAGCGTATAATTACGTTGGAAATGAAGAAGCGGTTGTGTTAGATGATGTTCCAGATTCCATGTTTAGACTAGAAAACCCAATCGAGGTTAATCCATCGAAACTATTAAAAGGCAGAATATTGTCTTTGGAAAACAATACCAGTCTATTATGCGGCATCAACATAAATCACTATAAAAGGATTAAAGAAATGATAGGCGATAGTTGCTATGAAACAAACGATACCATTTATTCATTACATTATGGGTTAGTTGTTTTTTTCAAAAAGCATTATCCAACTTGTGACAATGCGAAGGTTAATCTAGAAATGATGGGTTATCGAATCTTTGCAAACATAACGATGCTGCCAAGAGTCATCGAGAAACA